GAGGTTAACTGAAAAGAGGTGCTATCTTCAAACACCCAACTTCATTCTGAAAGCTTTCATCCATGTTTTTAGCTCTGCTTTTCTTTTATATTTCTTCATTATACGAATAGAGAGTGTTCCATTGATAAAAACCATTCGTAGAAAAATCGTTTCCAGCAACTGTCCGTCGTTTAAATAACTTCAAATACCAGCTGCTAAAAGCTTTCTCGCAACGACTTAAACTTGTGGTTTTTATTTATTTCTTGTCTCTAATTAATTGATAAGAGCTGTCACGTAAATAACTCAAGAACACATACACACGCACACACAGATAGATAGTTCTTATCTAATCGAGAATTTTGAATGCAACCGTTTTTGTATTTGTTCGTTTTATTATACAATTTTGAGTACTCTTCTCTTTTGTTTCTTTCTTTTACAAGAATCGTAATGCCAATTCACGGTCAATGTTATTCAAAAACTGATTACAATTTTGTTATTGTGAACATATGTACATATATCTGTATGTAGTATGTGCCTGTATATCATATCAGAGGACAACAACACACATTTCCGTTGAACTTTTGTTCTGAAGAAACAGAATTAGCAGATAGAATTATGCAATTGCCACCGCGTCGCTTAAATCGGTCATTGAACGTTTTCGTGTGTTTTTTCTGTTTGTAAATCTCAGGTGCGTTGTTTGTTTGTGGGCTGGGATTGGTGGTTGGTAGATTGGTTGATCAGTCGATAGAATTATGTCGACGAAAAGTTCATTGTACGCTGTGTACTGAGGTTCTGCGTACGTCATGAATCCGTTGGGGGCTGAATTTGTATTGGGGCCTCTAATTGAAATTGTGAAAATATTTAATTGCAGTTAGCGAGACGACCTTGATACGTGAGGCTCAACCTGTTTTTTTTTGTTTTTGTTTAATAAATTTGCTGCGCAAGATGTCGAAAAACTAATCGGAAGACAAGTGCGCACAGTCGATGACGATTACGTTTGCAAAACGTTTTGCCATTTCTAGATTGCATTTTTAATTTACTATACACACAAAACAACAAAATATATTGTTGGAAGTTTTACGTCATGGCAGCTTTGCGTTCGACCCAACATTTTGCGTTATTCATATGTATGAACAGAGACTCAATGCATTTTAAAGTTTTGTATTTGATAAGTGTATTTTGAAACAATTTTAAAGCTTACATTGAATACAAAAATTACAGAATTTCAATTACACAGGTAGAGATAGCATCTGGCAGCATTTTTTTTATAATTATTATAAATTTGAATTACCGTTTGCGCGCTCTGCTATCGATATTTAAATGGCATTGGATTAGGTAACAGCTGACAACACGCTATCGATATGCGATAACACCGGTAAAGAGAGCAAGAACCACAACCAACTCACACCTAAGAAATGCATCATTTCACGCCTTTTTTGTGATCGGTCGGAATTTGTTGTTTTGATTGTTTTCACCGTCACTGCTGAATATTTCTCGCTTTTGGCACATAAATCACACGCAATTCATTAGTGTTGTGCTAAAAATAGGCGCCTGTTAAAAATGAAAATTTGATTGAAGCTTTACAAATGTATACCTAAAATTATAGGATATTTAATACAAACAGCGAAAATGTAAACGGAATACATATGTATGTACATGCATATGTAGATCTGCCCCACACACAAATATATACATATGTATGCATAAAAGTGTGCATGCACATGAGTTGTGTATTTCCCCCGGGAACCCAAAATTACGACAACTCAATGTACAAGGCGTTTGGGAATCCCACATGGGTAATAACCAATAAGGCCACAATTTGACGAATCATTGAGACAGAAGGCAACAATTGCACTTAGTTCAACTTAAATAGCTGGTCTCTATCATCGCTACAGCGACAATTGATTATTCATTGCACATCACCTCACCACCACACACACACACACACGCGTCATTTGTTTTTGTTTTGCTCTCTGAGAAAACACTGCACTACTCCGAGCAGAGCGCACTTAAACGAATGCCAAGCACACTGTTTTTCGTATCAATCTTTGTCCGTATATACATATGTATGTATGAATGAATGTGCGTACATATACCTACATACTTGTTTGTTGGGTCCCCTTCCTTCAGCCACTTTTGTATATTTATGCTTGTGTGTGTATGTGCTTTGTCGCTTACTCTACTTTTGGTTGCCACTAATGTGAACATCTGTTTGTCGGCGCTCATCGCGTCAGCCGTGCTGCTGTTGTTGTTGTTATTATTGTTGATGGCATTGCCTGCATTTCGTCGAGTTGCCGTTGCTCTCTTTGTGCTGTCGTAGTCGACCAGCCTGTATATAAATTAAAAATGTTAATGCCTTGCACGTATGTATTTTTTAATACATACGATAATACATACATATATGCATATTTGTGCGTTAGTGTGTGTGCCAACGCCTGGTGCTGCCTCGATGACTTGTGATAAGAACATTGCATCTATCTACTAAATATGTACATAAGTACCTGCATGCATGTGCACATTTATACATACATATTTGTTTTCTTGTATGTAAATTGTTCTTCCCTCATACATTGATCGTTGCAAATTTGTTTTGACATCTAGTTATTTGCATTTGCCTTCGTATTGCCAAAATGTGCGTGGGCGTTTATCGATTATTTTCTGCTGTTGGGTGGTTGGCAACACAGTGTTGCGCTTACTATAGCTTCTCAATGAGTCTGCTCTTGACGTATAAAACAGAAGAAACTGCAGGGTTGCAGTTTTGTTTAAATAAAATCAAAATTTAAACACAACTCAGGTCGGCAACTTTTGAGTCGTGTTTAAGACTTGATTTGCTGAACAGCTGATGATCAGTTGCTGGTTTTAATAAATGGTGCATACTTGTAGACCATTAATTTACATGCGCACAATCACAGATACAGATATGCATATGTTAAGAAAGCGATAATAAACCAAACCGTTGCCCAGAACAATCCAGAAGAAAATTTGTATTTGGCTCCGTTGATCTTATTTAATCATTTTTGCAATTGTTAACAGCTGATCTTAAACAGCAATCCGATGTACCCTCTTAATACTCTGTGCCATAACCAATTAGGATCGGGCGTCGCTTAAACTCTTGATTTTGTCTGCCCCTCCTTCTTTACGAGTGTTTTTTGAGAGTGTGTGGATTACATTTCCCCTCCGACCTTCGCCATCCATGCCCGCTGAAAGAACAGGCATTCCCTTGCTTCCATTTAGTTTCTGTAGAAAATTCTACAATTTATTCGGTGGTTGCAGCTCCTGTTTGCCAGGCCAGCAGCTACATGTGTGTTTGTGTGTGTGTGTGTGTGTGCAAGATCCTTATTACTGCTGTTGCTGCTACTGCCGCTTCTTTACCCAACACACTCTCACGTATTGTAAATGCCGTTCCCTGGTCTGGTGTCGACGTCTTTATACAGTGCATTGGCCTTTCGCCTGGCTCTCAATGCTATTTGAGCGGCGTTTCGTCGTCTTTTTTAACAAATGGCCGCCGACGCCGTTGTGCGCTTCAAACTTGAAATTGTATTGTTGTTGCGTCTCATTTTTTTTTTTTAAATTTTATTTATTTATTTATTTTTGCTAATTTGTTTTAAGTTCGCTGCAAATTTGATGTTATTGAAGCACACATACACAGAGACAAAAGACACGCCAGGGGCATCGGCTCGTATTTTTATAAATGAACTTAAAGTTGCCTTGATTTGTACTCTTGCAGCTGGTTTATTGCTCAGCTACCTTTATGTATACTATATAGTATATGTATGTGTATGTGAATCTTATTATGTATTTGGATTACTTATAGCTGAATTTACAAACAATTTATTTTATGAAAAACCGCTACAACGCGTTCTCGTCATTACCACAATACAATCTCATAATGACAAATTCCAAAGATCAACAAGGTGTGACTTTAGTTTACACAGTTACCTAAAATAAGTACAAAAGCAACTAAAGCACATACATACATACATATATAGGCACACACTGTGATATAGTATTTATGTGTGACTTATTTATACATATACATATATATACCTTTATGTACAAATGATGAGCACGAGCGAGAGAGACATCTTTTATTATACCCTGTAACAGAAGGGTGAGAAGGGGGGTTCGTCAATTCATAATCTTTGTCAAAATCACTGAAATTACAAAGAACTGATGCAACAAAGTTTATATTGAATGTTTTGTGTTCTACTCTGGTAGAGGGTATGTAAAAGTCGAGTTCGCAGGACCATACTGCTCTACTCGTTTTATTGCTTTGTTTTTGATATAATCGCCACAAGCAATAACAAACAGCTTACCACGGCCTGCTAGCTGACTTATTGTCGTGCACATCTACCTTGAGCAATTGTTTTCAATAGGAGAAGGGAGTTTATAGCGACTGAGACAGTAAAGTAATACGGTGACAAAATTTAATTGAAATTCCTAGGCACAAAAATAAACACAGCAGATAAGAGACAACCGTCTCAATTTGCTCTTTAGCTTTAGCTACTATCTGCTTTCTGAAACGGCAAATGCTAAACAGTATAGACAAAAGCAGGCAGTCCAATCAAACACACACACACATATGTATTTACCTGACGAAAATGCAAACGCACATACATACATACAAACGCAATCTACCTGAAAGCGGAAAATTTTGGTATATGCAAAAAAAGTAAAAATGTCAAAAGTGAAACAACAAAAAATACTCAGCCAACAAGGCAAGAGCATGCAAAAGATGATAGAGCGAGCGCTCTCAACACTCATCATGCTCATTTTGCTCTTTGGTTAGTTGGCTGCGAACTGAACTTGAGAGCTAAAACGTATTAAATCTACAGGCGGTAAAACGTAAACATAAAACAGCTGAGTTGTACGTAACGTAATCGGCAAAACGTATGATCGAGTGCGCGTTAACGTATGCGAGTGTACAATGAAAGGGAGTGGAAAAAATGTAAACTAAAAAAAATTGACATACTAAATAAACCACATGTGTATATAACTCATTTAAATTATTTTTTATAAAGTGTAGTGTGAAGTTAATTAATAAGTTTTTATATTGCAATAAATAAATAAAAAGCCAACGGGGGAAAAGGCATACCAACAACAACAACGTCAACAATACAACCAACCATCAACAACAACGTCAACAATACAACCAACCATCAACACCAAGAACAGCAGACCAACCGCAACAATAAAGTACGAGAAGGCTTTCAAATATGCCATAATCGTGATTTTTACTAAAAATTACTCATAATTTTATAGGCAACAATCATCTACGGCGACAACGCAGTCAACGTCCAATATTTTAACTCATTGTTTCTGCGCACGAGCGTGCCTTGTGCTGCTGACAGGCCACACACAATCAGCAACCTCCCATCATATTTATCATCATTTAAACACGTCCTGAAAAAAAGAGTTTTTAATGCCAGCCTATCGATTGGCCTCGATAACACGTATATGAGCCCAGTGCGCGGCGCACAATTTTCCAATACTGTCGGCCGAAACAGGCAAACAAGCGAGCAGCTGTTTGGCCGCCTCAGCTAAGCTACAAAGTAACAACAACAAAGATGTGCTACGATTGACGTGGGCAACCGCCACATACCAGCAAACTAACACTAACTAAAACAGCTGTTTCAACAGAAAACGCAACTTGAAACTACAAAGTTCACTGTTTTAACAATATAATTAATTGTAAGTACAGTACAGTTCTTACTGGAGTTATACCTTTATTAAGTTAAATTTATTTTTTCCAATATGTTGTTGTGACGCGTCCCGTCTCCAGCTTTTCCAGCAGTTGGTGATCAGAGGAGATATAACTTCACAGACATAAAACAAAGTAAGCTTAAGGTTTTTTTTTGTTATTTATTTATTTCTTGTTTAAACTTTTACTAAGACGTGGAACGCGCAAGCTTTTCAAGCACACATACACAGAACCTAGAAAGCATTGAAACTTACATGCATATAAATATGTATATATATTTACAATGTGTCAACAGATAATGGTGTTCCTACTTTTGTTCAACAAAAACGTAATTTTTTTTGTGTCCAACGTAACGGCTGCTATAAAGGTGCGCTAAAAAGCTAGAGCGCAACAATAAATACCTCTCGCTCTTTCGCACAGAGATATACATATTCATATGAATGTGCATGGATTGTTGTAAGAGAACACTATATTAAAGAGCACGCTTAAATAATAACGGAACGAACGGATCGCACACGTCGTGTTGTTGTGAGTGCGAAGTGCGCGCATTAAATTGCAAACTTGTTTTTTTCTCTACGCTTCACTTCCACAATAACTACTAGCATTTACAACAATAACAAAAGCAGCAAGTGATACAAGGCACGTACACATGCACATAAGTATGGGTCATGGTAAAAAGAGAGAAGGTATGGCAATAGACGCTCCAACTTGTTAACTTCCATTACCCAAGTACGTCACAATAAGCTGTACGCGTGATTGAACGTGGGATAAATTTACGTGCTCTGTCTGCGTTCTTAGTAGTTCGATTCATAATGGTAAAGCCACAAAAGTTACTGCACTGTCTGTGGGCACGAAATATGCAAACAAATGGCTACATAATTTATGACTATTACTATATGTGTTGATATCTTGAGCTTAAATCTAATGCAATTGATGCTTAATTTTTTAATGCGCGCTCAACAATTGGACATGACAACTCTTCATTGTGATGTCACACGAAGAGAACACCGAAAAACGAACCTGTGCAATGTCATACCTTCTTGTTTCTATGTACCAAGCGGATGGGTCGCCTTACTGTCAAAACGAACCGACGAGACGATTTGTTGTTGCAGTTGTATTGCTCTGCAAGATAAATGTTGAGAGCAGCTGCCAAAAGAGCGCAACGCAAAGAGAGCGTCGGTATGTATGAGCGGCGAAGACTACTGCTGCTGTTGATCTGCTGCTCGTCGTCAACGACGTTGTCGGGGGCACTCGTCGATGAGAAGCATTTTGGTATCGGGCGGGCTGTGGTGCGGTGTAATAAACGAGTGCACAGAGCAGCAGCAACGGGCAACCACTTGAAAGCAACTCGTTTCGATTTCATTTAGCAGATACCTTTTGTACGTTGATTAAGATACCTTGGTAGAGAGACACACAAGCAAAAAAAAAAAATCGTTCGGAATAGGAAATAAAATGCCATTTTATTAAAATGATGTCTGCTAGACAAAAGCACAATGAATGCTTAGCAAAAGCTGTATTGGAAATATAGTGACAAGTGAGTGGAGGAAATAAGAGTGCGAAATAGACTACCTATTACTGTTCTAAAAGGAAAAAAAATGCCTTGAGTAAAAGTGTGGGTCGTTCGCGTAAAAACCCAAAATATATTCCTATACATTCATATATCACACATACGCATACATACGCAAGCAAAAAGTGGTTTTGGCAAATGTAAAATGAAATATGAACAATATTGAAACGACTGAATTACACTACATAAAAAAGTGTGTGTAAAGAAAAAAATATATACATATATATACAAATATATGCTGCAGTCTGAAAAATATACATATAAGCAACAAAAATACAATATATAAAAAAAATCAACGTACAATACACAGATGATTTTTAGCAAAAAGCGAAAAAAAATATATCAGGCAGAAACAACAACAACACACTGCCAACCGTGTGTAGCCAATCAAAACAGCAGTTGTCTCGCTTCAACGCACAGCAATCGACAGTGACAGTGTGGTGGCAAAGAGCAAGCAAGAGCAGAGCAGATAATAAAAAACGATCGCACGCACCACTACCAAAAGAAGTCAAAGCAACGTGTGAGTGTGGTTTGTTTGTGTGTATGTATGAACGAGCAGTCAGCATTGATTTGCTGTTGTTGCCTTTGATTTTTGCTTTACGGCTACCGCCGCCTGACCTGAACCACAGCAACAACGAAATCAACATTGACTAAATAGACAACCCTGTTTGCATTAATTTGGTTTCTTTAAGCACCTGGGGCTGGTGCAGGAGTGTGTACTTTCAACATCAAGAAATCTAAATGGTAACAACAACAACGAGCCTCAAAGAGCCATAAAATCCGCACGCTTCACATACGCATACATACAACAAAACCAACAGCAATAGCAACGCATACATACATGCCTACCTTAACCCAATTAAAATACATACCATATTATTTAACAAAAGAAATTGTGTTATTTGCAAAGCAGCACATATTTGTGGACACATACACACACAACGAACTGAACAGAAACAAGCGAGTGCAAATATTTACAACATTTTTGAAAGTATTCGTCTTACATTTGTATAGGTACATACATATATACAAATAATAATTAAAAAGAGGCTGATACGGAAGTGAAATTGCCCAAAAAACAAGAGTTGTGAGTAGTTAGTATTGGTTATTTAGCTGCAATACAAATTAAAATTTACAAAAATAAAAGCAACGTCGTATGAATAAAAAAAAATGTTGCACGTTGCACTTGTTCGGCAAATGAAGAGAGTGAACGAATAAGCTAGTTTAAAAACGATAACAACAACAACAAAGAAAAATGCGTGTGTGCGTATGCGTGACTTTAAAGTTTCTGCGTCTGTTTCACATCTTAGTAATATACATTTTAAACCGATTACAACATATATTAAACATTTTCAAATTTTACAATAACAGAAAAACAACTAAAAGCAACTGCGTAGCAGCGCTAGACGTCCTATACATCACATTTGATCAGCACCAGCAACAACATCTTCCAAGCACTCTTCCAACAACCATAGGAATTAAAATTAAAAAAAATAAAGCTTTGGCGCTTCCTCAATTCGCATTGCTTCCTGGCCACAAGAAACTTGCACATCAACGAAGGGCAAACCAACACTGAACATCACAACAATAAAAATAATTTTGCAACACTGGCCGCCAACATAATAGAACTATTTAGCTGCCCATTCGTCGCAAATCCTCACACACTCTACATAAGCTACAACATCAAGAACTATTACAACCATTTGCCATTCACGACTCTCCCGCATAGCAGAAAATAACAGAAAATTTTGAACTTTATTGCGGCAAACGCGTTATGACCAATTCGCATGCCTCATCAAAATGCCTGTCCAATGTACTCTCGTCCGGAAAATATGGTATGTCACAAAGCGGCTCTTACAGCGATGGTAGCAAGGAGTATATATTCGTCAAGCTCACCGACTCTGCGTATCGTGCACTCGAAGAATATCAAAGAAATGAGCAGGCCAAGCGCTTGGCGCCCAATCAACGTGCCAAAATCCAGTTTAATGGCAACGGTGGTGTCATACAATTTCCTCTGCCTCATGAAAATGGCGGCAGTAGCGGCAGCGCTTCTGGTGCTAGCAACACCATGGATAGCGGAGGACGCAAATTTGGGTTCACCGTTGGTAGCATGGAGGGATCTGTGGAATGTATACAACAGCAACCACAGCATCTGGAAGTCCTTGGCGGATTGGATCTGCGCATGCGCATCCATGCCACTGATGATGTGTATGATACAACAAAATCAAAAATGGCCCAAGCTGAGGAGTCAGAGAAGCGAAAATGCATTCGCGAGATTAAGCCAAATCAGTCGGATATTGGGCGTAAGGTGAAAAAGCCAAGCAGTGCAGCATTTCATAGTGGGAACAACAGCAACAGCAGCAATAGTTTTAGTAACAACAACAGCAACAATAGTCGTAAGTTAGGTACTTCACCATTTAATGGCCTGACGACGACGCCGTCATTCTTGTCCACGTCGTCGTCGTCAACAACACACTCAGCAGCGGCGGCGACCGTGACGCGTTCGCCCAATCCCAGCCTGCTGGGTGCAAGCGGCACAGTCAGTACAGGCAGTAACAACAATCATTATCAGCACCAGCAACAACAACAACGCTATCAAAGTAACAGCGCAGCCGCAACCTTAGCCTCAACATTTGCCAACGGCATATCGCAGGGTTATGCGCTCTCGGGCAACTCACCCAGGGAGCGGGAGACGACGACAAGCAATGGAGGCCACAATAGCAGCAACAAGAGCAGCACAACAATGACAATGAGCAATGGACGTCCGAAAATGCAAAGCGGTTCACGAAATGTCAATCCCAAGGTAGGCAACAACAACAACATTGGCAATGGGAATGGCGTTATGAAAATGTCGGATGTCTCTAAACGTAAAATACGTGAACGTCTTATACATTTGCTCGCACTGAAGCCATACAAGAAACCGGAGCTATATTCACGCCTGCAGAACGAAGGCGTACGAGAACGTGAACGGCACCTGATTAGTAACATACTCAAGGACATATCTATAATGTCGCACAATGTGTACAATTTGAAGCGTCAGATGTGGAATGATGTCGACGAGAATTGGCCGTTCTTTAGCGAACAGGAGCTGCAGCAATTGAAGCGCCGTAAGCCACAAAATCTGACACCGCCCATGAGCTCGGATGCTGGTAGCTCCACCTCGGGACAAAGTCCCACGTCCACCCACACAGGTAGTCCACCACCACTGTTAACATCATCATCAGCGTCAGTTGCCGCATCGCAGCATGTAAATGGCTCCGGTGGCAGTAGTCTAAAGCGCACGAGTCTAGAGTATGATGAGAGCATGTTCAGCACTGTGCAGCCTAAGAAGCAGCGCATCAGTCATTACAAGAAGGATGCTGTTGGAGGTGGAGGTAGTAGCGGAAGCAACGGAGGAAGTGCTTCCATACAGCAGCCGCCAAATCGTAGCGGCTATGGCAGTCGAGCTGCTTACACGCCACCACAGCGACATCAGCAACTGCAACTGCAACAACAACAACATCATCAGCAGCAAACGCAGTCCTCACAATTTTCTGTTGATGAGCACAGCAGTGATTTGAGCTACAATGTGCTTGATAATATGGATGAGTTCATGAGCATGACTTCGGAGCAACAGGGCTATAATAGTAGGCGGGGCAGTGGCGCCAAACAAAATACAAACAGCAGCAATGGGGGAAACAAAGACAAGCGCAGCTCCTCGGGCAGCACGTCAAGCACCTCCTCAAGTGGCTATGAGACGCAACTGGAGCGCAGGCAGCAGCAGCAGCAGCAACAGCAACAACAACAACATCCTGCAATGGCAATGCCCTCAAATCGCAGTAGCAGTTCAACAACTAAAACCACAACAACAACGACGACACCGCCCAAATCCATATCCTCATCTGCAGCCGCAGCAGTGGCGGCAGTTTATGGTAGCAGCTTTGTGCCCGCTGCGACAGGCAAAAGGAGCAACAGTCAGTCGCAATCGCAGGCACAGGCCCACTCACAGTCAATGGCGCCACAGCGCAGCACCAGTAACAACGCTCATGATGAGTACAATTCTTATAACAACAAGACACATGCCGCCAGCAATTCCAAAAAGCGAACGAGTAGTAATAGTAACGGCCACCATTCTGCCACCGCATTGTCCTCAACCTCCTCCTCCAAAACAACACATCAGCAGCCACAGGCGCATAGTCAACGCAGTCAGCGAGGTGCTTACCAAAAAGTGCCGCCCCCGGTGCCCTTAACATCGTCGCAACAACAGTCGCGCCAAATGGAACCAACGCCCGCATCATCATCATTATCGTCAGCTCACAAGCATCCTTCACCCACACAGTACCTAGCGGCGGCAGCTCATGCGTATGCCTCTGCCTCGACAGATCAGGATGCCGGGAACGCACCACGCTATGATTTCAGCAAATACGCGCCTATCCGGACCCTCGAGGTGCGAAGACGCTACAAGACTGAATTTGAGAGCGATTATGATGAGTATTGTAAGCTTCTCACGCGCGTCGAGGGTGTGCGGAAACGGTTTCAGGATCTGTCCGAGCGTTTAGAAAACGCTAGACTACGCGATACCGCCGGCGACTATGATCACATAAAGCGTCAAATCGTCAGCGAATACGAGCGTATCAATAGCGATAGCACCATTAGCAGTGATAAGCAGCGTTTCGATTATTTGCATGCCAAGCTGGCTCACATCAAGCAGTTAGTGATGGATTATGATAAGACTTTGACAAGTGGTGGTGCGCCAGCTGTGGTGAGCAAGCAACCACAACAACAACAACTACCAGCAACACAACAACAGCAGCAACAACAATTGCAGGCACAACAACAACAGCCAGCAACAGGCATAAGGCATAGCATCGATAACAACACCAACAATATGCTGCATATGCAGCAGCAGCAACAACATCATCATGCCGTTGAAACGATAAAAGTCGGCTCCCATAATAGCAATAACAAACATGGCAGCCAAGAGAGCGATACGGATGATAGTTCCGATAGTTCAGATTCAAACGAAGACGACGATGATGACGATGATGATGGTGAAGATGATTCCAACTCCAATACTGATGATGACGACCGCTACTGATACTGCTACCGAACGCAAATATATATATATATATATATATAAATATATGCATACATATATATGTATATATAAATATATGCATACATATATATCTATATATAAATATATGCATACAGATATATCTATATATGCAATACTTTGATAACGATCACAGCATCAACAACAACAGCAGCAGCAGCAGCAGCAATCGCTGCTGTTACTCATGTAAAAAGGCAAAACAAAAACCAACAAAAAAAAAACTACATACACACATACACTACTATAGTAAAAACAACACGAAACGTTCTAAAAGAAAATTGTACTAAAAAACAAAAACCTACATAAAAACAAGCAAAAAAAAAATGTTGAAATTATGTTTAAAAATTGTAATAAAATAAAGCAAAAATCAACCAACCTATTGCAAGGAAAGTGAAAAGAAAAACTATGCGAACATATTTTGTATTTAATTGCAAAATGCAAGAAAAGCAAATGTATATGAAACATACGACATGCATAAAATCAATACAAGAGAAAGGGAAAACATTTGCGAGAAAATACAGACATATATATACGAGTTATAGACTTAAAATCTTTGTTGAGCAACGCATAATGTAAAAAGAAGCCACAACACAATTTCCTGCGTTTTGTGTGTAATAATTAATTAATACTATTATTATTATTATCAACTTTTAAATATATAGCGTATGTTTTTCGTTTCTTAACTAGACTCTTCTTTAACTTTTACTCTTTTTTTTAATTGTTACAATGGCCAACAACAACGACAGCAACCATTTGTTTGTAATTTGAAGCATTGCAAGTGACAAAGCGAAACAGAATGAATGCATAAATACATCAACATTTTTATTTGTGCAACAAAACAATTTCGTCTGTTGCTTAAATTACTGATAACACACACTCACTGTCTCATACATTCACACATATATATGTACATACATACATATATTTTGAAAAATATTTCCAAAGTGACAAAAAATGTATGTCCTGATCATCAAATTTTTGCATAAGCAGAAAAGGAAAACAAAAATGAAAAAGCAGCTTAATGTTGGCTGCGCTTGCCGCACAATTCTTAACTGTTGCACACTGTTCACAGCCCTATTTGAACTTGAGAGCAATGGGCCTTTCAACTATACATTATAAAGAACCAAAGTCAACTTGAAAAACAGGCAACAAAAACACACAAAAAATATGTAAGCTTAGGGAACATTTGTACAATTTTGTAATTCGCTTGGTCAGATTTTTAAGTGTGTGTGCATCGACGATTTTTTTTCATTTTGTTACTTAAAACGTCCTATATACATATATAAATATGCCATCGCCATGGTTCAACTAAAAACAAATGTTGCCAATTATCCATTTCTGCAAAGAGAGCCCATTAGCTTAAATAGTTTCTTGTCTCTGGAATGACACTCATTGCATTGTTTAGTTTTTGTTTCGGTGTTGCATGCGGGCGTGCCTAAAAAAAATAGACTGAAATTTTGAACGGCTTGTTATTTAAGCAGCTTATAGAAAATTTATTTTCCAAAACTTAGTTAAATTGTTATTTGTGTTTAAAATATTGTACTTTGTTTTGCATTCGTAGCGTTTTTGTTTATAAGCCACTGTACCTAAAAAAAAACAACTAAATAAAAACTAACAACCTACAATTGCTGACTAGCAATCAATACTTTATACATTCATTTGCACCCATTATTTATTTTTCTTTCCGTGTTATAGAATATTTGCTCAAGAATTGAAATTGTAAAAAACAGTAATTTATATGCGGTTGTACACCATCCTAGAGACCTCTTGAGGTGTTTGCTTTTTTATTATTATTATTTAGACAACAACTGCTAAGCCCTAAAACAGAACCTATGTAAAACCTGAAAGGTTTTAATGAAGCATATTACAGTTCTCACATTCAAAAAGCTTCCTTAAATAAAATGAATAAAAGAATTTCGCTTAAAGAATTATTAAATAATTTGCTGAAACTAGTGTCCAAAAATGAAGAAAGCAAGACAAAACAAAACAAAAATTGTAAGAACTAAAGCAAAATCATAATTATAACGAAAATGAAAACCAACAAATTTTAGCTATTTTGTTGCAATATTTTTTATATACCATATTTAAGTAGTAGGGAAATAAACGAAAGGGAAAATCAAATGAAACAATGAGATCAAGTTGCAAAAATCAAGCGTTTAAAAATCGACTCGTAGCAATTACATACAAAATTGATATATACAATTTATATACAACAACAAAAACACTATATATATATGTAAATATATATATATATATATATATATATATATATACAACACTGACATTTGATAAGTGAAAAGAAACTTATTAGTTTTATAAAATGCCACGCCCACATATATACACCACACACACTCACACAAAATGAATAAAGAAGCATATTCTAGACACACACACACACTCACACAAACCAATCGAAAAGGAACTTATTACTGATTAAATGATTGTAAGCCGAGAAAAAGAGTAAACCAGATCAAGAGACATGAGAAAATATTATTATTATTATTATTGTAAATTATAAGAGCAAAATCGCTGACAAAACCAGCAAAAATGAAAATCTTAAAAAAAAGAGATATTGTTATATACTATAAATTCATAAGGCCACAACAAAAACAAAAAGGAAAAACATAACAAAAAAAGCAAAAAAAAAAGAATCAAATAAAATATTGAATCGAAAAAGCCCACTCTTTATTTATTTTCTTTGTTGTTCAGAGTCAACAGAGATGATTTTTTTTCCAGCTGTCGTTTGCTTGGTTGAGTTTGAACATAACCCACTGTAGTATCGTAACGGTAATGCGTGAGAGCCACGCGATCGAAGTTAAGAAAAATAGCACTAATCGATAAATCACTCTTATATGCGTTTTAATCAAGCAGAAGAGGAAGAGGCGCTCGATGACAATGCACAAGTGGCTGAACTATCAAACGACTCTGACGCCCCGTTGAAACCGAATGTGAGTATTACGTATAAAACTGTCGATGGGAAATATATTATTATGAACAGGATGCACAATTGCAGAACGACGAGGACGACGACTACGATCCGGAGGACAATCGGAAGAAGAAGAAGGGCAAGAAGCGCAAGACCAAGAAGGGCGAGGAGAAGGGTCGCAAGAAGAAGAAGCGTAAGAAGAATGAAAGCGAAGAGGACAGCGACTTTGTGCAGCATGACGAGGAGGTTGAATATGCGAGCACCTCCAAACGCGGCCGTAAACGTAAGGAGGAAAAGCAAGCGCAAAAGGAGAAGGAGTCTTCGTCATCAGGTAAGTGGTCAACCTACATTGTAAATATGCCTAACAATTCTAACGGCCACTAAAAATTACTTTATCGTTTTAAAGATTATAGGGAGATTATAGATTTGGTGTAGTTTTTCGATTTATAAAAATACGAGATTAGTTTATTAATTTGAGTACATTTGAATAAATGGAAATTATTCGCACTAAACATTCACTAAATTTGTAAAAGTTTAACTTTGCGCCAAATTGATTTCACTAAAATTTATTAAATTCGTAAACAATTATTTATTTAAACACCAAAAAAGATTATAAGCTAAAGGATTTCTATCCTCTTTTTTTTCGCAAGAAATACTTATGTTGAATTAAATACAATAATGGCAGATATTGAAATGTAAGTTAATATGTAGTTATTTTTATGCTTATTGAAATACTGTCTGTATTTGTTTGCTGTCAAATAAATTTTGACTACTTTTAATGTCATTTTTTCTTTTGTATACATATACAATCTGATGAGAATCGCATCGATTTTGCAGATCGTATAGGAAATTCTTGCATTATACTTCATTAATTATTTAGACATTGATTTGTTATGGCAACTTACGTATGTAAGCATTATTCCATCAGAGTGCGAGTACAATTAAAACTTGAATTTTTCAATTTAAAACGATAAATTAGCTTTTGTGATAACATAATAAAAGTAATTGCTATAATTAAAACATATTGTTTCAGGCATGCCATCTGTCGAGGACGTGTGCTCTGCCTTTAATGTGTGCGATGCGGATATTGACTATACCGAGGAAGAACTGCAAAACCTGACCACATATAAGGCGTTTACCCAGCATGTGCGCCCCATATTGCAAAAGATGAATCCAAAAGTGGCTGCGCCCAAGCTCATGATGCTCGTGGCTGCCAAGTGGCGTGAGTTCTGTGAAAGTAATCCGCATATACAGCAGGAGCAGGCGCGCAGTAATGCCGGCGATGAGCCCGAAGAACCGCGCTCTTCACGCTCATCTCGCAACGAGAAGCCGGATGATATCTACGAGGAGGAGGAAGAGGAAGAAGAGGAGGAGGAAGAGACCAAAAAACCGCGTCGCAAGCGCAGCGGACGTGGCAAAAAAGGTCGACGACCATCGGGTAAGGTACCCACTTTGAAGATTAAGTTCGGGAAACGCAAACGCGATAGTTCCGACGATGAACAGGATGCCAGTGGAGCCTCCGAGCGTGATTCCGATTTGGAATTTGAGAGAATGCTGCAAAAGTCCGACGACAGTGCCGATGAGAAGGAGGTGGCTGGTAGTGCTGGTGGTAGCGCCACTGGAGGGAAATCGGATGCGAACGCATCGGCTAATCCAGCGGTTAATGATGAGACGGCCCCTGTGGTGCGCAAGAAAGCAAAAACTAAGATTGGAAACAAATTCAAGAAGAAGAATAAGCTTAAGAAGACCAAGAACTTCCCAGAGGGTGAGGACGGTGAGCATGAACATCAGGACTATTGTGAGGTGTGTCAGCAAGGCGGCGAGATCATACTCTGCGACACCTGTCCGCGTGCCTATCATCTGGTGTGTTTGGAGCCGGAACTGGACGAACCTCCAGAGGGCAAGTGGTCGTGCCCGCATTGTGAAGCCGATGGTGGTGCTCCCGAGGAGGAAGATGACGACGAGCATCAGGAGTTTTGTCGCGTGTGCAAGGATGGTGGCGAGCTATTATGCTGTGACTCCTGTCCGTCAGCATATCATACTTTCTGCTTAAATCCACCGTTGGACAACATACCTGACGGTGATTGGCGGTGTCCACGCTGCAGTTGCCCCCCACTGACGGCCAAGGCCGAGAAAATCATCACCTGGCGCTGGGCTGTGGATCGCGGCACTAATGCAGAGCAGCCATCGACATCAAAGGGTGCTCGGAAGTCGCGTGTGCGCGAATACTTCATTAAGTGGCACAACATGTCGTATTGGCATTGCGAATGGGTGTCTGAAGTCCAATTGGATGTACATCATCCGCTGATGATACGCTCCTTCCAGCGTAAATACGATATGGAGGAGCCGCCCAAGTTCGAGGAGTCCCTCGATGAGGCCGATACGCGTTTCAAGCGCATACAGCGCCACAAGGACAAGGCGGGTATAAAGGCTGACGATGATAGCGAACAGTTGGAAGAGCGTTTCTACAAGAATGGTGTCAAGCCCGAGTGGCTGATCGTTCAACGTGTGATAAATCATCGCACGGCCCGCGATGGCAGCACCATGTTTTTGGTCAAGTGGCGAGAGCTGCCTTATGATAAGTCCACCTGGGAGGAGGAGGGCGATGATATGCCCGGATTGCGCCAAGCCATCGATTACTATCAAGAGTTGCGTGCGGTATGCACTTCGGAGACAACACGTTCTTCCAGCAAGAAGAACAAAAAGGGACGCAAATCCAAGCTTAAGCTCGAATTGGACGACGAGGATCGTCCGGTCAAGCACTATACACCTCCGCCAGAGAAACCGACGACGGATCTAAAGAAGAAATATGAGGGTCAACCAGCTTTCCTCGAGGGAACAGGCATGCAACTGCATCCTTATCAAATCGAGGGCATCAACTGGTTGCGCTACAGTTGGGGTCAGGGCATTGACACCATACTGGCCGATGAGATGGGTCTGGGCAAGACAATTCAGACGGTTACGTTTCTCTACTCGCTGTACAAGGAAGGTCATTGTCGCGGTCCATTCCTGGTAGCCGTGCCGCTCTCCACGTTGGTTAACTGGGAGCGTGAGTTCGAACTCTGGGCACCCGATTTCTATTGCATTACCTACATAGGTGACAAAGATTCGCGCGCTGTTATCCGCGAAAATGAGTTGAGTTTCGAGGAAGGCGCAATAAGGGGCAGTAAAGTATCCCGCCTACGAACCACTCAATATAAATTCAACGTACTTCTCACTAGCTACGAGCTCATCTCGATGGATGCCGCATGTCTGGGCAGCATTGATTGGGCCGTTTTGGTTGTCGACGAAGCGCATCGCTTGAAGAGTAATCAAAGTAAATTCTTCCGTATTCTGAACAGCTATAGTATTGCTTATAAGCTGCTGCTTACCGGCACTCCCTTGCAGAACAATCTGGAGGAGCTGTTCCATTTGCTCAATTTCCTGAGTCGAGACAAGTTCAATGATCTGCAAGCGTTCCAGGGCGAGTTCGCTGATGTTTCAAAAGAGGAGCAGGTGAAACGGTTACACGAGATGCTTGGACCTCACATGCTGCGTCGATTGAAGACGGATGTGCTTAAGAACATGCCCTCCAAGTCGGAATTCATTGTACGCGTTGAGTTGTCGGCCATGCAAAAGAAATTTTATAAGTTTATATTGACGAAGAACTATGAGGCGCTCAATTCAAAGAGTGGTGGTGGCTCCTGCTCTCTCATTAATATTATGATGGATTTGAAGAAGTGCTGTAATCATCCATATTTGTTTCCATCCGCTGCCGAGGAGGCTCCTACATCTGCTGGTGGCCTCTATGAGATTAACTCGTTGACCAAAGCAGCCGGCAAACTGGTGCTGCTCTCCAAAATGTTGAAGCAACTCAAATCGCAGAACCATCGAGTGCTCATCTTCTCGCAAATGACAAAGATGTTGGACATTCTGGAGGATTTCCTGGAGGGTGAACAGTACAAGTATGAGCGCATCGATGGAAGCATCACAGGCACAGTGCGACAGGAGGCCATTGATCGTTTCAATGCGCCAGGCGCTCAGCAATTTGTCTTTCTTCTTAGCACACGTGCTGGTGGGTTGGGAATTAATCTCGCCACTGCTGATACCGTCATCATTTATGACTCGGATTGGAATCCCCACAATGACATTCAAGCCTTTTCGCGTGCCCATCGTATTGGACAGGCCAATAAGGTTATGATTTATCGTTTTGTTACGCGAAATTCGGTGGAGGAGCGTGTCACGCAGGTGGCAAAGCGTAAGATGATGTTGACCCATCTGGTTGTACGTCCTGGTATGGGTGGTAAAGGCGCCAACTTCACGAAGCAGGAGCTGGACGATATTTTGCGATTTGGCACTGAGGATCTATTCAAGGAAGATGACAAGGAGGAGGCCATTCATTACGATGACAAGGCCGTGGCAGAGCTTTTGGATCGCACCAATCGTGGTATTGAGGAGAAAGAATCCTGGGCCAATGAGTATCTATCTTCCTTTAAAGTGGCCTCCTATGCCACCAAGGAGGAGGAGGAAGAGGAGGAAACAGAAATCATCAAGCAAGATGCCGAGAACTCAGATCCAGCCTACTGGGTTAAGCTGTTGCGTCACCACTACGAGCAGCATCAGGAGGATGTGGGACGTACGTTGGGCAAAGGCAAGCGTGTACGCAAGCAGGTCAACTATACGGATGGTGGTGTTGTCCCCGCGGACACGGCACGTGACGATTCGAACTGGCAGGACAACGGTTCCGAATACAATTCGGAGTATTCGGCCGGATCCGATGAGGATGGAGGCGATGACGATTTCGATGAGCAGAATGGCGGAGAGCGAAAGGCTAAGAGGCGTCTAGAGCGGCGCGATGATCGTCCGTTGCCCCCACTGCTTGCCCGTGTCGGCGGCAACATCGAGGTACTAGGATTCAATGCGCGCCAGCGGAAGAGCTTCCTCAACGCCATCATGCGCTATGGTATGCCTCCCCAGGATGCCTTCAATTCGCAATGGCTGGTGCGTGATTTGCGTGGCAAGTCGGAACGGAACTTCAAGGCCTACGTATCGCTATTTATGCGCCATTTGTGCGAGCCGGGCGCTGACAATGCCGAAACCTTTGCTGATGGCGTACCCCGCGAAGGATTGTCACGACAGCATGTCCTTACGCGCATTGGCGTCATGTCGCTGATACGCAAGAAGGTGCAGGAGTTCGAGCACATCAATGGCTATTACAGCATGCCAGAGCTGATCCTGAAACCTTGCGAGCCAGTGCGTGCATTGGCCAAACAAGAGCCGGCAGCAATTGAAGCTGGTGGAGTCGTTAAGCCGGCAGGTGTAGACGATAAGAGTGCTACGACGAGCAATAGTGCTACGCCAGCGACCAGTGCTGCTCCCAGTCCTGCGCCGGCCTCAGAGAAAGGGGAGGAGAAGGTAAATCCGGCAGAAAAATCAACGCCCGAGAAAAGCGAAGTTAAACAGGAGACGGGTGATGCTGTCGTATCTACTGGAACGGATTCAGAAGCGGACAAAAAGCCCGACGTCAAGCAGGAGCTAACTGCAGCTGGCGAAGATGCCAACGAAAAGCCACAGCCACAGGAAGAAGCCAGCGTGAAGGATGAACCCAGCAAAAGCGATTCCAAAGATGACGAAGTCAAAGGCGCATTGAAGCAAGAGTCCAACAAAGCACCCAAGGATGAGCCGAAGACCGAGGAGAAGGAAGACCCAGAGAAAGCTACCCCATCTGAAGAAAAGCCTGGTGCGTCAGGTGGAGCCAGCACCACTACCACTATCATAGATGACGACGACGATGATGTACTCATTGTCAAGGAGGATGGTGAACTGGAGAAACCCAATGCGTCGGCCCATTCACCCAAAGACCAGAAACCAGCAGTGACTGGTGCCACCACTGGCATTGCGGCCACTAAGGTGGAGGATAGCCTCGAGGTGCTGAAGCGCAAATTTATGTTCAACATTGCCGATGGTGGCTTCACCGAATTGCACACCCTGTGGCTTAATGAAGAAAAGGCCGCTGTGCCTGGACGCGAATACGAGATCTGGCATCGTCGTCATGACTACTGGCTATTGGCTGGCATCGTTACCCACGGTTATGGACGTTGGCAAGACATACAGAATGACATACGCTTTGCCATCATCAACGAACCCTTCAAAATGGATGTGGGCAAAGGCAATTTTCTAGAGATTAAGAACAAATTTCTGGCCCGTCGTTTCAAATTGCTCGAACAGGCACTGGTCATTGAGGAGCAGCTGCGTCGCGCGGCATTCTTGAATCTCGCCCAAGATCCCAGCCATCCAGCTATGTCCCTGAATGCACGATTTGCCGAGGTTGAGTGCCTGGCCGAGTCGCACCAGCATCTAAGCAAGGAATCGCTGGCTGGCAATAAGCCGGCCAATGCTGTCCTTCACAAGGTGCTCAATCAACTGGAAGAGCTCCTGTCGGACATGAAGAGCGATGTGTCGCGCTTGCCAGCCACCTTAGCCAGGATTCCTCCGGTAGCACAGCGTTTACAAATGTCCGAACGATCGATATTGTCGCGACTGGCTGCCACCGCTGGTAATGCCTCCAATGCCGGTAAGTAACATCGAAAATATCAATGCATTAGTTTTAAAAATTTTTGTTTCATTCTACAAAAAGACAAAATCAAACGGTTACTGATATATTCATTTGCTTTTTGCTGTGAACATTTTAAAATAAACTAACCAACCTCTCTAAACAAGCCTTTCCGAATCAGTAAATAGTGTTTGCGAAGAAACGTCTTTTTCTTACCTCAACTGATTTAAAGCCGCGTATTATTTTACTAAACAATCGAACAGACTTACATATGTTCGAGGGCCCTTTAATATCAAATCTATTCCCCAATATATATTTTTTACTCGTGCCTAATTCTTGGTTGTTTTTTCAATTTCAGCACAATTGATGGCACAATTCCCGGCTGGTTTTCAGGGAACCACACTACCCGCCTTCACTGGCGGTCCCGCTGGAAATTTCGCCAATTTCCGACCACAATTCTCGGTACCCGGCCAGCTATCTAATAATACCGGAAACTAGATTTATATGAATGTCTAACCTACGCACGCATAAGACACAGATACACACACACACACATTCATGCAAAGTAGAAAGCGTATTACAAATTATATGTCTACATATATATGTATTTTACTCAAGCTAAGAATTTACTCTATTTAAATCATAAATCATAAACGAGGACGATGACGACAAAGATCACAAAGCGCAAGGTGTTGATGGTGACGAAGATCCTCAAAAATGAAACGCCTCCTTCACCTCAAGGCTCAAAACGGCAAGGAGGAAAGAGACCACTTCGCCTATTACTTAATGGAATGCCTCAATGGAGCGTTTATCGAAGCATGTGCATCAACCGCAGCGACCATCTCTACAAATGTTTTTAATACGTAACGGTATACATTTTTAATATGGCTTCTTACTTTGTGATTATGGAGATACAAATAGAGACAACAATACTAATGCATACAATATATTCAATTCCATTGCAAAGGCAACAAAAAAACAAGTTCTTGGTTTTATTTCTCTCTGTGGGTGATAGTAAGGATCAACTAACAGGCTGTTCGAAAAATATTATTAGCAGAAAGTCAACATGGTATTCCTGCAAGTCATTTATATGGCGTTGTTCAGCGGCTTTATAAATACGTACGAGTAAGTATATGTTCTGGGCCCAAAAAAAAACTTTGAAAAATGAGGTCACACCAACAGTTAAAAGTCAATTTCAATGTGTGTTCCAAGTTTTATAGTTAATTGGCTGTTTTATTTTGAAAGCGTCCAATTGCGATGACTATCTACAACAATCAGGCATTGGTGGTACAATAAAAAGAGGAAAAGACCTTATGTCCCACCGTGGTTAGTGACGGTATTAAAAAAAAGACTGGGTCTATTTAGAAGTATTTATTCTCTTCCATAGGTAATTTGACACCTTCAAACCCTCGAACAAAGCTAACCATAGGTCAATCGATGATTTCCCAGATATATCATCTAATGGAATCCCAAACCGGTTTTGTGTTGGCAGCCATTGGCTCACATAGCTGCTCTACAAAATGTCAAATTTATACATATTATTTATAGTCGATAAGTAGATTTATTCATAAATTTGTTTTGAATATTTGTGAATGTGTATGTATGTATGTTTAATTATATAAATTAATTATCTTTAATTGTATAATTTGTAAATATCAAATACATAATGAATTTTTAAGCGCAATACTAATTTCAAAGCCAATTTCGATGCGTTGCAAAACACATACTTAAATATATATATATTGTACATACAACATATAATACGAATGAGTAGACGACAAGCAACTCTTGAATACAAGTTCTTGTAGAAATTCGTAACGTCTTGCTATTGCTAATTATGTAATATCAAAGTTTCTACAAATTTATACGAGCACTCGCCGCCTTTCACAAATTTCTCTCCTCGTTTTTTCATTAGCTATTTACATTAATTACCAGCAAATGGAATAAAATACATAACATTCATTATATATCAACAAAATGGAAGCGGCACATAATATGATTTCACAAATGCAAAACAAAAGAGGAAATGCATACAAACACAAAAAAATAAAAAGTATGTGTAATTGTTGCAAATAAAGAACAGTAACAAATCGCATGCATAAATAATATTACATTATTTAAACAAAATCACATTGCGAAGCTGTGTGAGTGCCACCAAATTATTTTCAAATGAATCTGAAAACTTTGACAAACAAAATTCAACTAAGACTTTTAAGCCAACTTAAAGATAAATACATACTTAGAATAGTAAATAACAAATTACAATATGTGGCAACAAAACACAATAAAGGAAAACTTAAACAAAGCATAATAGTATTCAGGCCTTGCCAATGCCACATATTTAGCCATTTAGCTACGGTCTTAGCATCAATTACGATAACGTGCACAGCTTCTTTAGCTCTCCCTCAGTCTCGTCCACATCCAACTGCAAATTGGCCGCATTCGGAAGTACCCGTCCCTCGGTGTTGGGCAAATACGGCTCGTAGTCCAGTCCCTTGCGCTCATAGAACAGCAAATAGGCCGCACTAGGATCTATGACTGGCTGCTGAGATATCTCACGGCAGGAGCTGTCGTTGTAACAATACCAGGAACCAGTTGCGTTTGACGCATAGGAAATATAATGGCCACCGTTTAGCATACCGGAGTGCGACTGTAAACAAATAAATGCGATGCGATAATGATTCTGAATATCAGCAGAGGCTTGAAGGTTGTGGATTGCTTACCACCACGGCATAAAGCTTGTATTTGGGATCGAATTCATCCACATCCGCTTTAAGTTTGTGCTGATGATAATCCTCGAATTCCCCATCGACAATGGGCGTCTTTGTAAGGCTCGTCGAGATGAGACGCTGCCGTTTGGCAGCATTATTTGATTTAGTTTGCCGCAATATTGTGTTCGTCGTGGCTGCCACTGGCTCGGGCTCTTTCGATTGTATCGGAAGTTTGTCGATATCCAACTTGCTTCCCGAATCAGTCTCGTCCACTTCGTTAACTGTATTGTTGGCTGTGAGTGCCGCATGCTGCTCTGCATCAATTTGCATCTCCAGCAGCTCCTTGTGGCGAAGTATTGTCTCTTGGGGAACGGAAGCCAAGTAGGGGGTGGGATCGAAGTCATCGAACGGAAAGTGCACCACTTTCTGTGATTTCACCCACTTGCCGTTTACACAATTAAAGCGTTTTAAGTGCACGATCTGTAGAATATAGTATCAATTTAGTATAATCCAGGACTAAACTGTTTATCTCACTCACCAATATGGGCGGTAGCTTCCATATTTGCAACTTTTTCGTTGCCGGTTTCTTGCCCTTGCAATGGCTGCAGTGATACCACTGCTCCAGTTTTTCTTCGGAGGTAAATGCGCGCAGGCAATGATTTAAGTCCACCGGTTCCACCTGTTCCCGGCGACATATGGCAACGGTCTCGTGATCGACCCAAAGCTAAAACAGAAACAATCAGATATTAAAAAGAAGCTTTGGAAAAATGCACATATTCGAGACGTCTTACGCGTTCCAATGTGCTTTGATATCGCAAATGCAGCGCGGTTGGATCCCAATCGATGGCAATTGTAAAGTCTTCAAAGTATTTTGTTGTGGGCGTATAGGAGAGTGATGTGGTATACTCGGGTGGGCGTTTCACCTCCAGATTCGGTAGCGATGGACACTTTGCATTCATGCTTAGTGTGGCCGTATTGCCTGTTAATAATAATAATAATAATCAGATGTTAATTAATAAAACAATTCCGAAACTTGTCCATCAAAGGATTCTTATTTCCCCATCTAATAGATTTTGTGGTAAAATATACATCATAATGCATAGTTCCAATTAATATTCGAATGCAATTGGATTCGGTTTCGCACATACACACAATTATAGATAAACATAACTTGAATGTCAAGGGCGTATTACAACAAATTTTGCCATATAAAGTCGACCACTCGTTCATTATTATGGCGCACTATTTCGCCTTTAAATGGAACTGAGTTGGATTTGTTGTTTCAATACTATGACCTAGAACTACTAGTCTATTTAATATATTTTCTTCATCTTTTTTCAAATAGTTGGTTTCTTCCTATTCTCTGTAGATTCCTAAAAGAACAATTATGGATGGATAACATAACTTGAATCTTAAAAGGTCAAACAATTTGTATCTCACATACAATAATACGACCTAGAAGTACTTGTCTATTTAATATACTTTCTTCATCTTTTTTTTTTGAAATAGTCGGTCATTCCTATTCTCTGAAGATTACTAAAAGATCAATTAAGCTTTTCTAAAAACTACTCACTGGTTATAACGCTGATGGATAACAACCTTGATTCTTAAAAAGTCAAAAAAATTTTATCTCACATACAATAATACGACCTAGAACTATTAGTCTATTTGATATATTTCCTTCATCTTTTTTCAAATAGTCGGTTCATTCCTATTCTCTGTAGATTACTAAAAGATCAATTAAGTTTTTCTAAAAACTACTCACTGGTTATAGCGCTGATGGATAACAACCTTGATTCTTAAAAAGTCAAAAAATTTTTATCTCACATACAATAATACGACATAGAACTATTAGTCTATTTGATATATTTCCTTCATCTTTTTTTCAAATAGTCGGTTCATTCCTATTCTCTGTAGATTACTAAAAGATCAATTAAGTTTTTCTAAAAACTACTCACTGGTTATAGCGCTGATCGGCGGGAGAGCGCCTTGCATCACAAATTCGTTGTTGCAGCGTATCTCGCAGCCTCGGCAAAATTTTGACCACGGGCAAATGGCACAGGTGAGACCGTCGGCCTTGACGGCGCGTAACGTAAATGGAAAATCGTAGCCAAGGCTGTCGTCGCTGCAAGCGTAGAAAATTAGACATTACCTGGGATGGATTGAGGAAGGTGGTTACTCACCAATCTGCTGCATGGTTGGCCTGCTCGGTCGTAGCGGGCAGTGGACTCAACAGCCGACTGACCTGCAGCCAAACGGCACAGTACAAGTCCTTGTGTGTGCCTCCATCACAGTTGGGTATAAGGAGCGGCACTCCAAACAGACTGGGTCGCGTCTTGTGGTAGGAGAGGAAGTAGCTGTCGTGCCTCGTTATTTTGCGATGCACGGCCACCAGGTATTTGCCCACTTTGTATGGCTGGGAAGAGCGACGAGAGTAGACGCCACTGCTGGTCTGATTGATGCTGGTGCTCTCTGGCTGCGAGGTGGTTATGTGTTGCTCCTCCTCATCCTCCTCGCCTGGGCCGGTGTCCTCGTTGCTGATGCTGTTCCCCCCAGTTTTGGCGTGGGTTATGCGATACGATGCTGAATAATCATCGCTGCCATGTCTTCTCGTTGGCCCTTCAGATGCCGTGGCCAGGTCCACAGGCATGGGCTCCGTTAGGGAGCTCTCCATGGAGTTCTCACCAGAGTGATTTGTGTAGGACGTAGAGCTCGTATTGCTCTCCGTGTGTAGCAATTTTGTGGACGAGACCCATTTCTGTTGTGTGACCGTGCCTTGCATAAAATTGTTCTCTGGACTACAGCTCAGAATCACCGACTCCTGCTTCGGCGATGAAGTTATGTTTTGTACAAAGATCATTAGTTGGAGTTTGCAAAATATAAATAGATTAAGTGTTTGTGTGTGTGTGTATAGGGTGTGTTAAAGCTCAAAATTAAACAACCAACGACGGTTACTAAATATGCAACATTTTAGAAATGTTTTTTTTTTTAAAGGTAAACGCACAAATTCTACAATGAATTGGAAAAAGTTTCTTAATTGGTGCAAGAGTCAAAAATGTTTGTTTTTACGGAGAAAGTGTATTAGAATAGAGAACTATTAAATATTATTATTGTTATTATTATTACTTATTAAAGTGAGTAATACACTCAGTGGTATGTGGCAACAGCAGTGGAGTGTGACAATAATCGTATTTAGTTTCGAATTTGAAATGTGCACAGCAGAATGATTCAAGCGCGAGAAAATGGAGCTATCGATACTGCGGATCAAAGCGTACAATATTGTGGAAATGGTAGCATAGCTGCATGATAAGTTTTTTCTCAATTGTTGCTTTATTTAAGAAAGATAATAAAAGAAGATAACAAAAGAACAATTATTAAATCAGTTCGTGTGCCTTGATTAGTGGCATCTCTCAAAGAACCAGATTATATACAAGTATGAATCTTAAAAATAATAAGAATTCAAAACGGTTTGGCACAAATCAAAACGATTTGTTTGTGAGCTATAAATTATATAAATTGTGCCTTGGTTTTATTTTTCATTTATGTTACTCAACATACGCCAATGCTAAATTTTGCCTTTTTTGCTAACAGATTTCGTATTTCTAGAATTGTCATCTTTGTTATTTGAAGTTTGAATATATTTTTTAAACTTAGTGCTACCAAAAAACATGAATTTGTAAGATCACATTTAATAAAATTAATCGTATTACTGTTCAATAAACAAACAATTTAGAAAAACTTTTTTATGTCTTTTACTAATCCTATGTGAAGCATTAAAAAATGTTTAAGCTTAAAATGCAATTCCACTTTATGAAATGCGATCCGAATTGGATCGAAGTGTGTGGAAAAAATTGGTAAATGTTTGAATTACCAAAAAAACAATTGAGTTGCAAAATTATGGAACCCTAAATCCGAAGCATAGTTTTTAAAACCGAATAAGTCAACATTTCTACGATTTACACCTTCGATTCCGCATGAAAAATGCTTGAATGCAATCCTCAAAAAAAAAAAAACGAACTACAAAAGATTGAATCATGAATCACCCTGATATGCTGAATAGAAAATTTGTTGTTGTCAAACTACCACAATAGTTGTCAAATCAATTTACATAACTTTACAAAGAAATTATAATATTTGCATACTAAGTAACCAAATGCTAATTATACCAAACAACAATAAGTTCAACAAGTCGATAGTAAAGGGGTGAGAGGTCCAATATTGGAAAACTTGTAAGCTAAATGTACAATAAATACGGTTAAAGGTAATAACGAAAATTAAAGGTGATTAGTACTAGGGCATAGAATTTACAAAATGTTTAATTTTACACATGTATGAATGAACAATAATTGTACAAAAAGGAAAGGGAAGCCCAAACCAAGCAAAATCGGCAACTTTTCATCTAACATAGTTGTATTTAATATTTAGATTTTGTAATCACTCTTTTCTCTCGATTTTCTTCGGAACGCAGAGACAGAACAAAGACAGCCGAAAGATAGATGACGATATTGAGCAGGAGACAAAGAAATAGAGACAGACAGAGAGAGAGCGAGCGGAGGGCGCTTTGACGCGAATATTTAATCTTTATCCTAGACTATGTCGCAAGTTGGCTAGAAATTTCAAGTTTTAAGAGATCGGGTGGTTGTTGTTGCGCCTTCGTTTGTTTGGTAAGAAAATTGTTTAACTTTCGGGCATAAATCTAATATATTAAATACGTGTATGTTACAGTTTAGAAGCCATACCTTGAAGCAAAAAAGGCTGTGGGGCATGCACTCTCTCTTTCCAAAGCACCGGCTTACCTTTCCGGCATCATCGTGCAGCATTTCGTGTGAGCTGTTGTTATTGTTGTTGCTACTATTGCCGCTGCTAAAGCGATGAACCACACCGTCGCCGCCAGCCAACGCCTCAGCATCGCCATCAATCGGACTGTGGTTATCATTGTGGTCCCCACCCGTACTAACGTGTCCATTACAAAGGGCGCGCCCCTCTCGATTGCTGCTGCTGTATGAAGTTTTGTTCGTTTGCGTTTGGAGTGTGCTCAGCGAGGAGAAGGAGTCCTGGGCCGTAATTAAAGCTGTGAAATAATTTACGAAGTGAGCATAATTTTTGATAACCGAATGAGATATCGAAAATGCAATAATTCATAAATTCTAGGTTTCATAAAAAAGAAGTTAAAAGAAAGCAAGTAAAACAGCGTTTTTGAATTGTGTAGCATTTGTTTAACATAAAATTAATTTAAATTTTTCCATGTAACTGCTTCTATTTATTGTATGCGATCTGTCGTGATTTTTCTCGATTACTATTGCAAAGGGTTTTTGAAACTTTCTTTGCTAGAAATTCTGTTTGCTTCTAACAACGCCCAGAGCGTTGAAAATTTCATTATCTTTAAAAATTTCAAATTCCGAACACACGTCGCAGTGTTTTTATCGAGAAGATTGAGAACAGAAGATTGTGTGAAAACCAGTTTACTTTGTTTAGATTGCTTAAACATTTAAGCGGTCATAAAAGTACCACTTCGCAGTTTCACGCATAGACAACTATTTTTTTTAAACACGAATCAATTCCAATTTTCTTAATATACAACATTTGTGTGCATTTATTTATGAGAGTAGAAAAGGTGTAGTGTGCGACTATGAGAGATATTTTTATCAAAGGTCCAGCTTAAAGAATTATTTTTGAATTGAAAATTCAATCTTACATCAAAACCTACACAACACCATAAGACCTGAAGCTTAGACTAGACCTGGGCTGATTCGTAAACTTTTTTTAATGACTGCCGAATTTTCGTAAAATTCGTGAAGAAGGTGTCAATTTATTCACGCAAATGCAAGCCTTTGCGAAAATTCACGACTTTACAATAACTTACGACATCCACAAAGTTTACAAATAATAAAAAATTTATGTGAATGTGTCTAACAAATTCGAAAGAAGTGATTAGCACAGTATTGACAAAATACCTGGTTATGCGAAATACTTTTAAATATCTACATCGTAATTGAGAACATATTGTTAATGAATTACTATTGCTGATACTATGAACATTTCTTAAAAAAACAAAAAAAAAACCGAAAAAAAGCGTATTGGAAACGATACTGGAGTTTGAAACCTTCAATAAAAATATATATATCTGTAGAAATTTGGCGTCTAAATGAGCAAATTGAATAAAAAAAAGGTTTGTTAGAAGACAAAAAAAAAATTAATGGACAAAATGGGTGAATTTCATTCGAATTTGTATTATAATATACATATATGATATAATATATATAATATAATATATATAATATAATATATATAATATAAATAATATAATATATATAATATATGTGTATAACTTATTTTCCGTATATAAAATAAAAGTACACACTTCATCGAATTGTTTACGCTTATAACTTGCATTATCATCTACATTATTACTAATTTTATGGCGTAAAGTGTACATAAACTTGAATTTGAAAAATTAAATCGCACATGAAAATGTTGTTTTTAATAAATTACTCGTAGAAATAGAGTGCTGAAGAAATAAACTAAACCTAATCAATAAGAGATTAATAATAATAAAATAAAGCATTAAAGTATCATTAATCAAGAGTGACTTACCTGAACTGCGCTGTATGTCCTTGAGACCCTGTTCGATGTGCATGCTAATTGTGGAATTAGATCGCGTTCGAGCGTTGCTCTGTTCAGGCAACTGATAAACGTACAGATTCTTGGCACCTTGGGTATGCAACTTCTCTTCATCGGGTAGTATTTGCCGTATCTGCGAGTTCCACAGCTCGCAGACAAGCATGAAGTTGGGCTGGAGGTAGCACAGAGTAGCCAGCTTGTGCTTCAGATCGTTGTATTTGCAGTCCGAATTAAGCCGTAACCCATACTTAATGGGTACGCTGCCGTCGAGTAGAATTACTGCAAAATTTAGATTATGACACATTTTCGTTATGAGTGTAAAATTTGTGATGACCCCGGCTAGAAAGAGTTGGCTGGCATGATCACTTACCTAACACCTCAAAGTACACATAGTTCTCCACTGGCAAGGGCAGGCTGAGCAGACTGAATGGATCGAATCGTACGGACTCGAGGCCACAGCCCTGGCAGCTAACCTTTGACTTAAGCTGCCCATAAAACAGATCGATGATTATTGATTGATTGCGGGCATGATGCTGGGCCCAAGCTTCAGCGGCGACAATTTTATCCGGTCGTCCATTCGAGTCCTTCAACTCACTGTATGGCTTCTCCATTACTCGATTTAGATCTTCGTGCAAGGCATCCAGAAACCACTCGAGCAGTTCTTGCGTATCATGCTGACCACCACCGGCAAACTGAGGCGCATGCTTGTTGACACAGAAGCGCAACTTGAGAGGCGCCACCGATCGCGTAGTTGCCGTCCACACCTCTTTGAGTAGCTCGGCATAGCGCATGGCCAATTGGCCACGTGTCCCCAACTTATTATCCGAATTCAGCTCGAAGTGGTGCATATTGCGGTGGAAATACTGAGCCAGTGGTTGCGTATTGAAGAGCACCTGCAGTGCCGCATTCATGAAGCACGTGTTGCCCAGATTGTGCAGCCCCGTGGCTCCTGGCGCATGCACTGACATAATGGAGCTGCGTGTCAGACGCCGCTCGCCAGCGGCTCCGGTGTAGCTCTGTCCATTGGCCAAAGACAATGAGCCTAGTTCTTCGGGCCATGTTAGATCCTTATTGCGTATCTCCAGCAGAAGTTGATCATTGTCGCGTATCAGCAGCTCACTCAGATTCATTGAATCCTCCTCCAGTAAAGTGGCATTGCTGTCCAATGCGAGTCCCTGCGGGGGCACATGCCACAGCCTGATGTCCTCCGATTTGAGCCGCAGCTGATCGCACAGGAACTCACCCACCTGACGCACCGTCGCCAAACGACTGAACGCGGCCGTGTAGGCCAAATATCGCTTTGGCGGCTGCAACACACTGCTGGCTGCAATAGCCGCATAGCCGCCGCCTGAGGCTATCACTCCATAACTGCCCGTTACGCTGCCCCAGCTATTAAGCTGTGTGCCGCCGATTGCGCCGCCACTTCCTACCGATTGTGTGGGCTGCACTTGATGCAATAATATGCGTAAGTTCAGCGGATATAGCTCCAGTTCTACCTCCGAGTTCGGCGGTTGTATCACCTGTGTGGAGTAAATTAAAGAATGAGGCTTGATGGATCTTCAATTTCTAATGAAACTCAGAATACACTTAACTTCTTCAGATTTATCACAGACTCTTTCCTGTTTCAACTCTACATTCTATTTTTCTGCAGGGCGACATAAACTACAGGCATTCTTGTTACCATAACCGTTCTAAAATTAAGTTTTTACATCAAACGAGTGCATCCCCCCGTGTTGAGTCAAGCCAAAAGATCCTTGGATTAAAGTGGAATTTTAATCTTCGTTTGTCTACGTATTCTGGCAGGATTTTCTTTTAAAGCTTTCATTGGTAGCAGTCCGTTTGTGTTGTCTTTAAACATAAGTTGATAGGGTGTAGACTTCTCTCCACTTCTCATTCGTCTTAGCTATCCTGTTGCCTACAACCTGAAACTATTTACCAGTGATCTTGGGTTTAACTGGTTACACTCTGCACAATAGTTTTTGGCATTTTTGATCGGAAATGTTCAATGATTAGTTATTATCTTTCTTCTCTACTCTCAGTAAAACAGTTTTTTTTAAACCATCTTCTATGAAGTTCGAAAAACTTCTCCTAGCGTTTCAAACTAAAATGATAGGCGTCAAGAACTCACCTGACGGGGCAGTGGTAAATTATCGCCATACCAGCGATTTAGAGCCTTCCACAAAGATTTGGGCACCAACTCGAAGTCGTGACTCTGAACCAGGGGTGTGTCCCGTTTTAAATGCCCGCCCTCACCAGTCAGCGTGCGCACATTCTTATATGGATTGGCCGTAATCAGATTGCTATTGTCGATAGGCCCTGGTCTTATTTGACCACAATGGCGACCAGCGGATATGCCGCTGCTGGCGGAGCCCAGGGAGTAGTTGTCGTGAGCCGCTGTGGTTGTTGTGGAGTCCAGGCTGTGGGTATTGAAGCTCTCATCGCAAACAAGCGCCTCATCAATGGCATTGGTAACCGCCTGGGAGTTGCGCTGACTGGCACTGCGCTTGCAATATTCACAGGTGTGCGACGTATGCTGTGTATACTGCATCCAGTTGAGCCACCAATCACGTGATATCAGATACCAGAATTGGCCGACTCGGTACTGACGTCGTTCCTCGCGTCGCAGCCAGCCGCGCACAATGTCGTTCTCCATGTGCTTGCACTGAGGCCAAAGCCCGAAGACAATGTGGCACAGCTCGAAGATGAGATCGAGAAACGGCTGCATAAGCCGCAAGCCGCCCTGCACGTTCCACAGCATGAAATCCTCGGCTGTAAGCGAGACATTATCGCGGGTGATGCTGCAGTTTACAGCGACACTGCTGTTGCTGCTGCCGCCAGCAACTGCGGCATCCATGCTTTTGCGCTGCGCGAACTCCAGCAGGTCGTTAATGACATGCTGCTTTGTCAGCTCCTTATACTGATGCGCGTCACGATTCTCCTTGGCCACAAACAGTAGTACGTTGATCATTTGCAGAGTCTCCTCATGGCTAAGCATGCCGTCACGATCCACATCGAAGATCTTGAAGCAGACTGCAGAAGAAAAATTCATGAGTGAAAAGATATCCGAAAGGCCACAAAATAACTTACAGCGCGTGCGTTCCACACCCGGTCCGCGACACGCTGCGCTGACACCACAGCACAGCTCCTTGAAGTCAATGTGACCATCGCGATTCTCATCGAAGGCATTAAATAGACCGGCCAATGCGTTCTTTGGTATGGGCGGACTAATGAGTGGACCCAGAAATTGAAAATCAATTTGGCCATTTTGCGAGGTGTTCTTCAAACGCCAAAATTCTTTCTCCAAATCGCCAATGTCCTATAAAATAAGAAGAATTTTTAGCATGTATCTATATAGCATAAATATTTTAGAGCCGCAAAACTATTGTTTATGCACCTGTTCCTATTGAAATTTATATAAACCATTGTTTTATTAATTAATACTCTATAATTTTCTGATCTTCAATTGAATACTTAAAACAGTTTTTACAGTGCCATTTGGTCGCAATTGAGACTATCAAATTTGATAAAAATTATAGATTTTTTAATCACATACCTTCTCTTCCAAATGTGTGACACCCGCCAAGCTTTGATAGAACGTGGGCGTCTCCAGCTCTGACGTTAGACTGACACAATTGTCGGCCAACAGCCATTTGGACAGCATGGTTGCATTGCGATGCTTCGAAATCCAGTCCTGAAACTGATCGAAACTGACGCGTTCGCTTTGAGCAAACAGCGACACGGTCTCGATTTGCGGCAGATTAACATTGCGAACGTAGTCAGAACGGATGATATAGGTGCCCGCATCGTTGCAATACAAATTCCACAAAAACCTACGAGAATCAATAATTGATCACAGTCGTATAATTATAAAAAAATTTAGCTTATTTACTTGGTTTTCTCCTCTGGCGTGCCGCGTGTGATCAGGACCAGTCCACAGAGCAGATCTTTAAAGGATATGCCGCGCTGTGTGCCACCGCAGGCGGCATATAACATATCAGTGACTTTTGGCGGCACACCCTCGCATAGGACATCCTGCTGGAATGCATTTCGGCTGAGATAGAGTCGTCCGACTCCGGCCGATTTTTTAAAGGCATCTTTTAGGCGTCGTAGTTCGGCTTCAGAAACTAAATAAATAAAGAGAGGGATTATAATAATAGAGTCCGTAATAAACCGTTTTAATTGCTTTATTTAGAATATCAAATATCACAAATTAAATCGAAAAGCTAATTCTTTGGATATTACAGAAATATTTGAGTTACTTTAAGTAGGGCTCGAGAGAAGTACAGTTTTTTTGTATTATTATACTTTTAAAATGTTGCCAACGATTATAGTGAACTATTCAAAAGTAGTTAACAATGTTATGCACAAAAAAAACTTTTATAAATATCCTAATTTAAAGATATTTTATAAAAATTATAATTTTATTATTAATAGTTGTTTAGGTAGGGACACTGGTTTTTCTGTCACTGCAACTTTAATAATAGACCGCACTACGTTTTAACAATTGCTATTTATGCGTGATCAAATTTCGACTACAGCTTCAGCTTAGTTTTTAATTATTTTGTAAGAATTCCCGTTAGTATTATACAACGCTTTCCAATAAGTTCAACGATTAAGTTTTTAACCAATTTTAAAGCACAGCCTTTTTTTGAGAGAATATGCAAAATCCAACAATAAAGAAAATCCAGATGCAATTACGCTTTGCAATTTGGACAACAAGCTAATTTAAATGAGAGTAGTTTTTGTTATTTGAGTACAACTGACTCATTTAACGGAAAATCACAAGTGCACATGCACATTTTTACATACAAGCATGCACACATACATACATACATATGTGTGCATAAACGTACATTCATACATGTATTATACACATAATGCATATACATGCATACATACATACATACTTGTATATATGTATGTATGTATATGCATGTGTACATACATATGTATGTACATGCTATCTGCATGTGTTGAAATAAATAATTATAAATCGAATTGTACAATAAAAACCATAACTGACGTCGAAGTAGCGTGTAATCAATTAATTATCAATAAAAGCGAATTTAATGCCAAATATTAAATGGTAGAAGCAACAGATATTTTCGTCATTGATAATCTCAAATCAGGCGTGAAAAGGAAATGCGTAGTAATTAGCAAATTGTAAAGCAGTTGTGCGACGTCACGTGACCGACCAATAATGGATTGTAGAAATCTTTAACCTGTTTTCATTATATTTTCTTCAAACTTCGAATAAAAACGTAAGTTGTATTTGAATTTTGTTTTGAAATGTGTATGGTGTCTAAAAGAACCGGCAAGACACGCGCCTAGGCCCAAATAGGCTTATCATCAGCCACGCTATTTGTTGTTGGTCATAAAAAAAAAAGGTGGCTAGTAGCGAATTTAGCAAAGAAAAGCAAACGTCATACGCTAACAACAACAGCAACAAAGTTGCATTTGCAGGTTATTAACTGTTTGTCGTCTTTGTCTCGACATTCGACGACATGCGCTACGCGCAACCGTCTTCTTCCTTCAGTCCCCTCCCCTAACGCAAGCAAACAAACAACGAAGCGGCAAGTGCGTTTTTCTATTGTGACGTCACTTATGGCGGCGACGCAAATACTCATACAGACACACACATACTGGCGCAGATGTACATGCAAATGCCAATGCATGCATTTGTCAAGATTTTAACTTATAGCCTTCACAAGTGCAGATAAAGCATCAGCAACACAGGCAATTGGGAATAGAAATGAAAGCACAATAGAATCGATAAAGCGTAAGTACATCTGTATTAGTAGTAATGAGTATTATTGTTTTTGTTAAGGGCCCTGTTGCCACAGACTTTAGCTGATGTCTGACGTCGCTTTCTGGCTCGAATGACCCATTTCTGTTTTGACCATTTTGGTTTTAATAAAATCTTAAATTCCAAGGCCAACTTACCACGCTTAACCGCATCCTCGTAACTGATGCAGGCATGTTTGGACTCCTTTGTGCCCATAATTACAAGTATCCCAATTCCTTCTCATAAATTTTTATTCTCGTTCACGTACCACTGTTGACCACTGTTTATGTATGGGGCGAATGCCCCAACAAACCAATAGATATTATGTATATTGTCCGTTTTGTATAGTTATATAACTGGATCATGTATATTTTACGTTTTAAATCAATTTTCGTCACAATTTCATTGCTTTACTGGCTTCCATTTATTCATAATAATAAAGACACCACACATTTTCTAATAAGAACTGGCCTAGTGATGTGCTGCAGGCGAGCAGCTGTTCAACGATAACTTATCGGTAAGTGATTAAAAAATCGCGCTTCCTAACACGTTCTGTAACTGCATTTCGAGTACACCGTTTCGCAACACTGTTCGCATCATATATACGGGCGTAATTTAGAAAGCAAATAATTAAGAGTAATTTAACCAACAACAACACCAATTGCGAATTACAGTGTGTACGCGGCATATAGCAACTTCGAAAAACGCGCGTAAACTTGTTTTTATTGCAGTTTCTATACATTTATAACTACGTCACAACTCTTTACACAGCTCAAAGAGCGCACACACACAAACACAAAAGAAAACCAGAGCTGAAAAACCGTGCGTGCTTGCTTGCGTGTGTTTGTTTGTGTCTGCTGTGGTTACGTCTAGGAATTTTTTAATACCAACAAAAACTACAACAACAAATAACAGCACACTATAGCTAATAGGTGTATAATAATATATCGAAAACCACTGATTACCAACCACCGCCATACAAAAAAAAACTCAACTCAGCAGCAGCAGCTGAGCAGAAGACGACGACGTGTACAAGTACAACAGCACCAGCAACAACAACTTGAGCTGAGCGGAGCGGCCACTGTACATCATCATCACTATCATCAATATTAACGAACCCGAAATTATTTACGCGTTCAGACAAAACAGAGTCCTAACAAAAGCGCAACTGTGATTTTTCTTGTATTGTGCAACAGCCGCAGTAGCAATAGCAGCAACAGCTAAAAAACTAAAAAGGCAAAAAGAATGGCCAAAACGTACGACTACCTGTTTAAATTGCTGCTAATTGGCGATTCAGGTGTTGGCAAAACCTGCATATTGTTTCGATTCTCAGAGGATGCGTTCAATACAACGTTTATATCCACAATAGGTGAGTATGTATGTATAAGTAAATGTAAAAAGTGCCTACACCACCCGCACCAAACACCGAGCAAACATTTTATTGTGCATACATCATCATCACCAACAATGGTGTATCTATAATCAACAACTTTACATACACATCTACATATGTATGTATGTGTGCGTATAAATTTTTTAATTAATTATGACGCCGCCGGGCAGTAATCGCACTCATTCTCAATTCCTATTCGAGCTCCTCAGCGACAACAAAAACAAAAACATGAGTCATTTTTTAACGCTACTCTTTCTCTTGCTCAGTGTGCTGGCATTTGTCATAACTTGTTGTTGTTGTTGCTCATAAGGCGTAGTTTAAAGGGGGATGAGAGTTAATAATTACATTATCAATTCAACAGATGTACTCTGGCAATCTTTATTGGTTTATTTCGAACTATTAACACAACTGTGTTCGAAGCCCCACATATTAATTTTATCAGAAGAACTCTACGTCCATGTCGAAAGCCGTACTTAAGGCCTTTGCATATTGAATATTTCGGACCATTTATGTTTATTTAAAGACAAGGGTGCGCCCAGCATTGATAAGAGCATAAGTATAATTATTTGTCCGTATGTTTGTTTGAGTTGAGAACATTGTCTTGACGCCAACAACACAAATATTCGACTGTCACGAGCATTTGTCCGCTGTTTGTTTTCGTTTTTGGCACGTCTCCCTGTGCTATTTCCAATTTTGGGTATTTGCTTTACAACGACATTGTTTTAATCAATTGCGTATTGTCAATTAAGCGATCGCATTGCTTTGTCCACTCAGCGTGCTCTTCATAAGAACTCGGCTCATTCGTCATTGGTGGCTCTCGGGCTCTTTTTGCTAACATACATATGTATGTATGTATAGTCTGCGGGGCCGCAAAAAACAGGTTGGATGGCCGCAGAAAATTTGTTCATTCTGTGGCTTATTTTTTTTTTTTTTTGTTTTACTGCCAACTACTGCCAAATTATTCAAATATATGTACTTGCTCTCTTCTGTTGGTCATCGGTTGCTTTCTTCTTTTCGCAGGTATCGATTTCAAAATTAGAACAATTGAATTAGATGGCAAGAAAATTAAATTGCAAATATGGTATGTATGGATATTATATGAAATTATGCATTATAATAACAATTTCTTATTCCTTAAAGGGACACTGCCGGCCAGGAGCGTTTCCGCACAATTACCACGGCCTATTACAGAGGTGCCATGGGCATTATGCTGGTCTATGACATAACGCAGGAGAAATCTTTCGAGAACATAAAAAATTGGATAAGAAATATCGAAGAGAATGCTTCGGCGGATGTGGAGAAAATGTTGTTGGGCAACAAATGTGAACTGAACGATAAGAGACAGGTACGAAGAAGGGTGTAATCAATTTTATAGCAGATGACTGATAAGTTGTTTGTATTTTTAGCAATGATGCTATTTTTAATCTTAATTAGAAGTGAGTCAGAAAAAAAAAGAGTTGTCGATTAACAAGAAAACATATACTCAGGCTAATATAAACATCAAAACACTAATTCAAGTTGCATGTATAAAATATTTTGTGGGGATTTGAAGAGCAATAAGAAACCAAAAATAGGATGAACTTGTTCCACCTTCCGGTTTAGTTGGTAAATGCACCCAATTTTAAAGAACGGTTTAACCCACTAGCCACTTTTTAAATTGAAAAGCTCATAGATGTACTATATTTAGAAAGAGTTTAAATTTCAAAATGGAAACATGACTGATTATGTAGTTCAATGTTTGTATATGTATACAATTATTCAATTCCTAACGATTAAGATGCATTTAAAACGGATTGATTGGAAGGTATTCTGGTTTGTAGCTTTAAATGTGATAGATTAGCTTACCTTAAGGAATGGAATGTTAGAAAAACTTAACTGAACACTTTAATTTGCTTACATCTGTGTATATTTATAAAACCTGTATACTATAATTTTTTTTAGGTTTCGAAAGAGCGCGGTGAGCAGTTGGCTATCGAATATGGCATCAAGTTTATGGAGACATCCGCGAAAGCAAGCATTAATGTGGAAGAGGCCTTCCTCACGCTCGCCAGTGATATCAAAGCGAAAACGGAAAAGCGAATGGTAAGCAATTATGGAGTAGACTTGCGCCTACAATTACAAAAACTCACACGCACCCGTATATGTTTTGTGTGTGTTTCAGGAGGCGAACAATCCACCCAAAGGCAGCCATCAGCTAAAACTGACAGAGAGTCGAAAACCAGACAGTTGGCTGTCGAGATGCAGTTTGCTTTGACGTGGCAACGTTCAGTTGGCACTGATGCGGCATGGTGGTAATAATTACGATAATGTATGTGGTAGTAGTTTTCTTAACTCGTGTTAAGTCGAACAACAGAACAACAACAGCATAGTTACAGACAAAAGACACAGACAGACGATAGACAGACAGCAAACACCCTTAACAATAGAAAAAGAAGAAGATATAGAAGGGAAACGATGAACATACGATATACAACAAAAACAAAAATAATACACTTATTAATTTTTACATGCGCTCTCGTTTGCACATTTGCAACATATAGACGGTTTATACAGTTTATGGTTTTAAAATCGCATAAATAATAATGACATGACGAAATAACGTATACAATAACATACAATACACACCAATACATACATACATTAATGTTGAAACGGAACACATATATATATATAGGAATACGATCTAGCGAAGAATTGTGTGAAACGAAAAGTGAAAAGTGGAAAGCCAATCTAGCAACACAGCCCGCCCTCTCTGGTACTCACCTCACCATTAAAATTAAATTAAACAAGTTACTCCTATGTGTAATTAATTTTCTGTAGCAAAAACAATGCAGCCATGGTTGTTGTTCATTTTGTAAATCTTTAATTACAAGTTTAATTATAAATAATTATATATATATAAATGTACTTTTTATATATATGCGCTAATTTAGTACACTGTTTTGCTCATCATTTGTAATAAATACATAAACTATTTAAAACGCACAATTTTACGCTCCACTCCGAATTTTTCATTGCATATTTGCGGGTGCTTTTTTGTTTAAAACACACACACACACGCATGGAAACAATATTTTGTTTTCATCTATTATTTATTGAATTATTTGAACTTTGTATTTGTTTGCCGCACACATATTCAAACATACACACACACCATACATACGAGACTTTGTCATTGAACGGTTAATATCTAATAATGCAATAATTGAATCTAACAACAAATTTACGTAAATAAAAAATACAATCTATTGTGAGAATGGTTTATACATATGTCGAGAAAAAAGAGCCGGTATGCGAGCACATACTACATACATAAGTTGAGACAAATGCGACGCAGTAAAATAAATACATATTGTGAAATTAATAAATAACTAAATGCATTATTTGTAATATTAATAATTATATTATTAAAAGTATACAATTTTTTAAAAATAAATCGTGTACAAGAAACTCTTTGCTGTTCATTAGTACTATATCGCCGTTGACCGTAAAATGTCTGTTTAGAATTAACATATCATCGTCGTAGCTTATTCAACTTTTAAACACTTTTCCAGAAAGTCCAAACTGAGTGTTCGTCCCATTAGTGCTAACATTCATTTGGAAAATATAATTAAATTGGCAATATTGGAAAAAATATAAGAATATACTTTCAAAATATCCTGTAAGGAAAGATTTGAAAAGTATATTAGCAGACAATTGTACTTTCATAAAAACTATCATCTGTCTCTTACTTGTCTCGCAATTGTACCTACATTTTGTTTGAAAGATATAAGAACCATGGTAATCATTACGTCCCATGATATTGGGTAGAAAGCATTTAGTTCCTATCGTTCAAAATATCTCATTGTCGTAAGATAGTTCCTTAGGAGTTGGTAAAAACATCAAAAAAGCGTTCTACAAATTAAAACCACGATTTAGAAATCGTGCCTATATTTCGTTTAAGCTAGAAATAAATCCACTAACGTGACTACAAAACCTTGTTCATTTTAGTGATATACTTCAATCGAAGATCTTGAGGTACTTTTTGGTTCCAAAATAAGCCTTCTCTTGCCATAGATTTCTAGTAGGATATTGCTTTTAAATCTTCCATCTCTAGCGATCCAAAAGACAGTACTTGGTGTAATTTGTCTTCACAAGCTGATTATTATCGATGTAGGCGACTTAACTTTTCTGTTTGGTGGATGGCTCATGAATATTATAAGATTTAATGTTCCCTAAAGGTGAGGGAATGCATCGAACGTGACTATATCCTGATTTTATTATATACCTTGCAAAGTCCCGATCTCATTTATTGAAAGCTTGTGAACTTAACGATCATTTTGTATTGGACTGAAGCAATCATTATGGTTTTTCCTATGCATTGTTTCAAGTAACAAAAAATTATTGGTAAATAGTATATATGCTTGAAAAATACCTACCTATATATATATATATATATATATATATATATATCAAGACCATATTAAGCCATAAACGGTAATAAAGTGCTCGAAGCGCAGCACCGGAACAGTATTGTGTGAGCGACGAGACTTTTGTGTGATTTGGTAGAATTAGGTTGACGTGCTCCCATATCGGTAATAATATGTGTTTAACGGAATAACAAAGTTTAAGCACATTGGCTCAAGTGTATACTTTAAATTTGTTACGATATAGAGATGACATTCATAAACTAACTGCCATGCTAGAGGTTTGGTATATTACTACGAGTTTATCAAAACTATGAACTACTAAAAACAGATTGTTATTCATTAAAATTAAATTCTATATATTTGGAACTTACCCACTGCATTCCAACGCACTAACAAGGTCTATAAGTTAAAATAATATTAAGAGTATATGATCTTCAAATGGCAAACACAACTGGACTCAAATTTAAATTTTCTCATTCAACAGTTATTATCGGAAATAGCGATAATTATGTTGTGAATGTGTTTCAGGCATTTCTTGATCTATTTTTCCACTTACCTCCGAAGGAACCCTAGACTTGCCATGGGCAATCTTTGGAGTTAATCTTTTTTCGATTTTTAGCGATCAAGAAATCCAAATATCTACAAACAAGACAATCATTTCAAATATACTATTTTTCAAAGTTAAATAAACTACTCATGGATAATAAATAAGGTTAAAGAATCTTTTGAAAGAAACCTATAATTTGCAGTCAGTTTAATTAAATGCACAGATATATTATACAAGTATTTAAAAACACGAAACATTAACGTTTTGCTTAAGATAAATTGCATAGTAAGTAGACAGCTTAAATTAAAATACAATTAATTGTACGATATGAACATTGGAACAAGGCAAATTATTGGAACATACATACTCGTATATGTGTAAAAAGCAGATAGATAAACATACACACATAAAGAGAAAAAGATCTCCTGTTAGGGTTACAAATTACATACAGAATAGACACAGACACACAATCGAATCCTCAATAAGTGGAAGAAACAATTTTATAGTATAGTCTAAATGGATTGCACGAGAACCAGTTTTTAGCAGCTGAGCGCGTTACGTCTGGGGCAGTTTTTGGTAGTATGAGGCGAGTATCTGCCAAGCCTTTGGCTCCATGAAACCATTAGGCGGATTGGCTCCCGTTCGGGCGAGTGTCCGCATCTTTGTGCCCGAAATAAATTCAAAGTCATCCTTACGTTTCGGCTCGAAAAAGTCCATGCGACTGGCAGTCTTATCGTAGGCGGCCACGCGGAAGGGCAAAATCTATTGGAAAACGAGAAAGTACAATTAAAGCAACAGCTCTATCGATTATCTAAGCGGATTTTGACGACTCACCTCCATGCTGTCGAGACCCTGCGCCATTTTTAAGACACGTGCTCCATGCGTGGCATCGTACAGATTGCCATCGGGATAGGCCAGCTTGTCCGGATGGGGCATGCCGGCAGGATCGCGACCGACTATGTAAAAATTGGCGCCGGCATTCATGCGTGCCTTGGCATGCCACTGAACCTCCGTGGGCCCCGCATACATCATGGGGGATGGAAAAATGGCCAGCACAGTGTCCTCACGACGCAGGACGCCCGAATCGAGAACCGCCTGATGCTGTGCCATGCGCACATCAAGCGGCACATCGTCGTCCTTGGTCCAGCCGCCGAGTGGATGCAGCAATAGCACGGGTTGCTTAAAGCCGCGCTCCAACAACTGACGCCTGGTGTCCTGCATCAAGAGCGCATGGCCATTGTGTATGGGATTGCGCAACTGAAAAGCAAAGATGGCATCTGCATTCAGTTCCTTGAAGCGACGGCGCAGCTCATTCGGAGTCAGCCGGTACTGATCCAGGCCATCGTTCCACTTTATGCGTTCGATTACTGCCAGCTCCCCACCGACCAAATACTCGCCGGCCTCATAGACTTGCTTACTGTATGGATGGTTTGGATTGCTGGTGCCGAACTGGCGAGCGAGGCGCTCCTCCTTGCGATGGAAGTAGAACTCCGGGCGTCGCAGTATCGCCACTGGCTTGCCCTCGTGTTGGAGGGTCAACGCAGACACACCATCCAGACGCTCCTTAGCCTCAGCGCTGGCACTCAACACAATCGGCACGGAGTGATTCTCCCGATAGGAGCCGTCCAGGCCGCTCAGCAGCGTATTAAAGTGCAGCGTCTGTAAATATTCGTCTTCGCGCATAAAGCCGCGCAGTGGATATGCCCAACCCTCTGATAGCACCTGCACCCACTGCAGCTCCACGGTTGTGATAGGCAGGGCCGGTAATGTGGCCGCTTCCTTGAGCAGTGCCTGGCTGGCCGTCTCCTCCGCCGGATAAAGTTCGGGCAGTAAGTCTACATCGCGTAACGAGCGTGGTATGATTCCTTCCTGCTCGAGCAGTTCCACAACCTTCTGGGTGGACTCACGTACCGTGTAGCCATCCGTGCTAACTACCAGTTCCGGTTGCTGTGGTCGCTCGTACTCCTGCGTGATGCCCGTGAATCCTTTAATCACACCTTCGCGTGCCTTCTTATACAAGCCCTTGACATCGCGCGTCTCACAAACCGATAGCGGTGTGTCCACAAAAATCTCGTAGAACTTCAGATTCGCATCCTTGTGGATTTTACGCGCCATCTCACGGTCGTCGGCAAAGGGCGACACAAAACTGCAAATGGCAACGACACCACTATCCGAAAACAGCTTCGCCACCTCACCCACCCGTCTGATGTTCTCCTCGCGATCGGCGGGCGTGAAGCCCAGATTCTTGTTCAGACCGGTGCGTATATTGTCCCCATCCAGACCATATGCGGGTATGCCACGCGACACCAGATATGCCTCCAACTCAAAGGCAATGGACGTTTTGCCAGCGCCACTCAGTCCTGTCCGACCATTTAGAGTTTAGTTTTGAAGTCATCTCACCTCTTCCTCTCAACTCACCTGTCAGCCAAACTGTGCAGCCCCGAAAACCGCGGCACAAGCCCAGATTCTTGCCCCTTGTCTCCCGCGTTACATGATGCTTCTGTTCGGTCACATTCGTCGCCACTTGTAGGCACTGCAAGAGGAGACAGAGAAAAGGGGTTAGAAAATGTTGAATCGGCAAAGAAAGGTTGAAAGCTCTTGTGACTTTAACGATACCGTCGCCCCGGGCTCACAAAAATTATCATAAATTAATATTCACGATGCCTCCGGTGTCTGCTGGCCAAAGACGCAAAATGATTTCTAGTTGACCCTGGAGTTATTTCATTGGTTGCCATTTCTTTCTTTTGCAAACTACAAGCAGGTTGATGACCTCACAATCCAGCATTCGCCAGCAAAGCGTGCGTGGAAAATCAACAAAAGGGCTGATAAAATAAATAACTATATAAACTACAATGCCATAACTCTAGCGGCAATGCATATCAGCTGCCCTTTCGCAAAGTTTAAATAATAATTCCTGGTTCAAGTTGGGTAGCTTAAAAAAAATTGTTCAACAATATTATAAATCTTGGTTATTTAATAACAAATTAATAATATGTTTTGGAGTTGGCTCAGCAACAAGTTTTTAGAATGTGTTTTACATAAGAATGTCTAAATCATCTAAAAAAGTGACGTTTATACTAAGATCTTTCGTTAATACAGATAATTGTGTAGTTTTCAATGGATAAGTGGTTTTTAAACAGTTTGATTTGGTTGATTGAAATATAAACAGCATCCATAAACAAACCTTAACTTTAAATTTGTTTAAAAATTGCACATTTCTAAAATAATTTGCTTTAATTTGTTAATTTGCCTTTTAAGTTACTTGTAAAAGTTGTTTAAGGTTTTATCCAAAAGATCTGATAAGCAGTTTAAATTTGTTTAAAAATAATTCTGTTCATGGAAAACAAAATATTCAAATATAATATAAAATATATTTAAAGCAGATACCTATAAATAAGCTAGCAAAGTCATTGTTTATCTTTTCATTTCCATGTTTGGATTCAGTACAGTAAAATACTTGTGCCAGAAGTCTGTTTATAAATAATATATTTCTGATTTAACTCAACACGTGTCTTACATAAAAAGACTTGACACATGAGATTATGAATATTAATTTAAGAATTTCTTCTCTATCGATTTATTGATGTCGTTTCATTTTTTTCATACGCATGTGAGCGTTAAAAACATTATTTTACAATAAACAAAGAGAAGGCAATGTTTACATACAAGCAAAGCTAATCATAAGTTACGAGGGGGCGTGCGGAATATTATCAAATTTGCAAAAATAAAAATTAAATCATAAAATAATGGTGTACTTATTTTTTTTTTTTTTGTTTTTTTTTTTTTTTTTTAATCTGCCCTTCATTAAATGGCTGTATGTATTGGGTTATTCCCTTTCATGCAGGTACAACTTACCCTTCTTTTGATATGCGGATAGAAACCAATGGGCGGATTCGGCATTGTTGTCGAATAAGTTTTTTGTTAATAATGCAATTTTCAATTTTGTATTATATTAAGCTCTGAAGTAGGAACCCAAAAAACCGTTTTCTATAAATTGGAAGCCTAGCTCAGCAAATTCGAGTTGAATAGCCACAAATGCTTCTGTCATAGACGTTGCCACGAGCGTCAAAAGCAAACTGAAAGTTGTCAATATTATTGCTGGATTATATGCCACGGAAACAGCCAAAGAGAAAAAGCGAGGAAGTGTGAGCGGCAGAGAGGGAGAGTACGAGAGAGAGAGTTTCAGAATTCCAGTAGATTCCGCTCTTAAGATCTGCGATCTGCGTGCGTTGGACCGTTTAAGCAACTCAGAAGCGTCTATTGTGGGAAAACATATGTAGATATCTGGAGAAATGTGTGGCTTTGGCTTTTTAGTCTTTAACTCGGCCATTGTCTAAGGTCCGTATGTACATACATACATAAATACCTAGATGTGCCAGAGGGCTAAATGCGGGCAAACGACATGTGTGTGAACAAATTCTAGATATATGTACATATAATATATACATAAGATTATGTGGACCAACAATCTTGTCGTTGCTTAATATAAAAGTTTATGAGCCGATTAGCAAAGAATAATTACGTTTTACTCATGCACATATCATAACAATACTCGTGCCATTAAAAGATTTAAACAAAAAACAAGATCTTCCGAAATTAGTGCAGACTTACCGTGTAAGTATACGAAATAAAATAAATAAATAAATAAATTGCTAAAAATTTCTTCTAATCGTAAAATCGAGTTGTGTATGTATGTTTAAGAAAGAAGTAGCAAACATAGTTCGTTACAAATTCAGGCGAGTCAAATCAAAGAAAATACAAATTGAATATAGCTTCTTCAAAATTTAGTTGGCGTTGCTGGCTCAAGGTCATGGTTGGTTTATTATTATTAAGAATCGGTTCCAATCAAATACAAGTGGAATACTAGATAAAATAAAACACTTTCAAGCCAAATAACTCAACACTTTTTATACCCTGTACCCGTAGGGTAAAAAGGGTATATTAGGTTTGTGCAAAGTATGTAACAACAGAAAGCATCTCTGACCCCATAAAGTATATATATTCTGAATCAGCATGACGAGAGAAATCGATCTAGACATGTTCGTCCGTCTGTCTGTCTGTCTGTCCGTCTGTCTGGATGAACGCGAGGATCTCAGAAACTATTAAAGCTAGAATAACCAAATTTGGTATCCAGATTCTCCTATGTCCGAGAAAGGACGAGTTTATTTTATTTTTTGAAATTTTCCCCCACTTCCCCCGCTACAGAATTTCGTCAGCACCGTCCACATTTCAAAAGTTACATTAACCAAACTTTGCACACATCATTTATACATAATAGTCTACTTTTGTTTCAATCATCTAAATCGGTTAATTCTAAGAAAAGTTATTAGCGAAACAAATTTCCTACAGTACAAACTGCAACAAGTTCGCTCTTCTTCTTCCTCTTTTTACTTCTGCTATGGGCGCATATAACGCAGTGACGGAAGTTTACCTGGGTACAGGGTATTTCACTGTCGGGCTTGCTCGACTGTAGCGTTCTCTCTTGTTTGATATTAAATTTATTTACTACCTAGAAGTTCTTAATAACTTATTCCTGTTTGGTTAATACAAGCAACTTCATTTGTCAAAGTAATTCTATTTGTGTTTTCTTTAATTAAAAATAAAATAATCACGTAAATAGCCTTTCTAATAATAAGGAAATAGCAAAATATGACGAGATCGGCTCAGTTGCTAAAGTCCTCTAAAGGACCAGAGTAAACTTTATTTTCAGTCCTCTGGTAGAAGGAATTATACGCACATGCGTATCTTAATTTCCCAAATTGAAGGATAAACAGTGTACATATATATTAAGCACTAAATACACATAGTATGTTTATGTTAAGTAGCCAGCACTTAACAAATGATTTATTTGTTTATAGGAGAACTCACCAGATCGGTGCATTTTTCGTGATTCAGAAGACAGCATTTGGCAGGGGCAGTTGTAGTGCCGTTTTGGTTGTTATTGTTGGAACTGGGCCAGTTCAGCAGGTTGGCGCGTTTTGTAAACATTTTACAAGTACAAAAGATAAACAAATACTATCACTAATAATTGGAATGTATGTACTAGTGAGGCGCGAATGTGGCGAAAAAAGAAAGTGAGCGACACTGACGCTGTTAATTGAAGAAGTGAGAGTTTTACTTGCGCCTAGCGCGGCGAAAATACAAAATGATGAACTTTCTCGGCTAAGCTCAAAACTGCAACTGAAATATCTTGGGTGCTTGCCAGTTCAGTGCAGTGCTTGTGGCACTCTCTGGCGAGGCGACACGACGGCCGGGTTGTGGGGGCCATGATCTTCCGATCTGTTTAGTTCAAGCGAGTACTCATATCTGTGTTCATTTCAATATTTATCTTAAGTTTAGAATTTTTAATTTGGGCCAATAAACAAGTTGAAAACAGCTGAGCACACTAATGTTTATTTGAACAGCGTGAAAATGTACCATTGGACGCAACAGTTATGATACAATTCTATAAGAAAGGAGCTACAGTTCTGCAAAATACTGACTTTTCACCAATTTTAATATACAGAATGTAGAGATTAACAAATTCTTTATTATTTTTTAACATTCTGGATTTAGAGATACAAAAATCATTCGGCTAAACTTGTTATTATTCTATACTTTGATAGGTCAGAATTTTTAAAAAAATGCCATCCTATAAATTGCAATGGCTTTACTTAGTTTCATAAAAATATTTAATTTCTGGGTTAATAAGAAAAAGATATTCATATCTTACCATTTTAATTTGAGTTCATTTAATTGCATATCTAAGTATTTTTGTTTAATTTTGGCTAATTTTCACTTTTTTATTCTCACAGCAATTTGAATTTCCGCTCTCTTGATACAAATTAGCGCTTCTCGGATTTATATAATAAATAGAACACATTTTTAAATTCATATTTATGCAGAGATAAGCTTTATGCCTTTACGATTTATAAATAGAATTCTGTTACTAAATTTTTCCAGCAATTCATGAGTACACAGGCTATAAAAATTAACACATTTTTAAGGAAAATACGTTTTGTATGTAGATAAGACTAATTTGATAATAATTCCTAAACGCACCCAGCTCTAGGTGATAACGAATGAAGGACATCCATGTCACTACCATTGTGAAAATAATAATTCATTCAAGTGCTATTCAAGCAAATTCTTTTGATAGTTGCGGTGGGAAAAACACGTAAATGATATAAACAATCAGTTGACAGAAGAGCAATAAGTACTTATTTATAAACAAAGGTCATAATTCAACGCAAACAACAATAATTATATTAGCCAGCAAGATATTGAGTGCAGAAGCCGGCCGACGCTCTGACGACCCACATACGACCCACATACGACCCGCGAGTGAACCAACAACTTCAGTAATAATACATAACAAGGAGCCATATTTGTTGGCCAACACAATAGGGAGTTCATCATCTGGTCATTCAACTCATGGCTGCTGTTGGCCAAGTTTTCGACTAGCCAGCCCCAACTGCGAAGTTTCCATTCGCGCTTACAGCTTCGTAAACTCAAAAGAGAGGCCAAGTTATTTAACTTGTTTACAATTCGTTGGCCTCCCCTGTCGCACATACTTTCTTTTTAATTTCAGCTTTTGTTCGTGTGCAATAATAATAGCCGCATTGTCATAAAATCAAGCACTTAAGCCGTTTTACTCATTTTTAAACTCTCGTGCCAAAATAAACTGCTTACATAATACAAATTGCTTTTACATACATATGTATGTATGCAGTCGTTTCTTTTTTTCTGAACATTGTACATATAACAATGCCCTTTGGCTGTTTTAATATTTAAAAAATATGGTTAGGGTTCTAGCAGAGAACTAGAATTAGCAAAATAGCGATATATCCTGGCAATTTAATAATATTAAACGATAGGCGTCTGTTTTTTTAAATTGAAACAAATATTAAAATCGAACTATTTAATCTTATTTAACCGTACTATCTTCCCTAATATCTTATTTTAGAAAGCTTTTTTCATTACTATTGGGTCATCACACATAATTTAATAAATAAACAAGTTGTTGTTACAAAAACTATCAATAACTACAACTGTTGTTATAAGCTAACACGATAAAAACAATATTTACACTCTTTCACTTTTCGTAAATGTACGTACACGTATTTGTCTAAAATTAAGTAATGTTAAAGTATATTCAAATCTAGGATTGACGGAAAACGTAAAAATTAAACCTTATAGCGTGCTATTCTTAATATTGTATCATATTTAATCAACAAGTGATTGTTAACCGATACGCTCCGAAACCATTTGAAGCAATCGAGATTTTTCCCAACCGGAATAGGAAACTTATTCGAGTGAAATGGAAACCGCCCTGCTTCTCAAAAACTTAGACTTTTCAATGTTGAGGTCTATTTAATCCAAACAAAAGATGAGACATTCCTATACCGTATAATCCAGTCTAATAGTAATGTCTAATGAATGTTGAATGATAACTGTTTTCGTGACTAATTGTTGTTTAATATGCATAACATATTCAAATTGAGATCCGAAAACCATATAGTAATTGCGCTTTAATAAACAAAATATTAACACTGCCGAGGTTGCAAAACAAGCTTTGCCATAAAAAGGTTCTATTTATACAGATTTTTGTATAAACCACTAAAAGTACAGCACCTGACTACGTATTTAACTTCATATCTTACAGAGCCTAAGTACGTCTATTAAAAATTCCATAAAAAGGGCCATAAAGTCGAGTTGAATTTCATTTAATGACTGTTTTGCAATTTATAAATGCATTTCTAAGTTGCTAATTGTAGTCCCCAGCTTGTACATACGAGCTCGCAATTATAACAACATTTAAAGCACCTCAAATAAATAAGCAAATTCGACGTTTTTCAATATCTCCGCCCGACATTTATACAGAGTCGGCAAAAAAACGGAATAATTTGTATACCCTTTATAGGTTCACGAGTGTACTCGTATTAGGCTTGCGGAAAATGAAAAATGTAACTGGCAGAAGATATATATTCTTGATCAGCATGAAAAGACTGGTCGATCTAGTCTGCCCACCTGTATGAGCACCTGGACCGCAGAGATTATAAGCCATAAATGTAATCTTTGTCCAAGCTCTGCTTGCAGCTGTTGTTGTTGCTGCTGCTTGGCTCACTCATAGACATAGGTACAGAGTATTTCAAAGTCGGGGCACCCGACTTTAGCTTGTTCACTTGTTTCTATAATCGCAGTGCCATGGAAGACTAATGAGCTTACACGTACGCAAAAAAGTTTCTTAATCAGTTGCTTCCTATGTATTTGCACACATACATTTGAACTATTTATATAAGTATATTTTGTACTCGACGCTTGTGTTATCAATGTGTGCCAAAAATTATGTGTGAATATAAATTGACCGGCTGTAGAGCCCGTCTTAAGATTACAAAACTTTGTGTAGTCATAGTTATAGTGGCCAAATAGGAACAATTTAGTGGGTCAACTTTTAAAAGATAAGATAATAAAGCTTTTTCTTCAGCATACAACTAACTACATGTACATAAGTCTAGTTAAATTTGAATGAGATGTAATATACATACATACATACAGTATTAACAATATTCCAACAGCTGTTAAAACATACCAAAGAAGTCAACCGCAAACATTTTCTTTTTTAAGATGGGTAGGGGTAGTTTCAACAAATTTCACTAGCACACAATTGAATAAACACGTATACAATAGCAGCAATATACAATGTTTATTACGAGTATATAAAACTGCAATTACTCACCGTCTTTTGACGTTTTTTACTGGTTTCTGGTGCTTCATTCATGACTGGGGTATTCGGTCGCTTTAACGTCACAACTGGATGCGAAGCACTTCCAAAAAAAACTGAATCAAACAGGGCATACAAAGCCTAACCACTGCCCCACTCCCACTGCTCACAAAGTTACCGATCCGATGTGAATTGTGAATGAAATGATTGTCTTACGTGTAATTTGACGAGGTATATTTTTGCAGCACTTAGTGATGTAAACGTGGCACGAATGGTTGTTTTTTAGGAACTTAAACTTTTGAATTAAAATAATTAATTTCGAACTTAATTCGCCGTACAGTATACAATTATTGGGGTAAACATACACACACACAATAAACATTCACAGATATATACAAACAGCTGATGGTTAGCGCATAATAATAATCGATTACAAAATTTATCGGTGCCCTCCGACTACCGTACGGCTTATTGGCATCACTTTTTTAAAGACGGTTGAACTCGCGATGAAAATTTCAAAATGTTTTATTACAAATATACATGAAGGTCTTTGTGAATTCAATAAATATATAGTTTTACTAAGCTAGTACTGCTGATACTGTTGTTGTTGACCCATCATATTTGGCTGGTTGGGCATTTGCCGTTGTAGCTGAGCAACTAAATTTGGCGTTTGCTGTTGGTTCATGCTCTGCTGCTGTTGCACCATTCCCCCGCCGCCACCAGCTCCACCACCACCAGCATTTTGTGGACCACCGCCCATGCCGCCACCGCCACCCATGCCCTGCATTTGCATCATCTGCTGGTGGCGCAGTTGCTGTTGTTGCTGCTGCTGAAATTGTTGCTGTGTGGGTACCACACCTGGTTTGCCACCGCTCGTTGGCTGTTGACGTCCATAGGGTGGTACCTGGCCAACGCCACCTGGTCCTGGACCCATCATATTCGTCATCGTCACATTTGGAGCTTGATTCATGTACTGTCCACGATTCCCAGCCATCATGCCGCCAGGTACGCCGCGTTGTTGCTGCTGTTGTGCCGCAGCAGCTGCTGCTGCAGCCATAAAGTCGGGATTATTGCGTTGCGCTTGCTGCATTTGTGGATTAAAGTTGCCCATGAGGCCGCTCTGCTGTTGCTGCTGCTGTTGTTGATTGGGTCCCATGCCCACACCCACACCGACGCCTGCAGCACCACCGCCTTGTTGTTGCATGCCCTGCTGTTGTTGTTGCTGATACTGATTCTGGAAGTTTTGGAATTGCACTTGTGCTTGCTGCTGATTTATCATGCCCTGCTGCTGCATTCCACCCATGCCCATGTTGGGGTTGTTGCCAACACCAACACCGCCGACACTGCCTCCCGCACCAGCGCCCTGCATCATTTGATTGGCATTTGGATTCATGTTGACCATACCCTGTTGCATTTGCTGCTGCATCATTGGATTTTGTTGCATTGTCTGAGGTCCCATGTTCATGCCACCCATCTGTTGCGGTCCGCCCCCCATTTGATTCGGTGCCATGCCACGTATATTGCCACGCCCGAATTGTTGCTGCTGCTGTTGTTGCTGGTTTGGATTCATTTGCTGTTGCTGCACATTTTGTTGCTGTTGTTGTTGCATGGCATTGAAGGCAGCGGCCGCTACTGCTGCCGCTTGTGGATTCTGTTGGGCATTCATTTGCTGTTGTCGCATCTGATTCGCATTCATCTGCTGCTGCTGCGGTCCAGGCGGCTGCTGTTGTTGCATTGTATTGAATCCTGGTCCTTGTTGCTGCTGGAATGAGCCGGGCTGGCGTTGACGCAACATCTGTGAGAGCGCCTGCTTCGAATTGGCATTTAGAGGCGGACGTTCGATGCGATTCACTGTAAACGGGAAAATTGTATAAATAACATTACAATATAGTAATAATTATATTCCATTATTATAGTCAGTCTAAATTTTGCTTTCCATGTACAGCATTGGTGCTTAAATATTGATTGACTTAGCACCCAATTTTATACAACTTTTAATTTAAAAATGTACAAATTTGTCTCAACTTACTGTGCATATTTTGTTGGTTCGTATATTGATATTGCTGTTGCTGTGGCGCATTTAGCCATTGTTGTTGTTGTGCTGCATTCATGTTGCCCTGATTGGGCATGCCTTGTGGGCCGCCGGCCGGTCCAGGCATAAAATTAAGCTGAGGATTCTGTGGTCCATTGCCACCGACGAGTTGTTGTTGCAGTTGGTTTGGCGCCATTTGCTGCATTTGTTGTTGCTGCTGTTGCTGTTGTAACATAGCGTTTTGCTGCATCATTGCATTGGGTGGAAATTGTTGCATGTTCATCTGCAAGAATAATATGATGAGCAAGTGAACAACAATTTGATTCTTTGAATTTAAATTACTGAAATACTTACCGGGATGTTCATTTGCATTTGTCCCATTTGATTCGATTGCATTTGTTGCTGCATGTGTTGTTGCTGCTGCTGTTGTTGTTGCTGCTGCTGTTGCATCTGCTGCTGTTGCTGTTGGGGGTTTTGGGCCTGCTGTGGCTGTGGTGCCAGCTGTGGTTGCTGTTGCGTGTTGACCACAGGCGGTGTCTTTGGATTCTTCGGCTTGCGTTTTCGCGTCGCAGTACCCTTTACACGTCCTCGTCCTGTGCCCACAACTGCGCTAGGCGACTGATCAACTGACGAGGGTGTATCGGCCTTCATCATTTCGTCCTTCTGCGGAACGATGTATTATATTTGGTAGTCAAAATTAATATACTTATCAAACATTTAAAAAATAATTTGGGGCACTTACGATGCATATTTTTTCTGGTATTGGCTCAATGTCCTCTGGCGGCAACGGCAATGGTTCATAATAAAAACTGCTTGGCTTTACCAAACTGTGTGTGTGGTACTTGAGATTACGATGAGCCTCCTCATAGGTAAGTGGCTTGCGTTCCAATTTGACGGCGCCAAACCAGACCCAAGACAATGGCGCTGGATTCTTGTGGCCTTCAAGGATATCCCATACACTGATCCGCTGCTTATCGGAAATACGCAGCTGCTTCTTATCCATATCACATATCTTATTGCCCTTGGTGTCCATGCCAGCATGCTCACAGGCAATAACCTGTAGAGGAACGAAAGACATTTAGGTTTCATGGATTTGACAAATTTGGATGCGTACCTCAGTGGGTTGTTTGTACAGAGGCAGCAGTTGTCGTATGACCCGTATGGAAGCATTATTTTTCTCGCCAATTTCCTTTTTCAGTTTCTTCATTAGATTGAGGTAAAATTTCTTGTTGTCATCACGCTCCGATTGGCTCTCCGAGACGAGAGTGGAATGCACCAGTGTAGCCAGCATGTCCACCACAGTGGTGAACAGTTCGCGGTTGGAGCTTAGATCAACCACACCCTGACAAACCAGCTGAGCGAGCAATATTGCCCAATCTGTGGTAGGCGTGCTGTTCTTCTGAATAGCCTCGAACATGCCGCCAACAAGGGAGAAGCGAAGCTGCAGAGCATCCAGTATTTCCTCACGAGCCTGCGGATCATCGATGCCACCTATTGTGTCCAGCTGTGGGCAAAAATTTGTAGGTTGAGCTTAGTTTTAGTTGTAAAACTTTAATTTGGGGCCCCCATATCTTATATCGAGTCTCCTTGTAAATACATAAGTATGAAGACGTGAATGATATGCAAACAATTTAGCAATTTAATCTTATTCTATTCTATTTTTTGGAATGGTTCATTTTTTGCAGATAGATTATTAGAAACGCCCTAATTAGCCCAGATTTTCCAAAAACCACTCACCTCAGCAAATGATTGAAGACACTGCGAGAGTTGGGAGTAGAGCGACACCAAAAGATTCTCCTTGTACTCGTCCTGCCCCTTCAGACATGTGAGTATGAGACCGAGGAATGGCTGATAGTTTAGGGGCATCTTTTTGTTGCGAGCCGCAGCGGCGCTGTAACTGTTACTACTGTGGCAGCTGTTGCTCTTCTCGCGCTCATCCCCGCTCCCCGAGCTGTTGCAGTCCGACTTAGACACTTTGGAGAAGTAGTTCATGCTTTCAAGGACTTGCCCAGCGACGCGCAATATTCTTCCTTGAACGGCAAGCGTTAGCTTGGAGATGAGTGGCGCAACCAGCCAGGTGGAAGGTTTGGGCTTGTGTGTCGCCTTTCCACCTCCTTGCAAAGCGCTGGGTAACTCCTCTTCCATGTGGAATACATCGATGGCGGCACGCGCCACCGTATCTAACCAGACATTAAGCTCGGCGGGATTGCTCAACGATTGACGATACATGAGCTGCAGGTCCAGCCACGATATGCGCAACGTCCACTGTCCCAAGTTCTCTAGAATACGAACAATCATTGCGCGCTGATCCAGCTCTGAGATGATGTTGAACTCTGCTTCCGGATAGCAAATCATGTGGAGCACACGCTGTGCCTGTTTAGTTGTCAGCATCTCATCGATGATCATATCGCACAGCTGCTCCGCATTTTTCAGACAGCGTTCCAGAACATGCTCCTGAGCGCAAATCTGCTTAAGCACGTGCTGGGCGAATTCCAAGAGCGAAATTTGCTCGCCCCCGCCAACGCCTCCAGCCAGACCATGTGCACCGCCCCCTAAACTACTAGACTGCAGAGACTCATGCTCGCTGCCGAGACTATTAAGGTCGCTGGTGCCAAGGATTTGGCTGAGATCGGCAGGTCGTTGTTCGTTGCTCTTCGGCGTGCTGCCTGGATGGACAGGTGTGCTGAAACCGCTACGTTTGCCATTACCAAAAGCGCTGCCGCCGCTACTTCCGGCTACGGGCGTCTTCAATGCGGCATTGTCCACTACAATAAGTATAGCTTTGAGGACGGCGAGAACGGCGGCAATCGGAATATTCTTGTGAGCACCAACCAGCAAGTGACGATCACAGCTGAGCTTAATGCTAAATGCATTGCCCACGGCATGCAGCGGATTGGGGGAAGTGCTCACCGAATACATGCCTGGCTGTGGAATTAGAATATCCGCCGTCTTGAATAGTTTCAGCACAAGATGGCAGGTTAGTCGTGCACCCGCCTCTGCGTCGGCGGTGATCTCACCTCCACCGGCGCTCACAGAACGCGCTAACGTGGGAAGCGCAAATTTGCTGACAAAATCTGCCAAGGAGAAACAATGTCTTGCCACCAAAATGCATACGAATACCGCCAGTGAATTGTGCGTTTTTCCATTGAATATGTCTACCGGTCCGTAGAGATGTGAATACCGTGGATTTTTAGCTCCACCACAGATGCTCTGCAATGCCTCAATCCACTCCTCGGACAGCACATTACAACTGGCCGTCAGTTCGGCGCAGGAAATGGCAATGTCATTAAGGCGGTCGTTGTCTGTTTCCCGACAAACAGCGATCAGCGCATTCGATACAAAGCTATACACATTCGCGGGTGACTCATGCAGTTGTCGTATCCAATGGGCCTCAACCTTGCCACCCCGCTTGGGTGACAGGAAGACTTCCTGCAGCACCTGAGCATTATACGGCTGCGGACCCATGCTGTAAGCGATTAAGGCAAATAAGTATACATAAAATGTATTGGTTTAGCCATCTAAGGTTGTTTACGATTTCCAGATCACTTCTTACTTTTAAAACATATATTTCTTCGATATTGTTTTTCTTAACACTTTTGTTTGTTGGTGATGTGGAATCCTCTGCAATGCTACTTCGACTTAACTATTCTACTGTATACAAGGAGGTTGACTAGAAAATATATACGAGTATAATTAATTTGTCTAGATCGAACTAGGATTTGCAGAATCGTTTTCGGAATTGTTGATCACTTTTTCACTTACTATCGTCCTAGATTTTAATACAATTGAACAAAAATACAAACATGCCCTCTCTCGAACTAAGGAGAACATGGGTACCAAGTTTGGTTATTCTAGCTCTTATACTTTCTAAGATCTTTGTTTCAATACAGACAGGCAGAAGAAAGAGTGGACATGGCTATATCGACTCGTGTTGTTATACTGATATAGAATACATATATATTCTTTGACGCCTTCTTCTATGTGTTACATACATTCACACTAAACTAGTATACCTTTGCGTCCAGGGTATAAAAATAAAATATGGCTCCTTGAAAGTCAGATCAGGTATAGTAACTATTTTCTTTTGTGTTCGGTAGTACTCAGGGAAATAGATAGTGATTGAAATTTCCAATTACTCACCTCAGCTGTTCGGGGGTATTAAAAATGTCCTTGAACCGTTTGATGCATCCTAATTGTTGATAGTATTCGGCGGATTGTTCCTTGCCCTGGAGCAAAACACATGACTCGTGGAGATCGCTCAGATAGGCAAGGATGCAACGCTCCGCGGAGCTGCATTCACTGGGGTTCTGCACGTGACGGATGGTGCGGCAGAGACCCTCAAATACGGATAACGTTTGATCCGGCGACAGAAGCAGGCAGCTGTGATAGCGTCGCAGAATGCTCACAATATAGAGTGCTAAAGAGGTGGTGTAGCTGCGCACCATGTTCGACTTTTTTAGCTGTAGCTGATGCTCCACCTCTGGAAGCTCCTTGAGCAGTTGATCGCATAATTCCAGCAAGCTGTAAATGTTCAAAGCCAGCTCCATGAGATCGAAGAGAAATGCAACGTGCTCCTGTACGGGCAAATAGTTGTTGTTGCCCAAAGCAAATCCATTGAGCTGCTCCAGAACAGTTGCCGCACATTGGGCCGTCACCACGTGCTGATCAAAATAAGCCATGTGCTGGCACTTGGCGGTGGTTGCCTCGAAATTGAACTCATTGCGGGAGTGCTTCTTAACCTTGCCGCCCTCGGCGACATCAATGCTGAACTTCTTGGTAAAGAGCTTGCATATCTCCTTAGACATTTTCTTCACGGCATGCTTCTTCTCATCACGCTCCTTGCCAACACCAAAGAGCAGAATATAACGCTGATTGGACTCGCTGCTGTAGGTTGACATTGTGGGATCGTCCTGAGGTATGGGAAAATGTTTGGTATATAAATAATGTCGGGAAATGGTGGCCGTCGTGTCATGATCGCCCGGCGGTCCGATCTTGGGACTGTCAGGCGCTTCATGCTGTTGTCCCTTCTCTTTGATGTTCTGCACCAGTTTGTCCAGATCATCGTCCACATTGGAATCGTCGAACTCGTTGTGTTTGAAATCGATGCCGGTCGCAAAATCATCGTCGAAATTGTGCGTGGTGGGCGGCGGAGCTGGTGGTGAGGTTTTGGCCGCAGTCTTGTGGACCGTTGATTCCAAAAGCAGATCACCACGCGAGATCAGGGTATGCATGTAGGCGTTATGGGAGAACACATCGTGACGTATGAGGGCACTAAATAGCTGCACTAGATTAGTAAACTCTGCCCGTTGCTGAGCATTACTCGTATGCTCGTCTAGGACGGGGGCATCATGATCAAGGTAATGCATGAGGACGTGCTGGAAAACGGGCAGACCGTCGATGAGGCCTGCGCCTGAGGCGACAGAATCTTTGTCATCCTGTGTGCCACTAGCACCACCGCTGACGCCACCAGCGCCGGATTGCTCGGGCTCGGCAGGCGTGGAGGTGACGTCGATTTGGCGCTTGTCCAACAAAATAGCGACTACAATCGCACGATGCTCACCCCAGCGCTGACTGGACACGGCCCACTCGCACAGAATTTTAACGGTGTCTGCATCCTGTTTGGGTTCGTAAGGCTGCCGCGTCTCCTGCACCTCACCATTGGCGCCCTGTTCTCGTCGCACTGCCATATAGGGCGGAAAAATTCTGGCATAGAGCGTGTCAATGGAATTGCACTGATCCATGCGCTCAAAGCAATGAGTGTCCAGATGATCCAAAATGGCCAACACATGCGTGTAATGGTTCTTACCCGCACTCAGCCACTTGGCCGCAAACCAACGCTGCTCTGCATGCTGAGTGCGGAGTACAATGTCGGCTTCGGCGGCGCGTAGTTGCCCGCGAATTTCATTGTTGGTATATGTGCATCGCGTGGGCATTGGCAAGACAGATGGGGCGAGGGGTAAATGGTCCAGCGGGCTGCCGACCAGTGAAGAGGGAGCACGATGTGCTGCAATTCCACTCCATACCAGCGCCGTAGGACACTCAATAGTAATGATTTGCAATATGGTGCTGAGGTAGAGCACAATATCGCGGTGATGCGGGCAGCTCACATATTCCTGGAGTGCGCTTTCATACGGATCCAATGCTGCCTTGCGCGACTGCTCTTCGGGCATATCCAGGTCCATGGCTTGAGATTTAATGATTGCTTGTGCCTGCTGTTGTTGCTCCACTGCCGTATTAAGCAGAGCTGACAGCTTTTTTGACACAATGTAAGCCATCTTACGGCACAGGCGTTCCGATTGAACAAAATCGTGCATGTATTGCAACGCAAAGCTGAGCACCAACTTCTTAAGGGGCTCATCAAAGCTGGCCTGAGTTCTCATCTTGTCCAGCAGATCTAATATCCAGTTAAGAAACTCCTGGCGATCTAGCAACGATTCCTCGTACATGTATTTGCTAAGCTGTGTACAATACTTCCAGTATTTCAGGGCGTTGCGACTATCCTCGAATTGGCTGCCTATGCCCGATATGCTGGAGCCCGGTGGCACGGCACCTGCAGCTCCTCCGGCTGCCCCAGTGGTGCTCGAAGCGCCAGTGTTGCTTCCGCTCAATGGTGCTAGAGCTGAAGTATTTTGGCTGGCGCCTCCTCCAGTACTACCGCTAGAGCCGCCGGCATTTTGAACGTTGCCACTGCCTCCTGGCTGACCATTGGCTGGACTGTGAATGGGTGGCAGTGGGCTGGCCATGGTGGGCACGGGTATGACATTAGGTGTGGAGCTGCAAGAACCGCCACCATTGCTGTTGGCACCGCCTAATGCAATGCCATTGGTGTTTGTACCTCCACCACTTGATGCATCTCTATTTGCTGCTGGCTTGTCGTGCGCTGCCAAATATAATTGCAAATTAATTCAGGTTTTTGCAAGTATGCGTGATGAACTTACATTGTTGATAATATTCCTGCAGTTTTGGCAGTAGTTCCTTCATGAACTTAATCATGTTACCCGTCCATTCAGCAGCCGGGTCGTATATAGATCGCTTCTTGTTTTTCGATTCCGTCAGGCTCAGTGTGTAGGTAGCACTCAGTTTAATAAACCAGGTTGCACGTTGCATATTGACCTGATTCTCACAAAGCGTTATGAAAATCTCTTCCTTTTTGTTGAAAAAGGGCGCACGCTTGGCCAGACTGAGTAGTGGCTTATTGCCGGCCAGATCCTTGAACCATGCATCTACCACGCACTTACGCCGAGGGGACACGGGCCAAAAATTGTCCTTGCAATTGATTTGCTGCTTCTTCCGCACTGTATCCTGAAGTGTCATCAGTTCCTCCTTCTTGGCCAGCACACCGCTGTAGAAGGCGCTCACCTTACTCGCATTCACATTTGAGTTGTGCGCCGTTCCGAACTCGTCGGACAGCGGCGGCGTTGTTGTGAAGCCATGTTTAACATTCGTGGGCGTTAATTCGTCTTCGCGCTGCTTGGCATCCTGGGGATAAATATCCGGCGGTCCGAGGCGTGTGCGCTTAAGTGGACGCTTTTCCTGCAGAAGCGACAGCATGCTTGCGGCGCTTTATTCGGTTCCTCTGTGCACTTTGCAGTAAATTTTCCAATTTTTCTTCTGCTTTAGAGCCAACAAACACTATAAACACAAAGCGTGATAGAGATGTACAAGGTGAAGATAATCCAATCGATTTTGCTTTGATCTACATCAAATTGTTATCGATAGGCGACTGAGCTAGTGAAATGAGCCAGCGCGCTCAAAAGCTACATTTTGAATATAAATAGTGCACTTGTGAGTAAAACTTGTATATATTTAACAAATTACAGCTGTGCACTTATAGAAAAAATTATTAAAATTACATGGCATAAATATGATAAGTTAAATATGTATGTAAATAACAAGATTTGCATGCGCAGTCAAATTCTCATCTACTCATCAAGGCGCCTCTTACAGGTGAATATATCAGACTGTTGTATGTTTGTGGCCATTAAATGATTTAGAAGTACGTGTAGATTGGAATGTGTCATTATGCAAATTCAGCTTCATCATTGTAATAATGACCATCACAGTACAGGCCATTGCTGCACTCAAAGTACAAGCATAGCTGCTTGGACCGGTGGTCGGCCGTTAACTGAAAGCGTGTTTTCAATTAATACATATCCAATTTATATACTGAAAAACTTACCCTATCCATGATATCACGTCTAATATCAGTTGCAGCGGCATACAACTCCAAGGGCTGGTGTGAAATCCGTTTGGCTAGATATGTCAGCGCACTCATTACAAAATGGTCAGTTATGCTCATGCAAAAGCAAATATTGAGATATCTTAGCTTTTCATTTGCGCTCAGGACAGCCATAAGCGCCATTTCTCCCACGTCCCGAGAGCTCTGCATCGACAGGCACTCAAGTTGTGTGAGATTGGCCAAATGTTCCATACAGCGATCATCACGAGGTTTGCATACGAGTATTTTGAGAGACTGCATGGTGCCTATATACTGGGCTTGCTCCTCATTTATCCAACGTTTCTTGTGGAGAACAAGATATTCCAAATGAGATGCGTTTTTTTTGGCCAAGGCTTTAAATAGTCGTGTTTTATATTGCTCTGGGCAGTGGACTTGTAGATATTTGAGATTCGAGAACTGTGCGACATTGGTCAAATCAGCGTCACTATCGAAAAATGATAGTTTTTCAAGCTGAGAGCAATGTGCGACCAACTGCTTTATCGTCTGTGTAGTCAGAAATTTCTTAGCATTTCTAAGTTGGAGAATCCGCAAATCGCTCATAGGTTTGATAATATCCACAAAATCTGAGGCCGTTACCTCGTCATACAGTTGCAGTTCCCTCAAGTTTTTAAAGTGTCGAAGCTCTTGCACTGCAATATAAACTCAATGAATAAAGGACATTTTGATTAACATTTTACTTACATTCCTTTCGATCGAAATACTCCAAGCCCAGGCTGTTCAAATAGGGCAGATAACGCAACATTGACTTGATTAAATCTTTGCTGGTATTCTTATAGTTTCGTATTTGAACTCTCTTCAGTGTCCGGATAGCCAGTAAAAACGGTTGCGCCTTGGCGACCGTTACATTATGTAATGTTATACTTTCCAAGTTGGTGCAGAACTTGCTGGCTAGGGGCAGCAGTTGAAGTGGATGATCGTCGTCGTTATACAACTGCATGTGCTTTACATTGGCACCACACATCCACAAAAAAGCCCGCCATTCGTCTAGGCTTTTGAACTTCATTTCGTTGTCGATAATTTCCTTGAAGTGACCATGATGCAGTTGCACAAAAGCATTGCTAAATTTCCGACTGCAGCGCGCCAAATTGACCTGATCCTCAAGGCTTTTCAGATGCTTCATTATCAGCAGCACAGAGTGCACATCCAAGTCTGAGAAGTCGGTCGTGCGTGCCATATTTCTCTTTGATTTTGAGGAACTGTAGAAAGTGGCAAAATAACAACTATAATTGTCAATTTACGTTCTTCTTATTTACCCTCACCCTCGCAGCAAATGATGATTATGATTAATAACAATTAACGGCCCACTACTTGTCATGGACACAGGCTAGGTAATCGCGCCCGCCAGATTTTTAAGCATGCCATTTGCATGAAATGCATTGCGACTTAATAACGTATTACTTTAAATTGTGTCCAATAATATTATTCTGTTTAGAGCGATTTTCCAGTTTATATTTATTGTTCCGGTCTCCCAATAAGCTTTGCAACAGCCAGGGATGCACTACAAATATAAATATGATTAAGCGCACCCAACTTTAGCTTGTTATGACGAATAAATACCTATCGATAGCATTATTATTCAATTCTATCGATTATCTCACAACCCTAACGCGAAAGAACGACACAAAACGCAGTTGAAATAAACGAATAAATTGCAGAAAAATTCGTACTTGAAAACTGTGTGTGTGTTTTTGCCAGTGCATAACTCGAGCAAAAACTGCAGGCACAGACAGTGAACAAGAATTCAACACCAAACACTTGCACACACACACACACCACAGCCAACACAACACCACACAGTTAGATGATGAGCAGCACAGCGGACGGTTCCTCAATACGTTTCAGTGATCACACACTGGATAAAGCCACCAAGGCCAAAGTGACTTTGGAGAACTACTACAGCAATTTGGTAACACAGTACGGCGAGCGCAAACAAAGGCAGGCTAAATTGGAGGCACAGCTGAAGGACGAAAGTCTGACAGAGTCGCAGCGGCAGGAGAAACGCCAGCAACATGCGCAAAAAGAGACGGAATATTTGCGACTTAAACGCTTGCGTTTGGGTGTCGAAGATTTCGAGGCATTAAAAGTAATCGGGCGGGGTGCATTCGGCGAGGTGCGTTTGGTGCAAAAAAAGGATACGGGACATGTGTACGCAATGAAGGTGTTGCGCAAAGCGGATATGCTCGAAAAGGAGCAGGTGGCTCACGTACGCGCTGAGCGCGATGTGCTTGTTGAGGCGGACCACCAATGGGTGGTTAAGATGTACTACAGTTTTCAGGTGAGTACTTCTTCAATGAGTTTAATATCTGAGTGTGTGTAAGTGTACAAATAATATTGAGCGTATAAAAGAAAGGAATTTTGTTAAACGATAACAAAAATAAAAATCAATAAACCAATACAAATGCACTCACTCAGTCCCCAAGTGGGCAAGCGAATCATATGGTTTATGTTTCTTATTGTTATTGCTCTTACTTGAGCAATATACTCATTTTCTTCAGCCAGATTGGCGCGGTGAAAGTTCTTACACACGCACATATGTACATATATATGTATATATAAATATGTATACATATAGTACATGTGTAAAGAATTGGGTGATAAAGCTTGATTTGCTGTTAATTTGCATGGAATTCGTAACTTCGTTCGGCTTTCTCAAAATGTATTATTATTCATTTTGTTTATTGTCGATGAATGATTTGATCAACTTGTTTAGAAAGAAATGTATTTTATCAGTTTTCATTTAATAATTTATGATGATAATAATAATATCATAAAACTGTTTATTACTTGAATCGACCGTTGTTTATTTTAACACAAAATGGTCCATTAAATATTCTTCATTAGGAATATCTTAATTGAAATGTTCATTTCTCCATGTCGGATATATTATTTGTAAGACATGTGTTAATTTTGAAAAAATGTTTTGTTTGGAAATGCGAACAACAATAATAAGAACAAAGTATTCTCAATTCTATTAAAAAACCATTAAATACGCTTTTTTACTTCTATTACAACAGGACCAGGTCAATTTATATTTGATAATGGAATTCTTGCCTGGTGGTGATATGATGACATTGCTTATGAAGAAGGACACGCTATCCGAGGAGTGCACACAGTTCTACATTAGTGAAACAGCGTTAGCGATTGACTCGATACACAAACTCGGTTTCATACACAGAGACATCAAACCGGACAACTTGCTGCTCGATGCCCGCGGGCACCTAAAGGTAAGTTTTAGATACTGCATAATTCAAAATATATTTAAATTATATATTCCGTGACATTGTCCAATAGCTTTCCGATTTCGGACTGTGTACCGGCCTCAAGAAATCGCATCGCACAGACTTCTATCGTGATTTGTCGCAGGCGAAACCATCCGATTTTATTGGGACCTGTGCCAGGTGAGTTTTCGATGTCCACGAAGAAGATAGTAAATATTACATACATATAATCCTATTAATCCGTTTTATATGTGTTGCAGTCCCATGGACTCAAAACGACGTGCTGAGTCGTGGAAACGCAATCGGCGTGCCCTGGCATACAGTACGGTGGGCACGCCCGATTATATAGCACCTGAAGTATTCCTGCAGACTGGCTATGGACCGGCATGCGATTGGTGGTCGCTGGGCGTCATCATGTACGAAATGCTAATGGGGTATCCGCCATTCTGCTCGGATAATCCACAGGATACGTATCGAAAAGTGATGAATTGGCGGGAGACATTGATCTTTCCCCCGGAAATACCCATATCGGAGGAGGCCAAAGAGACGATCATTAACTTTTGTTGCGAGGCCGACCGGCGTCTGGGCTCACAGCGGGGCCTCGAAGACCTGAAGTCAGTGCCGTTCTTTCGGGGCGTCGATTGGGAGCACATACGCGAGCGCCCAGCAGCCATACCGGTAGATGTTCGCTCTATTGACGATACGTCCAACTTCGATGAATTTCCGGATGTCTCGCTGGAAATACGTAAGTTCCTGTTCCCTATTTTTTTTGGTCTATATACAACGTTTTTTATCGGCCTTTATCATTGCAGCATCTGCGCCGATCCCACAGGGTGGCGAAATTGCCAAGGATTGGGTCTTTATCAACTACACGTACAAGCGCTTCGAGGTGCGAAATTTGGAGTGAAGCTAAAGGATGTCGTCGCTGTTTTCGTCATCGTTGCCGCACTTTGCCACAAATTTAATGCGTCTATCGCGCTAACAATTTCGATGCCGATTTCGGTTCCGCTTTGGCTACACACCTACAAGAACAACAACAACAATTCATCTCACCCGACCATTGCCGCATCTTTAGTCTCTCTACCACCAGCATTTTCCACATTAAAAAAACTTAATTTTCGTCTTTTAAATATTGTATCTTACCTACATGTGTATTTAAAACTAGCTAACATTTGTGATTCCGAAAAAAAAGAAAACAAAAAGTGAAATGTTTGTAAAAGTTTCGCTTAAAACCGCCTAAATATCCAGGCCCTCGAATTAAGTTAAAAGCTAATGCTAATACATTAACGTCTTTGTTTACTAACGTTGTGTTTGAATAACAGGGACTGAAAAATCCATTTAAAATTGTTTATAGTTTTCCTCATTGGGCAGCAGCAACAAAATTTTGCAATACAAAAATGAGAAACCATTTTTATTATTTAGCCAATTTAAAATGTTTAAATTTAGACACGTTGTTTATATATGTTTTGTATTTGATCTACTATGATTATCTAATTAATATTGTATGTATAAAAAACAAATTTGCTGCGACAACAAGAAAGCAAAACCCACAAATTAATTACTAATGCCACCAACCACAAAACCGAATTCAAACAACTCGATTTCCCAATACCCTTCCAGTCGGTTTCGTTCTATACACAAAATCAAACTAAATCTATACACCCGCACTTTTAGTATTATTGTATGTATGTATTTCTTAAAGTTCGGCTTTCGTGTTTGAGTTGAGTGTAGTTCGAATTAAATGACAAAAAACAAATATACAAACCAGGCATACAAAACGAAAAGTTACAGAGTTTTAGATGACAAATGCAAAATAAAAAGAAGTAAATCGAATTAATGCCCACTCCCGAGCAGTTGAAATGTAAACTTAAAGTAATTAATATAAATAAATTAAACGAGTAAAAAGTTTTAAGAAACTATTTTTGGTAATACTAAACTATATATATACACACACATATATATGTAGATTAGTAAGTTAACTGATAATAATGCAAATGCAAGCTGAAATGCAATAATAAATGAAACATGTGCATAATATGAACCTAATATTACGCAGGTGTCTTTAATTTTTGGTTAAACATAGTTTGTGGGGGTTTCCAAATCAAACTCGCGGCAGAAATTGCTTGGGGACATCGGTATCTTTGACTTTACATTCCATAGAAGGACTATAGGAAGACTTAAAATTCATAACAAATTAAAAGAAATTAATCCACAGTTTTCGAATTGATAAAATTGCCGCCCATTTAAGCAGTGCAGTATATATTACCAAAACTCATTTATTTAAACTGCTAAGGAACGAAAACACTTAAGAGGGGTTCGTTTTAAGGCAACAACTTTTTCAACAACTTTGACTTCCAAACCGATGAGTCGATTAAACTTCATTGTATTTCATCACTGTCAAAATTAACTCATCGAACCTTCAGATTGCCGCAATATACATACATACATATATCAAAGAATATATCATTCCATTCCCGACAATATTGCTAGAAATTTGAATATATTAAGTACATTGGATACTTACAGATACTCTTGAACGTAGTTGCTCGGTTGGCTGGTCACTGGATTAAAGAGAAATGAAATAAAAAGAATTGGAATAAGACAACAAAACGTAAGCGTTGTACATTTAAATGTATGTATATATTTTTCTTTCTTCTTTATCTTCGTCATGCTACTTCTGCTCTGTTGTTTTCAGCTTGCACTCGTTTCGCCTTGTTTTTATAATTTTGTAATGCAACATCCGAAACCATTACAGACATGAGAATAAAGATTTCAAATTCGTATTGCGTTGAGGCCCCTATATGTATATATAGTAGTCAAAGGCTGATCGCCAGTCTCTACGCCTGCTGTGTTTTCCCTTTCTTGCCTCAAATCGTTATTTGTTATTCTTGTATGAATTAAGTTTCTCTCCGCTGTGTCTGCATTTGAAATTTTGTAATTCTGAATCGACTGGACTACGTTTTTCGAATTGGGTTGCTTTCCTTTTTCAGTGAGTGTGTGTGTGTTGTGTGCGTGAATCGGAATATATAGCTAGTTGTTTAAATATATTTATTTATATATATATATGTATATATACTATAATGAATGTTTTGCTTACTACAGACTACAAGAAATTGTTACAGCAGCTGGCGGAAAAACTTTACAGCGTTCGAAGTTTAAATAAACATCACACAAAAACAAATAAATATATATATAAGGAAGGAGGAGGACATTACGATACATTTACACACATATTGTTTAATGTTATAGATTGCACATATTCGACACGAATTAAATAATTATTGAATTATTTAATAGAGTATGTCGAAAATGCATCGTGCACTCTGCTCTCTTTTTGTATTTTATGGGACTTGCTTCGTATTTCATTTTGTTTTGTTTTGAAATCTTTATTGGATGCTTGTAACGATGGGCAGTAGTATCCATAAAAATTATAATAAAATGTTAAAAGTTTAACTATGTGCTTAAAATCTAATGAAAAATGTATACATAGACGAATATGTATGTATTTCTGCTTATGCGAAGTAACTTTTTCGCGTTTACTTGCTGCGTTTTTCTCTTTTTGTATTTTTTTCATTTTAATTGTTAATTGTGTTTTGGGGTTTCTCTTTTATGCTAATGCGCTCGCACTTATAATTGTTTGCAACTATTTATAAATTTAATTTAAATTGAATTACAAGTGTGTGTTTTTTATGGTATTTTCTTTTCTTTCAAATCGTAGCTTAATTAATTTTCTATGCCGACGCTTTTGCACTTACTTTGATTTTTGCTTGGTAAAGTTTTATCTTTTTTTGTTGATTTTTTTAATATTTTTTTTTGCTGGCTTGCCCTACCTTCATAGTAAAATGTATATATGTATAGTATAGTTATATGTACGTTGTTTAAGAATTACATTAATATAGGGGGTAACTCTAAGGGTAGGAGGCTCATTATTAAACTTGCTAAAAGACTTATGTATTGGGGTCTGGGTATTGGTTTCTCTTATGGAGCTGGGCGTGGGGATGGGGTTGGAAACTGTATGCTTGACCATAATAATTAGTAGTAAAATTTGTATGTACAATTCGTTACGTTGCTTAGGACTGATCATCGATCAATAGCATAACCTGTTGCGTTGTCGTTTGTGGATTTCTTGTGCATTCCACCTGATGAGCATTCCAATCCTTGCGCTGGCAAAACTCCGAACAATATGGTGTCTTGCGACACAGCGAGCACTCGGCAAGCGCTTCCCGATTGCAGTTGGCGCACTATAGAGACAAAAAAAAAAAAAAATACATACTTATTTAGTTACCCCGTAGTTAGGTGTGTATTGTGAGTAGTTGCATACCTTTTTTGCCGATATGATCTCATTGCCATGTAAGGAGCCTGATATATTCGGATCATCGATATCCGTATGCACCTGCACGCGCATCGCCGAGACGGCAGCATCCCGCTCCTTCTGCAGGACCTCGATGCGTCGCTCGTACGTCTGCTTCATATCGTTTAGCAGACGCTTGAAGTCGTTGGTTGCCTTCACCATGGTACAATAGACGTGCTCGATGTTCTTTAACGACTGACTGCTGTCCAGCACGGCTATGGAGCCCGCATCGTTGATATTCACCACGAACGTTTCACGCTCGTAGGGATTGCCCATTTGCGTTTGGTCAACCAGTTCGGTGGAGGTGTCTAAACTGTCGTTGAGCGCTGCCCAGGGTTCGTCTTTGGACGTTATGTTATCATCGGGAAGAAACATATTGTTCTCATCCACCACTGTAGCTGTGGCTGTCGTTGGGTCCACATTGTTGGTGCTGCTATTACTTGTGTTGTTGTTGTTTGTATTGGTATTGTTGTTATTGTTGCTATGCGTATTCCTTTTGCGCTTAGGGCCGGGCTCTACATCGAGATCTGTTTGATTTCGCTTTCGTCGCTTGTATGGTGTGAATAGACGCACGGGACCGGAAGCTAGGTAATAAATAGTACGATCAGTGATTAGTTTACGGTACTAAAACCAGAATACGCAATCCAGATCTTTACTTTCACCTGACGAGCCTCAAACCTATGCCAAATATATAAACTTGTTCGCACAGTCTTTTCTTTAAAGCAATAATATGGCATTCTTACAGCCTTTCCTATTCAATAACTAAATACAAATAGTTTCTATATGGCCTACATATGGCAACAATTTTCCTAAACAATAATTTCCTGAGCATAAACAAGCCTAATGCAAAAGACGAATGTACAATTTGTGACTTTCTTTGACTTCCAATAATACTAGTATTCAGTAAGTATTTAATTTTCTCTTCTTTTTAACTGTTCAACTTCCTTCAACAAATTAATTATGTATTTTAAAAGGTCGAGCTTGATCATTCCATTTAATAAGGGTAATGGTGAGAATTGGGGAAAATTAGGTCACATCTCTATAGCCAAATACTGTAGTGTTTATCATTTGGGACATAAGTACAAGATAATAAGGTTTGCCATTTTGCATTATCCAATAAATGTGTAAAATCGATATTTTCAAGTTGATTACATTCTGCCTACTTAAATTGAAATATTTGTATTACTACCTGTATAATAATAACAAACATGTCAGTATTGACTTGGGAATAAAAAGTAAACAGCTTTTATTTCCGCCAATACGCGATTGCCCCAATATTCATGGATGAGGAGCTAGGAGTTATTAAATGGCTAATTTGTTTGGGTCCTTAACGAAATATTGTTTTTAGTTAAACAGTCTTGATAGGTACAATCAGAAAACTAAATAAGTGCTATACACGGTCCTAATTGGAATAAAGTTCAGTAACTAACTATTAACTAAATAAAAGTGCTCCTATATCTTCAAAATACAACTGCTGGACTTAGAGAATATCTTGCATCAGCAACTTACCAGCTTCGTCATCACAGCACACCGTACAACTGCAGTTGGTTGCGTGCGGCGTCAGTGTGCCCTCATCTATAAGAGATTGCAGTGATTTGCCTCCGTATTTTATTGAGCGCTTCCAATCCTTGCTGGAACCACGACCGCACACATTCTCGAACTCGCTTGGCGTGTGCCATTTGTCTTTGTATTTGACACAGCGGCCGCGCCCGCCTGAGCCCAGCTTGCTGCGATAGAGTTCGGCGGAGGTTGTTTTGCAACGTATCTGAAAGACTTCCATGTGCTGAGTGGATGTCGTCTCCGCCCAGCCAGTGGAGCCCGTTGTGGTGCCAGCACCGCCACCAGCTGCGTGGTCGAGCGTTCCCATGCTGTCATGGCTGTTATTGCTGCCGGAGCCGTCGTGATTCAGTCCACTAGTGTTTGTGGCTGTGGTTGTGGTACCAGCACTGCTATTGCCGCCACCACTGCCGCCTGTCTGTGTTTGCTGCTGCTGAATGACAATCGTTTTGAGGTCGCCGCCCATGCTGACGGTACTGCCGGACAAGTAGCCATTGTTGTCAACGCACAGCATCGGCTTGAAGTGCGGCAGCTGGTCGGGCGTAATCACATTGAAGGCTGTGCCCGTGATCATTGAACCAATTGGCAGAGACACGGGCACCGAGACAACGCCGCTGCCGCTGTTGTCGTTTGATGAGGAAGTAACCATGCGAACTTTTGTATCCAACTGCATTACCATTGCGCACATTACAGTTAAAGCGTTGTTTGGCGTTCACATGTATTTAGTTTGATTTGTTTTTCGATTTGATACACGTTTTTTATAATGTTTTTCGGTTGGTTTTCAGTTTTTCGTGGAATAAGCAAAGAAAATTGAATGTAAGTAAACAACACAGCATGGAAAAATGAAAATCGGTATACACAACAATTTGCGCCACAAATCTGACGTTGGAGTTGTGGTGGTGGCAGTCAGTGGGTCGGCCGTAGGGCGCAAGCACAGCGCGCATTTTTGCTGCGCCGCCGCCCCCCACACTCGCCCCAAGACACACACACACACTCACTCTCGCACACACACACGCACGCACACATACACACACACAGTTCGTTCTACTACTGCGCGTTGGCTGCGCGGCATTGCGCTGCAGCAGCTACTATGCCGTCCCAACCATCCAACCTATCATCCAGCAAACCAACGAACTAACCAACAATCAACCACCCTTGCCGCCAACGTCAGATTTGTTTGGTTTAGTTTCGTTTAAAGTTTACCTGATGGTGATGATGGCCCGAGCTTTCGAGTATCACCTCTTCTTTCACAACATCGCGCACGCCGTCGGCCAAAGAAGCCAAGTCTTTTACCTCACGTATCCTGCTCAGATGCAGCTCAGAAGAATCGACCTGTTCCATTCTGCACAAGCATAAATTTCACTTCAATATTTTTCGTTTTGCTTTATGTCGCATACGGCTGGTAGCAGTTGCGGGTTCGCGCGCTCGCGCACACTATTTACAAGAGTTTCAACAATATATTTAATGTTGTAGCTCACATTTTTAATGAACAATTTTGCTTCTAAAAGTTGATATATTAGAGGTGTAAAAACTGCATTGAAAACATCGATGTTTAACATACAAGTCGATAGCAAAACTACCACTTCAACAGCGCTAGAGAAGTGCCTATCGAATAATTCATTTGCTGGAAGCCAAACAGCTGATTATGCTCAGGGCTGTCATTCTACCCACAGTACTTGCTGCCAACTCGGGTCGCGTTTTTTTGCTGTTCTGATAGTAAAAAATAAATAAACAGATAGAGGATGGCAGATTGCACTGTTGATGTCTTCATAAGCAATTACACACTTGTGGATCCAGAAATATATCAACTATGGATTGAGGGATTTACATGTGAGGTCTTAAAAGTGCGCAAATCAAGTGTTTTTATTCGTCTACTGATTTTTCAGCCAACGAAGCCGTTTGCTATTTAAAGCAAAAGGGGTTTGGAAATGCCATGGGCGCTCCACTTGAGCTAATAGCTTCCGATGTTCTCGACCATTATCGTACATATTCGTTGATCGAACGCTTGCTCCATGCACCTAGCAAGCTATTGGAACAGTCATGTTTCCAATTGGAACCACAAACGCGTCAATTGATCATTGAAAAATATTTCTCAATAGATGATGTGGTGGCTCGCGAGATTCTTGGTAAGAAATTAACGTCCCGCTATCGCAAGGATCTGGATGAAGTAGCTGAGAAAACATGTGTTAAGTTAAAATCATGTCGGTAAGTTTGTTTTTTAAATTAAAATTTGTACATTCTTTGATCCATTTTTTGAAGACGCCAATTCGACAACGTGAAACGCATTTTTAAAGCTGTGGAGGAGATACCAGGGACCCTGACCAACAATATTAAACAACACTTTTTTATTTCAAATGAATTGGCCAAGTACGACATCAGATCACAGCAAAAAGAATATAATTTACTTCCTATTCCATATTTTACCTTTGCAGAAAATATGCCTGCATTGTATTTTTGGCCTGCCTACGATTCGAAACATCAAAGAAAAAGTTGCAATATCTAACATTTGGTGACTTACTTACATGTTCGCACTCTATAATGATTTATTGGACATATACATATACTGGGCACACAGGTCCCGAGTACTACGACACTGAAATGGACAAGGAATTTCTACTCGATCTGCGTGAATTACGGTGCCTTCTTGAAAAGGAGAAGGAAATCAAGCAGTAAGTGTACACTTCATAAAATTTTAAGCCGATTAATTCAGAAATATCTCTATTTAAGCCTCGTTTGTATGCGTCTAAAACCTGTGTTACTAGAACGCGCCTTTCATGAATTGGACTCGAGCTTTCGGTTTGTTTTGTTGTAATTCATGATAATTTAAAGTACTACATTATATGCCTTTTTATTTTAGTTCTTATTGGCGTGCTTTAATTACAATTGCATGCAATTTGCATCGTAACCGTGAGTTGCGTGATCTATTTGTCGATCTTTGTGAAAAATTAATAGAACCATGGCGTCAGAATGGGTGGAATCGCGAGCAAGTTAACAAATTTCTAGCGTCAATAACACAAAGTGTTTTGGAATTAGAAATTTCAAGGTAAGCGGGAGAATGTTTTAATGAGAAATCGCCGCGATGTTTTTAAATTATTTTCTTTCAGGGATCAAGAGACTCGTTGTCTGTGGGACCGCTATATGCAGGTTATAACAATTTGCTTGGATAAAATGTACCATATTTAAGTATTTATTGTACTTTTAGTTTTCTAATAGTTTTTATGTCAGCATATTGTATTTGTAATCTTTAATAGGCCAATGCAGCATTTAAAAAAATAAACAGTTACATAGATACAGAGCCTACTTAATGAGACTTGAACAAATGGAACGGCATAAGCTCTGCTGCAATTTGTAAGCTTCTAAATTGCAAGTGCAATGGAAAGCTTCAACTGCATAAAAGTGTTGCCAGACAAAACAACCCCTGCTAGTTACAAGTCTGGCAACAGAGAAGCTCCAAGAAAAGCTTTGATTTGACAAACTGCAAATAATTCTAGTTTGCCGTGTATTTTAAGTGCGGTAGAGTCGGCATTTGTAAACAAGGGGAAAAATAAATATTAAAATTATTTACTTCGTATAAAGAGTACAAACCGATTATAATATTTTAAAAATTCGCAACATGTGTGATATGCAACCATTTTGGTAAGTTGGATTTGATTTATATTCCAAATTACATAAGTATGTGTAGGCAACTTTGTGCCTGTGTGTGTAAAATTCTAATCTGCTATTACACATAAACACATGTATACGGGTATACTTACAGCATGCATACACATGTGTGTATGTTGATATTTGGCTCAGGTGGAGGAAAAATGAGCAACAGTTGCCCTTAAAATTGCCATATTCCTTTCACCGGGGTTGTTTTGGCTTTCATACATACACACAAACACCAAGGTAATAATGATAAAGTTTTCCTCATATTACAGTGAAAACTTGGAAGAGCTGGAGGATGAAACCTTTGATGAAGAAAAGTCCGGACGCACGGATGAAAATCGCAAGTATGAGAACTCGTTTTCTACCTTTCGCAGGGTCTTATAGAATTATTTTAATACATACATACATACATACATACATACATATATCAACAAGTATTGAATTACTAATTAGCTAAAAGAGCGAATTTCCACATTTACACTTCTTTTAGTGACATCTGAACTATGTATATTATAGTAATGTACCCTTATTAAATATTTATTAAACTCCATTTTCTTATCTGACAGTCAACTCTTGTCTGCACAGAAACTGACAGACCTCGCATGGAAAGCTGTTGGCCTATGTGCTAAAAAAATGTTCCTTTTACTATTTATTAAAATTTCCTGTTAGAAACTTAGTTTAAATATTCCTTTATGTTGTGTTTACTGCTTGATTTTAGTCCCTACAGCACTCTTAATAAATAGCTAGCTTATAAATTCATTTTCAACTATTTTATTTTCCGACTTGCGATTTTCCAGGCAAAATCACAGTGAAATTGAAAAGCGGCGACGAGACAAAATGAACACATATATCAATGAGCTATCCTCGATGATACCCATGTGCTATGCGATGCATCGTAAGCTCGATAAGCTTACGGTTTTACGAATGGCGGTGCAACATTTGCGGGGAATCCGCGGTAGTTCGTATAATGCCGGTGACTACAGACCTAGTTTCCTGTCGGATCAGGAGCTCAAGATGATTATTTTACAAGCATCCGAGGGCTTTTTATTTGTCGTGGGTTGTGATCGTGGACGCATTTTATATGTTTCTGAATCCGTCTCCACTATTTTAAACTGCTCACAGACCGATCTACTGGGTCAGAGTTGGTTTGATGTGCTGCATCCCAAGGATATAGGTAAGGTAAAGGAGCAGCTATCTTCGCTGGAGCAATGTCCACGTGAGCGACTCATTGATGCAAAAAGTAAGTGTGACACAATCAGATCAACAATAAATTAATTAATCTATTGCTCACAGCCATGTTGCCGGTTAAAACAGATGTGCCCCAAAGCTTGTGCCGTCTATGTCCAGGTGCTCGGCGATCCTTCTTCTGTCGCATGAAACTACGCGCAGCTAACAATCAAATCAAAGAGGAGTCCGACACATCGTCCAGTTCGCGCAGCTCAACGAGGCGAAAGTCCAAGCTAAGTATTGACCACAAATATCGCGTAATTCAGTGCACTGGTTATCTGAAGTCATGGACGCCCATTAAGGACGAGGATCAGGATGCTGATAGTGATGAACAGACTACTAATCTCTCATGTCTGGTTGCTATTGGCCGAATACCTCCCAATGTTTTAAATTCTAATTTGCCCTCCTCCCTGGATAATCAACCGAGCATAAGACACGTTCTCTTCATATCACGGCACTCGGCAGAGGGAAAGTTTTTGTTCATAGATCAACGGTAAGGTCATTCGGTTCACGAACTTTATTTAAGAAAAAAAATATATATTCGTTTAATTTATTACGAGAATATCGTACCTTCCTTATCATTAAAATAAAATTAATGTTTTTAAGAAATAATTCAATGAGCAATGAAGGAATATATATTCTTCTGCATATAAGTATTAACTTGTTTAACCTTATCCTTTTTTGCAGTGCCACATTGGTTATTGGTTTTCTGCCTCAGGAAATATTAGGGACAAGTTTTTATGAGTATTTCCATAATGAGGACATAGCCGTCCTAGTTGAATCCCACAAAATGGTAATGCAGTTGCCGGGGAAAGTCATCACGCAGGTTTATCGTTTTCGCTGTAAGGATAATAGCTATATACAGCTGCAAAGCGAATGGCGAGCTTTTAAGAATCCGTGGACAAATGAAATTGAGTATATAATTGCTAAGAATTCTGTGTTTTTTTAAGCCCAATGTACAACCAGTTCAAGATTGTATTAAGACCAAAGCTGAGGCATTTGTCTTAATAATCTTATTTTCATTGCCATTTGATCTTCCATTTTGAAGTGGTTTATCTTTCGTATCATGTTCATAGCATTTATTACTGTTCCATATTCAATGTATAAACACATATAAATAATATAATTTATACAGTTTTAATATAAAATATACACGTAATATACGTCTGTCTAATCAATGTATTGTGTACATTTAATTGGTGCTTGTACGTGCAAATATCATCGTGAGAAACCGATATTAAGATCGCTTAAGTAACGTACCCAGAGTATGTATATTAAAGGATTTGCTTGATTGGTAGAAGCAAAAATAATTAGTCACCTCTTGGGATGTTTGAGTTTTGGGATAAATTATCTACTGATAATGTATTTAAACTCGATTTTTTCACATTTCAGCTCTTCATTTATTGTTTTTTTTTTAGTAAAGATTCATCAGACTGATTAAATTGAACTAAAACGATTTAGTTTAAATGATTTCCTTAAGCAAGAAACGATTTTAGGCAATAATTTTTTTCGTAGAAATCTTCTATGTGAATTAGTCACCTCGCTCAATCCATTCATTCTACTATGTACTACTTGAAATATACAAAAGTATATTAAGCCCCACAATGTATTTAAATATATATTCTAGATCAGCACAGCAAAAGTCCATGTCTATCTCTCCGTCCGACTGACCACATAGATCTTAGAGACTATAAGATCTAGAGAAACCAAATTTTTTACACAGATATCTTTACACGTATGCAGTAAGTGTGTTTCAATATTTTCCTCGTTCAACCGCACCTCCGCTATTAGCGATCTTCCATAACTCCCGTACTTCTTAAAATTTTATGTTTTATGCTTATGTATATAAATAGCCATAAATGTTTCTGCCAAAGCTCAATTAAACTTTTTTTTTTTAAATTTTTAAAAATTGTTTTGAATTGAATATGACGGAAAAGATACAATACATGTGTTCCTCAAACTGTTTTTAATACTTCTTTGTAATCTCACATCTGTTTAAGTAATTGTTTGTTTCGTTATTAAAAACTGTTTTTTGTTTAAATGGCAGCCGATCTAAGTATAACAAACATTAATGTTATTGCTTCATAATCATTTTTGTTAAGGATTTTTGGATGATCATTTTAACTTCAAAAAGAAATTTGATACGAACTGCACACATGCATTTATGAAAACATGAACAAAGTTTGTTGACATACTAAATGATGTTGCGATTTATATGTTATTTAATTGATTTTCATATTAAGATTTAAATAAAGGAAGCAAATAAAGTACTTAAGTACGTACGTAAAAGTTAACGTAGAACCTCGTCAATGTCTTGCTAAAACGTGTTTTATTAAAAACTTCTCAGCCCGAAAGAACGAATAATAGTTTAAGTTCTGGTCGTTATTTTTATGTTGCAAGTCTTTGTTGTGCTGTTATTTGTTTAAGAAATTATTAATAATTAAGTAACAAATGTGAAATAAACCATTTTTGTTCAGTCACAAAATAGTTTACCTAATTGCACGTAGCCCCGGCACATAGAAGAACACTCAAGGAGAATAGTTAAGAGAGGGCGAAAATAATTCAGAAGAATTCCTTCTTATCAAAACGTAGACCCGTTCAAGTTCCACAAATACTAACAAACATAGCAACATAGCGGGCAGCACGTTTTGGGCGAAGAGCCAAAACAAATTAGTATTTATTATCAACTGAGACGGGCTTTTCGCTCGTTCGCACTATCAATGGGGCCCCCGAAGAGGCAACGGCGCGTGGGAGACTCGGCTGTGCCCCGCTCCGATACTTTCTTGCTCGCTTGTTCATATCCAGTGGACTCAGTTGGTATAGAACGCTGAAGGTGGACGCGTCGTCGATCGCGGCGTTACAGAATACAAAATAGTATCAACAGGTGTGAGTGTGTGCGTGCGTGAATGCCGTGATTTATGAGCGCATATCGAGGAATAAAACTGAAACTGAGCCCATAAGTGACAATATGAGTGCCTTTTTATTTTTGTGCAGCATTATAATTGGCTTTGTTATATATTCACTAATAAATTCACTGCGCCGTCCAAAGAATTTTCCACCAGGTAAGTGAAAATCTTAAGTTATAAGATTTTACAGTACAGCTTACAACTTGTAAAACTTAATCAACTAATTATTACTTTTTTCATAAATTCAATACATTAATCTTATGATTATATGTAATTCAAAAGTATTAAGTTACACAACCCTTTTCGATTTCATAATGCAACATAACCCCAATCGAATTCTACTTTCAAGCTTGGCTCATTTTTCTAGCTAAGTAGTATGTACAAACGGAAGTCTTTTCATTGATATCATTTGGTTTATTAGTCTTGTTTTTTGTTTATTTGATTCTATTTATGTTCATATGAGCATAACAAGTTCTAGTTTCACGACTGAAATCATAAGCTGCGTTGAAGACTTGGTTTCAAAACCCATTCTAACATATGTATGTACATACGTCCAACATACATATCATCTATTTACTTACATATACAAGTATGTCACTGAGAACAAAAATTTCTCGCATTTATCTGGTCAATTTATTTGCAATACCCATAGTAGCTTTGGACTCCAAAATTATTATTTAGAATAGTCTTATACATATGTATGCAGGCAAGATTTGTTACCAACCATATACAACAATATTTTTTAATATAGATGACATAGAACCGATCGGTGCTCTTAGTAGTATATTTGTTTCTTTTATGAAGATTTCTTTTGAAAATTTGGCATCCTGAACTTTCATCATAATCGGTCCATATTTACATACTTGTACATGGATGATTAAGGAATTATTGGTAAAACAATGCTAATTTCATCGGGGAAAATTGTGGGTATAGCGTATTCAAGAGTCGGGCTGGCGCGACTTAAATCTTTGTCTGACTCCAAAATAATGTGATAAATAATAAAACAAGAATGGAGTTCAAGAGCTGTGCGATTCCGACTCTTGGCAATATCTTCCAAAATTGAACTTACAAAAAACATTAGACCTTAATAAAAAGATATAAATAAATTATTGTATGAATAAATTTTTGATTCTTCAATTAATTTCCCATATATTTCTTCGGGGACTGCCATGCCTTCCTCTTAGTGTCACAATACATTAGCCCTTAGCTTGTGTATCATTTCACCCTTTGATACAACGTATATAAATGCCTTTTTATATCGAAATGAATTTATTTATTATAATATGGTTTAATGTATATGTAAATGAGATGCTAAAATTATTGCAAATGTGAGAGAGAAGGAAATTATATGCGATGACTGTGCAGTAAAAGTAGTTACACCTGTCAGCCCCACTACCATTTTTAATGAAGTTGTTGAACCAATCCGTGTGGGCAATGAAAAAGTCGCGGCTAGCCCAATACGATAGGCACACGTCTGGCATCATAAATGAATTCTATTGATAAAATGGTCAGTCCACCCCATTTAAGGAGTCGATGTCTTGTTGCTGTCAATATTCATTATTTTCCATGTCGTGTTACACACATTTTTGTTATGCAATTCATAAATGCATAATTAGTGGGAATGTAAGTACGAGTATATTTATATACTTATATTTGAATTAAAAAAGATAAAAACTATTTTAATGTATATATACATAGTTACAGAATGAACTAGTTAGGCCTTAAAGAAGTAAAGTATTATATATAAAATGAACCTGTTTTATTAGCTTTTATAATGAATAACATTTCCACTTGAATGCTCATTAATTTTAGCGAATATAGTATTTAAAAAAACAATGATTGTAATTGTAACAATGCATTTGTAAATAGCTTCACTTTTGTACATATGTATATAGGTCGAATAGAAAACCAAATCCCCCCATTGAGTCGGAGATGTTTTTAGATATTATTTTAATTTGATTAGATTTTTCCAACATAGGATTGTCGACATAAAATTAATAAATAAATATCTTCTTATACCTTTTGGAAAAATACGAAGCAAGCTAATAAATAAATAATTTGTATGGAGAAAGACCCATTTTTAAATTACATAACCATGAATGTCAAAGCAAACCCAAGATTTGGTAATAGATTACATTCGATTAAAATTTGAAATTGGGGATAAATAATGTGAACATATTATAAAAGAAGCCAGTATAGTTGGGAAAGATATATTTTTAAAATTTGAATGTACGATATCATTTTCATATCGGGGCTGAGGCTTAAGAGGATGACTCGATTGTATTTCAATCAGTGGATCAAGGATTAAATATTCATCATAAATTGATTTCGTGAATGCTCAAAAAAAGTATATATTAAATTTTAATTTAGATTATATAACTCTGCCAAAGTGACTTTTTAAGTTTTGACGAAAGGCTGGATTATGTAGCTTTATCAAAGAAATGAACCCTTAAAGTATGCAGCTATTATTTAATAATTTTAATTTGGGCGGAATATTACTATAATTTGTTTCCCATTCCTTTGCCAATAAATAGTTTCTTATTAGGGTGTAAAAAGTCGTTTGTAAAAAAATATTTGCACAGATTTGTGATTACTCTGCAATTTTAAAAAGTTTCCTAGCCTGAGATTGTTCGCAGCCGATAAGTGGTTTCGCTTGTGGTCTTTTGATTTCATAACTTCTTGGCCTATGATAAGATTAACAAACGCACAATATTTGATTTACAGCGTTTAAATTTATATTTAGTTTTGGCACATGGTTAAAGCCACTAAATTGACGAAAACTGTCCGATCTATCTGTATAGGTCCTGAATTTTTACCATGGATGGGAAACACGTTACAATTCCGTAAGGAAGCGCGTGCCGTTGGTGGCCAGCACATACTTTTTGAGAAATGGGCAAAGCGCTACAATACCAATCTTTTGGGCCTTAAACTGGGTCAGGAATATGTTGTGGTTGCCTTGGGTTATCCACTCGTTCGGGAGGTGCATCTCCAAGAAGTTTTCGAAGGCCGGCCGGACAACTTTTTTCTGCGCTTGCGTACCATGGGCACACGAAAGGTTTGTATTATCTACATAATATTTACAAGAATTTTAAATGAATTTCATTTTATGTATTTAATTAATTTTACATTTTATTAATAAAATCGCCAAAATCGCATCAAGGCCTAACTATAAGTATTTCATACGTTTTTCGTTTTTTTTTAAGGCTTTCATGAATAACGATTTCTTAATTTCATTTCATTTTCATTATTTCATATCTCATCTTTTATATAGTATATTAAGCTATTACAAGTATTACTATAATAATTTGTCTACATTTAGTTCGTTTAATGGTTGGCCAATTGAAAGTAAAGAAATAAAAAATTCGTTTTTCAGGGCATAACCTGCACCGATGGCAAGCTGTGGTACGAGCATCGCAACTTTGCCATGAAACAGATGCGTCATGTCGGCTATGGTCGGACACAAATGGAGCAGCATATAGAGCGTGAAGCGGACGCTTTGATCAATCATCTGGCGCAGACGCAATCGGAGCCGGTCTGGCCAGTAACATGCCTGGCCCAGAGCGTTCTTAATGTCCTGTGGTGTTTGATTGCTGGCCAGCGTATAACCAGTGATGAGGACACCACACTGGTGCGGTTGCTTGAGTTGATGAATCGCCGCTCGAAAGTGTTTGACATCTGTGGCGGACTGCTGGCACAGTTTCCATTGCTGCGCTTCATCGCCCCCGACCGCACAGGGTACAATCTGATACGGCAATTGAATACGGAGCTGCACAATTTCTTCATGGATACAATAGCCGAGCACAAGCAGCGCCTGCAGCTGAAGCAGAAGGATCAACAGGAAGACAGCGACTTGATATTCGCCTATCTTAACGAAATGAAGTCGGAGGATGCCGCAAGCACCTTCAATGAAACGCAGCTAGTCATGACCATTCTGGACTTCTTTATTGCAGGCTCCCAAACGACAAGCAATACGATAAACCTGGCACTTATGGTGTTAGCTATGCGCGCCGATGTTCAGACGAAGCTGCACGCCGAGGTGGCTGCCAATCTGAGGTGCGCCAGCGCCGATGCATTCCCACATCTCAGTCGTCGGGAGTCATTTCACTATATGGACGCTTTTATTATGGAAGTGCAGCGCTTTTTCCACATCACACCGATCACGGGACCACGTCGCGCCCTTTGGCAAACCACATTAGGGGGATATGATATTCCAAAGAATGCTACAATTCTGATCAGTCTGCGCTCTGTACACCTGGACGAGAAGCACTGGCAAGAGCCGCACGAATTTCGACCAGAACGCTTCATCGATGCGGAGGGTAAATGCTTTAAGGACGAGTACTTCATGCCTTTTGGCATGGGCCGACGTCGCTGCTTGGGCGATGCTCTGGCACGCGCCTGCATTTTCTCATTTCTAGTAAAGATTGTGCAACATTTTCATCTTGTGCTGCCCGATGATGAAAACCCGTCCATGGTCCTCCAGCCAGGCATTACACTCACACCGAAGCCCTATAAAGTGAAGTTTATGAATCGTAACTAAGTTAAAGGGAGCACAAAACGAATAAAACAATGGTCTGTTAACGCATGTGTCGAAATTAAATTGTTGTATTTTTGAATACACACTTAAAACGCTTTTTTTATTCTTTGGGGAAAATTGTCAGACCTAAAGCCATTATATAAATACAAAATAAGATTAAGCACACATAATTACGACTCAAGCAGAATTCATAGTATATATTTATGTGAATCTGTATGAAAACTAATTTTCTAGTTATCAATATATAATTTAAAAAAGTAAGCATAGGGTCTAGTACGAAGAATCGTAGTTTTTGTTCAGTTTTTGGATTACAGCAAATTCGTTACTTAGTGGTTTGTAATCGTTAAACTGGAACTTAGGTCTACGGACACGTAATTTTAATGAACAAATTAAAAATAAGCCTGATTTCTATATATATATATATATATATATAAATCTATATTATGTAGCGTCTATCTCAAATTTAATGTCAGCATCGCATTCTACTTCAACCTTTCTATGATTGAGCTCTTCGTTGAATTCCAACAGTGTGCGATGCAGTCGACAACGTAACAAGTCCGCATCTTGTTCAGGAAGCGTTCGGAGTTCACTGAGTAGGAATGTTGTAAATATTGAATTGCGATCTTGTTCCTCATTTTTTATCATTGATGTGGATGCTGTGCTGGGAAGGTGTTGATTTAGACCCGATGGGCTTGTAGCTGCATTGATTACGCTTATTTCTTTTTTCCTTGAAGTTAATATTGGGCCAATGAATGCCATTTCTTTGTAAAATTTCCAAGGAGAATGTAAATGGCTATTTTCCGCAAATACCACATGGCGGCGACGATAAGAGGTGCGTAAAGAATTCCATTTGGCAATTAAATCGTTTTTGGAATATCCATTGCTTTTGAATTGTTCATATATGTAGTGCCAGTCAGCAGACTTTAACGATTGGTTTGCATATTCCTCCGCCGTTGAATTCCAAAGGCTAGGACTCTGCTTAACCAATTCTATCAGCTTAAGACAATTCGAATAGCTCCAAATCTTTGTTATAGTTGGCCTAAATTTCTTGGAAGGTGCTCTCTTTTTTCCTCTTCGCTTCGTACTTTGTATTTCTGGATTTTCATCAGGGTCGTAGCTCGGATCCATTTTTGTGAGGATCTAAAAATAGGATATATATATGTAGTAGAGTTACATGGTAACGCGCCGACCATGAAGCCACGCAGCCCACTGTAAGCGTGCGACCATGTCCGGAGCAATACACACCGGCATTGCAAAACCGAAAGGATCAATTTGCAGTACTTTATCAAAATTTCTAAGCAATTCGCATTAAAGGTATACACATACTTCATCTTCATCGTCCCATTCCGTTTTCATTTTATCAAACTTAAAACTTTATTTGGACAAACAAACAAACAGACAAACTTTTGTTGCAAGGAATGAACAGCAAATAGCGATGAACGATATTTTTAAAAACTGCGACTTTGTCAAGTTTCACGGCGATTGCTGTGACTGCTTGTTTCAATGTTGGCCGGTGTTGCTATCGATTTCGTTTCACAATTTATCGGGCTTGATTTTAAATTCTTTTAAATTGTATTGAATATTTATGCAATCAGTGTTGCTGCATTTTCTTGCATATCAAAAATTTGTTTGATACTTTTTTATTAATAGAATCGGCTGCTTTTTTTATTTATGTAGTAATAAATAAATTCAATTGTTGATGCTAAAAGTATTACAATTTCAATGTAACAAAATCAAAAAATTTGAGTTCTGTAATTATTTAAGAATACGTACATTATAACAACACCAAAAACAGGCCCATATACTGATTAAATGAAAGTATATTTACATCATAAGGAATATTCAAAGGTATACATGTTAACAGAAGTGGCTAGGGATAAAACGATTTTGTTTGCATACATTTATAAATAGTAATATGATATATGTTTTAATGTACGCATGAATGTATGCATTTACATAAACATATGTATGTATATTTACAAGCAAGCTAACTGGAATCGAAACCAGGTTATTCAAACGAGTATTCCTTGAAATGCACGAATTAACTAAATCCAGAATCATTTGAATAACGATCAGAGACGACTTTTGTTTGGGAAAAATGTTAAATATTAATAATAATGCGTAAAAATAAAAACAAAACAAACAACAATTTATGCGCTTTTTTGTTTGCTGCCTGTCTAACTTAAACACTAATGACTGCACTTGCTTTGTTGTCCGTCAAATCTATCCATAGGAAGCACACATACCAGTACGTATAGTATTGGCGCATGTGTCTGTTAGGTTTCGTTTAGAATTTGCTCATAGTAGGTATCATAATTGTTGCTGTGGTTCTTGTCATAATTGTCATACCGATTTTTTTTTAGGTCTTGGACATGTGATTGCCGCTAGAAATCAAAGTTCTCCGGCATACTGAATTTATATTCATGAGCATCTGCATCCGGCGCTAAACGTGGATCCTCCTCTTCATTGCCAAAGTACTGCTCAATAATGTAGAACGATTTGTGATAGATATCGCGATTTTCATGAGCTTGTAAATATTCGATTTTATCCAGTCCTATATTTGATGTCGTAAGCAAAAAATATAATTTTATATTACATATATTCAAATATAATTTACAATACTCACCACCACATTCCTCAATGGCAATAGCATAAGGATTGGGTCGAGTTTGAAATTTCTCGCCGGCTTTTAAAATGTTCTCGAGTGCATTTAATGCCACTTGCACAACATCTGAGTCAACCACTGTAAGAAAATCGCACATGGGTGGCACACATCCAACTTGAACTAAATAGTGGATCTGTTCGGACGTTCCGCTACTAGTAGCATTTGTAATGGCCCATGCAGCCTCTTTTCGCGTCTTAAAATCTGCTGTCTGCATAATGGACATCAACAGGGGGAAGATGTTAGCATTGATTAGCTCCTGTATTTGCTCACGATTGCCAGCCGCAATATTCGATATAGTCCAGCAGGATTCTTTTTTTATGGCCTCCACCGGCGAGCTTAACAAATGGCTGATGCATGGTAATGCGTTGCAATTTAATACCACTTGAGTTTGCTGATCATCGCCTGTTACAATATTACCCACAGCTCTTAACGCAGCCGTTGTTACATTTTGTTGTGGATGCCTGCAATGATCAATTAATGAGTTAGTACATTATACAAAACCATGTGTCTAAATAATTTACATCAAAAGCTCCACAAGGCGACGACACACGCCAGCTTTAATGACCGCTTGTATTTTATTGTTGGGCCCGTCCGACAGATAGCTAATGGCCCAGCATGTATCGGTCAGAACATCTACATCGGTATGACTAAGCAGGCGCGCAAGTATTGGCAGGCCATGCACGATTTTTGAAAAGTCTGCAGGAGGATTTTTACCACGGCACAGATTCGAAAGTGTCCACACTGCATTGCGTATCATGGTAATGCGGTCCGAGGTGCTGAGCACGCTAGATGTAGGAAAGGGATTTCTTCTCGTTAATACCAACCATCGAGACCTAATAACCACATTACTTACTGCAAAAGGGGCGTCAAAATGTTTGAGCCCAGTAAATGATCACGACATGTGGCTGAATCACCAGCTATGTTACCCAGCGCCCATACTGCCTGCTCTTGTACATCATCATGTGGGCTTGAGAGAAGTTCTATGAATATGGGCACGGCACCAGCTTCAATCACTATCTTTGTTTGCTGCGATGTACCCGACGCAATGTTAGTTAGCGTCCATGCTGCCTCAAATTGTAGCGTCGCGTTCTCATTGTTGCGCAAAAACGTCACGAAACGCGGAACAATGCCTTTCTGTATGACCTCCTCGATAGGCGGATTCGGATCGCGTGAGAGCAGTTTCCGAAATCTTTGAGTTGCCTCGACCTGTTCATTTTGGTTATCGCTGTACAACATCTGAATCATTTCGGCGTTAATGATAGGCGGTGGCGGAGAGGTCGATGCCACTGAAGTCGGTGGCAAATCCCCGAACTGCTCAGTGTACTGCTGCGGCATTGCTTGACTACCATCGGACATGTACATATCGTTAGACTGCAAAAGCTATATGAATACACTTTATATAGATAGCTCTTAAATAGCTCTAATAATTTATTTTACACACCTGTAGCTCACTGCTGCTGCTACTTTCCATGCCAGCAGATCCAACTGGCGGATCCAGGACAACATTGCGTCTCTTGAATAATTGTTGTTCCCGCTTATTTTTCCGCAGCTGTATCCCAACTTCTTCGCGGCGTCGACGCATTTCAGTCGAGTCCAATGCGGCATTTTTGTATCGTTGCTTGTGTGTGGCAGACATGTCTTATATTTGTTATGGTATGATGAATTACTTCAGCCGTTATTGATAAAACTGTATTTGAATCTGCAAATTGGAGGAATACTATATTATTTTTTTTATTATTTGTATAACTCCAACTGACAATTTTGTGTATCTTATAAACAGACATACTTATATATTTGTATATATGTGGATATGTAAATCGATATAATGAATTTTGAAATAAACATTAGCTAGACCTATTTTTAAATACAATATTGTATGCTGATAACAATTGTTTTAAATTTACAATTGGTTGATTGGTAACTTGAGCTTAATAATGATAATTCTCAAACCAAATGTCTGCACTTTAATTTAAACAAAAACAACAACTAATACAGTGTTGACACAGAGATTGTTTAACATTTTAGCACACACAATAAAAAGAATATACATATTTCTCAATTCCAATTGGACGGGCAATCGAAAACACTTTCACATTTGCAAGACTGATGAGCGTGTGTGTGTGTGCTTAGGTCAGCGTTTTCCTGCATACTTACGTTTCGTTGTGCTCACAGTGTTTTGAAGGAATCGTACATTTCATGCATCGGCTCGGATATTACTTTTCCACAATATCGGCAATTTACAGCTTTTACTACCAGGACAATGTAAAATTTACCAAAAATTACGCTACACATGCGTCACCAGGCTGCACGTTTTCTTGGTAGGCTGCCAGATCGGCGCGACCTTTTACAGCTGGTGGTAGCGAAATATCGATAAGCCACGAGCTCAGTTTCCTACCATTTAAAGAACCATGGCAGAAGCAAAGTACGATACTCGTGCATTCGAGATTCGAAGTCAATCTCCAAGAGATGAGTTGGAGCAGCAGAATGAGAAACTTATGGAATTAATGCATCTATATAACGATCTAAAAGACGCCACTCTACTCTCACTTGGTGCATTGGCAACGTACCACGGCACCGTGGTAAGCGAAATGTATCGCACATACGATTTGCCGCTCAGTGAATAAATTCATACCCATATTATTAATGTATACTTATACTCGTGTATGATAGGGCACCATTCCAAACTTTTGTATTCCAAATTTATTCACAAAATTGTTTTTAAAAAAAAATAAAGGCACAAATGTATATACATACATGTGTATCATAATATTTGCTAACAACTTTTTTGTTGGCAGTACTTCTTTAATTAGAACTAACAATTTTACTTAGGTGTAAACAGTTTATTGCAATCATTTCACTTTGCAATTGTTTGACCAAAATGCTTAGTTAAGTTTGAGAATGACTCAGTTCAGTTCGAAAAAAGGTCCTGCAGCGTTCATTGAATGCCTTATAGGAGCGCTCCTTTATAATGTCTTCAACATTTAGTTCAGCCTGCAGCACACGTAACTATAATTGAGAGTAGGGATTAAGTAGCAGTTCGTATTAATTGGTAATAGGTGTTTTTTCCCGCTCACTTTTCGTTGCTCCGCCTTGAATTTTTGATCCGTCTCCACATCGTTTGGTTGCGCATCATGCTGCTCTCGCAGTGCTTTCAATTGAGTAGCAGATAAAGTTATGCAATTTGTAATGGCGGCGTGCCTCGTGGTGTGTGACTGTTCCAGCTTAGCGTATAGATCTTTGCAAGTGCTCCCGCTGTTAATTTGCCCCTTAAATGATTCAGTAGGTAGCGCATTTAGCGCATATATAATTTTGTCGTCGACATCACGCATCTTCTTCAAAGCCTCCTATTTACATACATATATATGTACGAGTAGATATGAATTTCAATCCAAGTGGACTATAATACACAATTTGAATTTGTTTTTTTAAACCTACCTGAAAGCCGAGGAAATCGAAGCAATTATATGAAACGGCCATTAGACTGCCCACCCAGTGTAATGATTTTAACTTGAACTGAAACGCACGAAATTATTAATAACTAAAAACAATAATGCCGGTGCGTCGCTGCACTTGGTGGAGCGCTGCCATATAGTTGAATGTTAAAAACATATCGATAAATCGGCTCCAATGACGGCAATGTCACATCTCTGCTCACACATCTCTAGAAGACCAAGCTGAAAAGTTAAAACAAAACATTTAACGTTGTAGCTATTGCTATTAAAAACTCTTACTAGTTGTAAGACTTTTACAATGTCATTGTCGAAATACGAAGAAATTAAGGAGAAAATAAAAAACGGCATCTACACTCTAGCGCCGAATGGAAGATCTACTCGCAGCACAGTTTGGCGCGTTTATAGAAAAATTAGACAGGAAGATGGCACAATACTTGACAACGTATTACATTGCACATCTTGCAAAACGCTGATGTCGTTTACGCACAAAACAACAACAAACTTACGGCGCCACAAGTGTCACCTACGTTACCTAAAGACTCTGGCATTCAGCGAAGACTCAGACTTAGATCTGTCTCTTAATAGCACCAAGTTCAATATCAGTTCGAATGATTTCGATACGGAAATGAGGGTAGATGCGCCTTTAGAGGACGCAGCGGACCCGACATTACTTGAAGTAGTCGAAAAAAAACACACGCCCACCGATTCCACACCCTTTGTATCAATAAGCGGTAGCACTGAAGAAGGCCTGGCTCAGCCTCAACCTCACAGCACCAATGATCCCCTGAATGTTGCTGCGTCTTCGCAACCTTTGGCCAACCTGATCGACGTAGGTATGACTGACGCCGAAGAGTCTAATATATACGCACAGACGTGGTCATTGGAGTATCGCAAGCTTACCGAAGAGCAAAAATTTTATGCAAAGCGCGCAATTGACGAAATATTTGTGTTGGGTCGTTTAAGGCGGTTAACATTAAGCACAGTACCGTCAGTTACAGAGTAACCTTATATTGTGTTTCCTTAGATTTACGGCTTATTTTAATGTAAAATATATAAGTTTTATTGGAAAATTAGTACCGGTTTACAGTTGATTTGTGTGGTTTGTGCCTTACTAGTACATTCGTACTAGTACATACATCAATGAATCACACTGTGGTGCATTTGCTCTTTTAAGTTGGATTCGAATATTTTTTATATTGTTTTTTCATCATCGGCCAAATACATAATAAGTACGAATAAGTAATTAGAACCCAATATGATTCCCGTAGTGAAAGGTATTTCAAATTTAAATATTTGTAGGAGTGTTTGGCATAAAATGTGACGACCAAAAATAAAGTTGCATTCTATTGAAATATAAGTATGTACATTCATACATAAATGTTAATACATATGTATGTATGAAGGTAGTTACATCAGGTGACAACAGAGCACAATGAATAGAAGTGGTAAGGGGAACGAAAAGTTTGACCAGTCCGCAAATATGTACATACATATGTATATTACTTATCCGCGAATTTTTTGTTAGTTTGTTGTGAAACATAGTTTACCTGCACATTTAAGTTTTCCGTTCATTTATGTTTTATATACGATCTGTATTTCCACTCTTAAAGATATGTACATATAAACAATTTTCCTGTGTAGACATTTGGTTATGTGAATCAGCTATTAAAAAAAATTATAGGAAAGGAGGCCATCGTTGCCTTTCGTTCTATACCAATTCTGTCAATTCCTTGGTTTAAATTGTGACACTAAGACAAAATACTATCGATAAATGGAAACATTTGGACGATCGTATTCGTCGCATCCCTAATGCGTTAACAGGCCGCTAAATAAATTTGTCTTCAGGTGCTCGCTAAAAGTTTGAACATCAGTAACGTGATCGTCTCAATAACTCGGTAGGAGGAGTATGGCGAAAGCGTCGTCGCAGCATCTTCAGAGTTTCCTAACAAACATAACCAGACCTATTCCCTGCGCGCCACACGACATTAAAACAAGTTGAAGTGCCGAAGGACCTATTGAAGTTTAAATCCTGCTGCTGATGGATAATTTCCTGGCAAGATTCTTCAAAGCGCTGGTGCTGATCATTTGCGTGTCTTTATTCTCGTTATCGTCTTCTATGAAAGTCAGTTTCCAAGTAGATAATATCCCCAATGAGTTTATTATTCAATATAAAAATAAATATTACACCAAAGCCAGGACAAAGTACATTCACACAAAGTTACACAAATCCAACGTAAGTGATTTTTCTTTTTACATAAATAATTTAACAATGGTTTTTGTGTTTCTTATTAAAGATTTCAAACTGGGCTATTCTACCTCGGCAAAATTTAGCAAGTTCTTATCCCAGTGATTTCGATGTTCTTCGAATAGAGAGCTATAGTTCGTTAGAACGCATTTTAGATGTTGTTAATGCCCATCCAGCTGTAAAAGCAGTCGTCCCTCATCGCAGCGTTCAGCGTATATTGAGATGGACTAATAATACTCTTCCTCAGCGACAGCTGCGAGGAGTAGCTCGCAAAAAAGCACAAAGCAGCAAAAGGTCAGAACAGGTTACAACTGTTCTGCACACGGAAGTTCTGTGGAAGCTCGGAATAACGGGGAAAGGCGTCAAAGTTGCCATATTTGATACGGGCTTGACCCAAAACCACCCTCATTTTCGAAATGTAAAGGAACGTACAAATTGGACAAATGAAAAGTCTGTCGAAGATGGAGTTAGCCACGGGACTTTTGTCGCTGGCGTCATTGCTTCTGCAAAGGAATGCCTTGGCTTTGCCCCTGACTCGGAATTGCATATTTATAAAGTTTTTACAAATTCCCAAGTAATATATATTACTATTACTGTCTAAACAAACCAATTTCTAATAATTATCACTACTAGGTATCTTATACTTCCTGGTTCCTCGACGCTTTTAACTATGTCATTTATAGAAAAGTAAACATTCTAAACTTGAGCATTGGAGGACCAGATTTCATGGACTTTCCATTCGTTGATAAAGTCCTGGAGTTATCAGCCAACAAAATTATAATGGTCTCGGCTATTGGAAACGATGGACCCCTATACGGCACACTTAATAATCCAGGCGATCAAAGCGATGTAATTGGTGTAGGTGGTATAAATTTTGATGACAAGCTCGCTAAATTTAGCTCCAGAGGTATGTCTACATGGGAACTACCATTTGGCTATGGGAGGGTGAAACCAGATATTGTCACATATGGCAGCCAAGTGCAAGGCAGCGATGTTCGGTCGGGCTGCCGACGTTTATCGGGCACATCGGTATCTTCGCCAGTTGTTGCCGGGGCCGTTGCATTGCTCACGAGTGGAGCACTTCATAAAATAGAGATGATAAATCCAGCAGCTTTGAAACAGGTTCTAATTGAAGGTGCTGTGAAATTGCCGAACTATAACATGTTCGAGCAAGGACATGGCAAGCTAAGTTTGCTGAAAAGTATGCAGTTGTTGTTAAAGCATAAGCCGAAAATCACACTAATTCCATCATCACTGGACTTTACATCGAACTATATGTGGCCATATAGCAGTCAACCCTTATTCTACGGAAGCATGGATGTAATTGTAAATGTTACTATCCTTAATTCGATATCTGTTGCGAGTCGTATAGTAGGCACACCAAAGTGGGAACAACTTGCAGATAGTCATGGACATTTCCTTAATATCTCAACGTCCTTTCCCTCTATGCTTTGGCCATGGTCTGGGTGGATGGCAGTATACATTGGTATATTATTATTCGTAATATGAAAAACTAAACTTCAGTGTAATTTTTTATTTACAGCTGCAAACAAAGAGAGTCGGAATTTCGAAGGAATAGCAAAAGGCAATATAATATTATCCATAGAAAGTATCGGAAGCGGTAAAAACGAATCACATATTAGCGAAATACATTTTCCAATTGTCGTTAAAATTACACCTAAACCGCCGAGACATAAGCGAATTTTGTGGGACCAGTACCATAGTTTAAGATATCCACCTGGATATATACCTAGGGATGATCTCAAGGTAAAATCTGACCCGCTGGATTGGAGGGCCGACCACATTCATACCAATTTTCGAGATATGTACATACACTTGCGTAATGCTGGGTATTATGTTGACGTTTTGCGTCAACCCTATAGTTGCTTTAACGCATCGGAATATGGTACTTTGTTGATTGTTGATCCTGAAGAAGAATTTTTTGATGATGAGATTGTTAGCTTAGAAAGTTATATCTACGACACTGGTTTAAGTATCATAGTATTTGCTGATTGGTATAACACAACAGTAATGAAAAAAATTAAATTTTTTGATGAGAATACTAGGCAATGGTGGATTCCTGATACTGGAGGATCCAATATTCCAGCACTAAACGACCTTTTAAACCCCTTTGGCATTAGTTTTGGTGATTTTGTTGGAGAGGGACATTTTAAACTGGGAGATCATTCAATGTATTATGCTAGTGGGGCTTCAATCAGTAGATTTCCGAAAAATCCTGAAGATATACTGATTGGAACGAATTTAAATGACCAGGGGTTATCGGTGAGTCTTTTTCGTGAATTTTATGGAATTTATCCGTAATTAGCATTTGGTTTCAGATAATTGAGAACGTGAAAAGCCCTGACAAGGATGCCAAAAAAATATTTGTCCCTATTATGGGGTTGTTCCAAACAGAGCTCATCACACGCCAAAAAAACTTTAAAGAACAATTTGCCAGCAAACATCCAATTGTGGAGGACAATGATATAAGGCAAAATAATTGGTTAGATGATCTACCATCGGAAAAGAATCCAATATTAAACAATCGCGTATTACTTCATAACCAGCAACAAATGCCAAAAAGTATTAAGCATGAAGACCAACATTTTAAAACACAAAATACAAATCAGGAAGGCCGCATTGCTGTCTATGGAGATTCAAATTGCTTAGATTCAACCCACATGGAGAAGGCCTGTTATTGGCTACTAATAACCATTCTAGATTTCACTATGAACTCTCACAAGTCGAAGTTGTTGCAGAATTTAAATCAATTTGCTGAACTCAGCAAATTAGAGAGCAAGCCATTGCCAATGCGGCTTGCTAGCAGTAAACTGACAAGATTTTCAAAAGTTCTCAATGGAAGAGAAAATATGAAAAATCGTTGCAAAGACCTGCAAAGGAAAAGAGCAACGTCATATAATTCTAGTGAGCAAATAAGAATTGTGAATGAAACTGCAGAATATGAGAACAATGGTAACACAATTACAATTTTTTTAAACAGTTTCCTAATAAAGAACTTTTTTCTACCACAGATATTCCAAACAACCTTGAGCTTATGGGTTTGCTAAATACTGAGATCGCCAGAATCGCTTTAAATGAGGAGCAAATTAATCTACGGAGTATAGATTTTAACATAATGACTTCGGTAATCTTTATGATAACGCTAAGCCTAATCGTTATTATATTATTTATACTCTTTTTCAAAAGAAAAATTGTATATAAAGTTTAAATGGTCAAGCATACGCTGTTTAGTAATACTTAGCTTATCGTAGTGTGTATTTGTAAATAAATAGCATGTTTAAATATAAATTACCGATAGCAAAAATATCGATATCAACATGATATTATCAAGCACTAGTTGCGATTTTTCTTTGGGAACAAATGCATGCTGCAAGCCAAGCGGCTTGAAAAGGGCTTTATAAAAAGAAATAATATAAAACATATACAAAAATGACAAGCAGGAAGCCATTGCACCCCCGCCCTGCTTCAACAACACCTACATTTAAAAGTACCGAATGGCAAAACAACGAATCCTCAGACGTCGCTTCAAGTGATGACGAGCAACAGTCCTATGAATATGAGGACCACAATATAACCGAGGACACATCCCAGTACAAAAGTAGCAATATATCACAAACGCCCACTAAATTTTACCAATCGGAAAAGTTGCAAAGCTCACACACTAAACGATCCCAAAATATTCCGAAGGAAAATGAAAGTTCCAACTTTCTGTTTATATTGGTGCTTGCAATATCCGTCATTGCCATTGCCATAGGACTTTCATTTTATTGGAAGACGACTGTTCCAAAACATTGCGGCTTTGAGACTCTGCGTCATCGTCAACCGCTGCAGCACTCGGCCGTTTGGCACGCACTATCCGTGGGCATTGGGATGCTGTTGAATAAACAGAGCAGCACTTCCAATGTTTACTTGTTCATGTATCAGGGCGGTAACAGTGGTGGAACAACGAAAGTGGTACAACTTATCAATGATATTGCCAGCGAAACGTCCGTTTGTTTTGGTAGGAATCTGCTTTTTTATTATGTGCACAAGCTAAAATATTTACATACATACGTAAGCATACAAATTGATATTTTCTATTTTAGAGGGACGAAGACGAACTGTGCAAATGGGGCGTGAGGATTTTTCTACCCCAAACGGTGACTACGGCTATGCCATTGAGCAGTTCAAAAATAAAATAAAAGAGGGCAAAGTCTTATTGATTCTTAATCTTAATGATATCCCAGCCCTTGCGGCCCGAGCCTTGCATTCCATATGTGACACCATCAATCCGATTGCCCGAGATGTCGTTATTTTTCTCACTTTGGAAACATCAAACACCACGATCGCAGGCTCCGCTGTGCAACTAGCCAGAGACACCTTATATTCCCTGTGGGAAAAGCAATTAATGTACAATGAGCTTGATCCACTCATAACCCGGGTTACTGATATGGTGCTGCAGCTGCAGCACTAATGGCGGCACCACAACTCACATACGAACACCAGCAGGCTCCATGTCATACCGAAGCACCATAGCATTATCAAACCAATAAAATTATCAATGCCTAATTTGATTGGTCCTTTAACATCCACATTTAATTTTTGCGATGCCACAATGCGATTCTGACGATTGTTGTTCATATAATCTGCAGCAATTTTCCATTCCCAGAATTTGTCGAGACCCGATGAATGCCATGCCAGTATGAAATCATTGTAAGCCTCTAAATGCGCCCAAAGACGTGGCACAATCGCCACTGTGTAGGAAAAATAAATGTCGTCTACCATCAGCTTGAGCCGTGATAAAGCCTGATCCGGAATAAGCTCCGCGTTACCCAGATGACCGAACTGCAATCGTTCTACCACAAAGGCCATTTGCTCAGTACGCGAATAAGCATCGATATGGGCAGCGTCCAGAACACGATAATGCTGCATAAGTCCCAATAATTCGGGCTAAGACTCTTGATTAATTTAGTTCTACAGTATCATAAACAGTTCTTACATCTGCCCCATTAATATCGATGGTGGAGATCCAAACTTGGGAAGTGCCAGCCCATGTAAGTTTGTGTTCAAACAGACGTCGACGGGAATCAGCCGCTTCCTCCATAGCAGGCAGTGTGAGTATGGATGCGAGCCCACCGCTATAAACTGTCGTCAGGATGATGTCAATCATGTAGCTGGCCAGCAGAACTGTGCGCAGAGAATAGGAACTGGTCACGTATGAAGTGCTCTGGTTAACAAACAGTTTTAGAGCACTAACATAGCTGAATTGCACGCTTTGCCTCCAACTGTAAGCGGTTGCAGGTGCTTCCAGGTACTCCAAACGGCGCGTCAGACACAAGGCAACACATTCCAACAGCAAACAAAATAGAACACAAACCCAAAGTGAAGCTTGAAATGGACGCATAGGCAGATCCCAGTTGATGAGTCTCCGCGGCGCAGGCACCAAACATGTGACGCCTGAACGACCTAGAAAGTGAGTGATGTCCATGCTTTGGTAGGCTTCGTACCACAAAGGCATACCACCTATGGCATAATCATTCCGACGAGACAGCACCATGCCGACGAGGCCGTAGCCCGTAGCATTTCCATAAACATCTCCCCAGTCCCCATCAGCTGAAATGAAATGTTTAATGTGGCGAGTGGCTGTGGATGTGGTCTACTTACTCGTGTCCACCTGCATCGAACAATTATGGAGCTCGCAGAAATTCAACATCAAACGGAAGTCGGTTCCATCAACAAAAACTTCGTCAAACGGCTTTTTAATGGCACGGTCAAATAACCGGGGTTTATTATCCTTTGAAGTCAAAGGATGACTTTATTAATATGCATTTTACATACCTAGCCGATTCTATAGATCCCGCTGAGCATTTGATGTTATTTTTCCCAAAAACGAAAAGTTCGCATATGTACGCACACATATACATACATACATAAATGTTACGAAAATCTACAAGTAATTTGCTTGTAAACTCAGCATTACCAACATATCATTGTTAATTCTAAAATATATAACCTACCATCTATCATGTGGACTTGTTAACTACAAATATTGCTTTAAATTGTATCTAAAAATCAAGTATCTATCTAGTACATACATATACATATGTTTGTATATGTACATATATATCGAAGGTTGAGGATTTTTGGGATAACTACTTACATAGTTTAACAACATGAATGGCTTATAGTCAAAAACCCCTATGACCACCTCACGCCCTTGCAGATTGGCCAATTTATTTTGATTAACCAAGAATAAGGCATCTTCGTTATCACCAGACAAAATTTGATGGCGCACGGCATCAAAACGTTGAAGTTCATAGAAAGTTGGTGGTTCTGGCATATCATCGAAATTACGAGCCCCTACAAAGCGATTTGTCTTGATACCAAAAACGCTCGCATTCAAAAACTGCGCATGTACTATAAGTATGTTCGCCTGGTCTAAAAATATATTAATATAGAAATAACTACGTATATATGTATGTGGAAAAAACTGAGACTTACCATGAAATATATAGCCACCGAAATAGCTGTTTGGATCAACGCCTCCCAAAAGTTCATCTGTGTAGGCGAAAATAAATCGATTACGAGTTGAGCGCCAAGCCGAAAAAATGCTGGCATTATAAAAATACTTGGCAAACTCAGGTATATGGTCTTGAAATGCGATGAAGGCCTATAATATTATATACATATGTAAAATTATTGTACAAAAATTTGTTACTATAAAAGTAATAGCATAATTTGCATGTAAAATGTACATACATAGTCGGCGGCTATCATATTATTTCCGAAGGCGGTGTGGTCACACTGTAAACACACATAAAAGCACCTGCTAGGCAAATTCTTTACCGCTGCTAGCGGGACTTTGCATTAACAGTGTTGCTCAGTAATTTGGTTTTAAGAAATTTATGGATTTTAATTGAACCCTTTCCTTTTGTCTTCAGCACTAACCATACAACATATAGATGCTTCATTTCATACAACGAAAACGTCCCATCAAAATTCTGAGCGACAGCTCCCATACAGTGCTGTCATAATTTATTGAGCAAAAACAGCAAGATTGCCAAAAAAAAAGCTAAATCCAATGCAAAATATGCTAAAAAACAAGCCGGCATTAAAAACATTATTATAATAATAATATGAGATTATAATAGAAAATTCACATTAAAATCACGCTAAAAATTCTACAGTTGTTCATCTAAATTCACTGCCTTTGTTGTTACGATTAAGTCCGTATCTTAAATTGAAAATTAATTAATATAATTATGAATATGGTTTATTTTGCTTACAAGAAACGTACCTTACGCTTAAAATGGAGTTAAGCGTATTTAAATTCATCCCATTTCTTAATTTGGATTTAACTAAGTTCACCTGGCTGAAGACCCGCCCACTTCGCGAACACTTTGTTTATACACTATAGACTTATGCTCGAGCCTGGAGGTGATTTTGATAGATTTTATTATCGAAAGTCGTTTATCACTGCTTATATTCATGATTTTAAGTGTTGACAAAGATAAGGAAAAAAATTTATTGTGAAATATAAAGTAAAGCTAGAAAAGGCTAAATAAATTTTGTTCAAGCTAGAATTCCCGCAACCCGCTATTTTCGAATTTTTAGGCCAGGTTTAGCGGGAAAAAAGCTAAAATGACATCGCTGATTCGCTCACAGAGAGCACGAATGCGACAGCTCCCAGTCGGGTTAGCCGAAGTGCGACAGCTCCCATTCGACAAATACCCGAACAGCTATGGGAGCTGTCGCTCTCAACTTTGATGGGACGTTTTCGTTGTATGAAATGAAGCATCTATATATTGTATGGTTAGTGCTTCAGCCAACCTACTTGTATGATGAAAATTTATTAATTAGAATTTATCATTTTCATTCACGCCCTACTCTTTGCACTTGAGGCGTAGCTCAAGAAATACCTTCATTTATAAAGACATACATACATATTGGATTTAATTTTCAAAAGCTTAATGTATTGCAAATCTAAATCAGTTGCAAGCGTCTGAAAAAGTATATCTTAAATTTGTAATAAATCGTGTAAAAATTTTGTTTTACTTAATTTGCTGATCGAACTTCTCACAAATAATTTTTATTCTCTGTACCCAAAGAATCGATTCGGAGTTGTTTTAATCAATGTTTAAAATTTTAATATATTTTTTTAATGAGTGGGCTTATAAGTGTTGGGCCTGCACAACTTTAGCTTCCCATTATTGTTTTTGTCAAACAGATTGGACCGGCCGACCTTTATACAAAATAGGTGCTTGGAATTACATGTTGGGAATGGAGCTCACCTCACAGTGTGCCTGTTCAATGGCAACGGTCAGCTTCAGTATCCAATCGTTATAGGATATATAACGACTATCGAATTCAGCCCGCTTCGTCTCATAGTCATAAATGTCGGCGTGGAAAGTGAGGGCTTGTGGTTCAATGACCAGGACGGGCAGCAATGTGGACGTCGCTGAATCCAGCTGAAGCTCGAACTTGGAATTCCATAAAATGCAAGTCGTAAGCGAGTCAGCAAAGTAACGTTGCACTATGTAAATTAATGGAATAACAATATTGACTTATCATGTTTATGGAAGTAGCTAATAGTTGATTTTACGATCTCAACTAAAAATATACATAAACTAAAAAAATTTTATTTATCTAGCCCTATATAAACGAAACCTACTAAGAAAATTTAAAACTGAGGTCCAGTAGCTCTGCGTTGGCACCATGGTGGACAACTTGTGACCAAAGAAATCCGAACATCTTATTTATAAGTGGTGGTTACTCGAGTTAATTTTATAAGAAATCAATTATATAATTGTCCTATTAACTGCATGCCGATAATAATAACCATTACTATGGGTTCAATTGTTTATTGATATATATAGCAAATAAATATGACCATTAGCGTAATTATTTAATATGTATAAGCAGATTAATGGGCTTGATAATAACTCGTGACAGTTGTGCCGCACTAATGGCGATACCACAATTCAAATAGGAAAACCAGCAGACTGCATGCCATACCAAAGCACCACAGCATTATCAAACCAATAATATTATCAATTCCCAATTTGATGGGCCCTCCAATATTCAAATTCAACTTTTGCGATGCCAAAATGCGATTCTGACGATTGTTGTTCATATAATTTGCAGCAATTTTCCATTCCCAGAATTTGTCGAGACCAGATGAATGCCATGCCAGTATGAAACCATTGTAAGCCTCTAAATGCGCCCAAAGACGTGGCACAATTGTTGCTGTGTACGAAAAATAAATGTCGTCTACCATCAGCTTGAGTCGCGACAAAGCCTCATCCGGAATAATTTCTGCATTAGCCAGGTGGCCGAATTGCAGTCGTTCTACCACGAAGGCCATTTGTTCAGTACGCGAATAAGCATCGATATGGGCAGCGTCCATTACACGAAAGTGCTGTATAATTCCCAATAATTCGGGCTAAAAGTCAGATTAGTTAATTATAATACAATATGTCATAGCTCAGGTATTACATCTGCATCATTACTATCGATGGCTGAGATCCAAAGTGGAGTTGTGCCCACCCATGTGAGCTTGTGCTCAAACAGACGGCGACGGGAATCAGCCGCTTCCTCCATGGCAGGTAGGGTGAGTATGACTGCGAGCCCACCGCTATAACCGGTCGTCAAGATGATGTCAATCATGTAGCTGGCCAGCAGAACTGTGCGCAGAGAATAGGAACTGGTCACGTATGAAGTGCTCTGGTTGACAAACAGCTTTAGAGCGCTGACATAGCCAAACCGCATGCTTTGCCTCCAACTGTTGCTGCCTCCGCGTATTCCTAGCGAAGCTTCCATATTCTCCAAGCGACGCATCACACACAAAGCAACACATTCCAACAGCAAACAAAACAATACACAAATCCAAAGTGTAGCTTGAAATGGACGCAAAGGCTGGTCCCAGTTGATGAGTAGCCGCGGCGCTGGCACCAGACATGTGATGCCTGAACGACTAAAAAAGGTTGTGAAGTCTATACTTTGGTATGCCTCGTGATACAAAGGCATACCACCCATGCAATAATCATTGCGTCGAGATACCACCATACCGAGAAGACCGGTGCCTGTGCCATTTCCATTAACTTCTCCCCAATCATCGTTGGCTAAAATTATATATTTCAGTGGATTTGTGGATTATGATAATATCATGAGGATCTACTTACACGTGTCTACCTGTACTGAACAATTGTGGAGCTCACAAAAGGTCAATATCACACGGACCTCGGTTCCATCAACAAAAACTTTGTCAAACGGCTTGTTTACGGCACGATCATAGAACCGGGGTTCTTTTACCTTTGTAGCCAATGAAAGATATTTGTAAATATACATCTGTATACATACCTATTGGAATTCAACATTTTCTCATTTAAATGTATAAACTAAGAATCTAATAATTGAAACATCATATGCGAAACGCATATTATAGGAAATAATAATATATAAAAGAAAATATATAAAATAAATAGATATAGGACTTATGACTCACATAGTTAAACAACATGAATGGCTTATAGTCAAAAACCCCTATGACCACCTCACGCCCTTGCAGATTGTCCAATTTATTTTGATTAACCAAGAATAAGGCATCTTCGTTGTCCCCAGACAACAGTTTCTGGCGCACGGCATCAAAACGTTGGAGTTCATAGAATGTTGGTGGTTCTGGAACATCATCGAAATCACGCGGCCCTACAAAGCGATTTGAACTGATACCAAAATCGCTAGAATTTAAAAATTTTGCATGTACTATAAGTATGTTGGGTTGATCTAGAAAAATAATAATATACAAAAAATATTAATATTTAATACGTATGTAAGGTGAGTTTTACACTTACCGTGTACATTTAATAGATTTAAGAGACTTATGCTTACCATAAAATATGTAACCACTGAAATAGCTATTTGGATCGACGCCTCCTAAAAGTTCATCTGTGTAGGCGAAAATAAATCGATTACGAGTTGAGCGCCAAACCGAAAAAATGCTGGCTTTATAAAAATAATCGGCAAACTCTGGTATATGGTCTTGGAATGCAATGAAGGCCTATGTGTAAAAATATACATATGAACAATTATTAATTGTATATTTTGATCGTTAAGTGTAGTCCAAAATTTACGACTGTTTGCTTTGGGTCAACAGTGTTGTTTAGTAATGCAACGGGATTCGTTATGGTATAATTGGAAAATTATAATTGAATTTATTTAATTTTATTAGAAATCATAACTGATTTCAGCAGTGGTACTCAACACAAATGTACAAATTTTCCCCTTTTTATTAATACAACAACACTGCACGCCACTACGTATAGAGTGACGTCGAGTCGATTGCAAGATGTGGAAATGCCCGTTTGCTTTTCTTGGCAATAAAGTTCAACAGGCGGAGGCGTACCCGGCTACAGACATATTGCAGTTGAATTATGATTGCTATCTGGAGATTTTGTCCTACCTCAACACACTGGAGGATCAACTTAATTTCGCTCGTGCTCATCCAAAACTTTGTGAAATTTTTATGCACCACGCCCGTTTTCGCTATGCCAAAATAAATGTGAGAATGCTGGAGTCCATTGTGGATTGGGAATATCTGCTTGAATTGTGCGGATCGAATATTCAGGAGTGCGAAGTGCGTTGTGGCAACTGGGATAAGGACTTCGTGTTGCCGTTTATGGCGCTGCTAGGCAAGCATTGTACAAATTTGTGGCACATGCATTTAATATTTGTACAAACTTATGAAATGACATCAACCCAGGAGCCGGCTGAAAACCAGGATAGCATTATGGAAAAGCTACAGGAACTTCGGGGCCTGCGTAGCCTGAGCCTGGGCTATTCCAATGCAACCCAGAGTAAGTAACAATCGCCTTTGAGTAAGAATAAATACAATGTTATCACATTTGACAGTGAAGCAACTGCAGGACATTAATAATCTGGAATCATTGTACATACATGGTATCGATGTGAAACTCAGCTCGTTAGACTTTGTGCAAGCATTCAGCTCTATGCAGCAACTAAGAACGCTCTCATTGTATTTCGGATCTGCCTATTCGCGTGCACAACAGGTACCGGATTTGGCAACGCATTGTCCGCTGCTGGAGCACCTGACATTGTACATGTTTAATGCGAACTTAGTGGACTTGGGTGATTTCGTGAACCTTAAGTCGTTGCACTTGATTGCCCGCAGAAATTTGGCTATAGAGACTAGTTTATACCGCTCCTTAACTACCAAATATGCAAATCGCTTGCAGCTGCTTGAGATAAAGAACGTTAAAATAGAGCACCATCAAGCCAATTATATAGTAAGACTTAAAGCTTTGCGTGCCCTTCTCTGTGATCGGTGGCCTATAGTCGCTTGGCCTCTGCTTTCGCAACTAACCGAGCTGGAGTGTTTGCAGTTGAAAGAGCATGTCGCCGGAGGTAACGAAAGCGCAAGCACTGATGTACTGTTAAATGTTATTGCTGACCTGACAAAGCTTCGGCATCTTAAACTGGGAAAGCAGTGGCCTATTGACGACACCCTCGTGAGTGCTGTGCGCGAAGTACTATGCAGGCGTACAGGAGCAAAATCGGGGGAGGAGCACATTCCATTTGTTCTTACCCTGTCGTCGGATCTGGCGCCCGAGCTTGAAAATAAGGTGGGTGGCGAATGCTCTTGGCTAGAAATAGCAATTATAAAACTCAGTTACTCTACTTCTTTCAGTTGAGTGTATTACGCTTGGGATATTTTTTGCGCGTTGACTTAAGCGGTAGTACCACATGCCAGCACTGTAAGCTGGACGGACCGGACGATGTTTATCCAAAGCAGGTGCTTGGAATTACCTGTTGGGACTAGACCTCACCTCACAGTGTGCCTGTTCAATGGCAACGGTCAGCTTCAGTATCCAATCGTTATAGGATATATACCGACTCTCGAGCTCAGCCCGCTTTGTCTCATAGTCATAAATGTCGGCGTGGAACGTGAGGGCTTGTGGTTCAATGCTCAGGACGGGCAGCAATGTGGACGTCGTTGAATCCAGCTGAAGCTCGAACTTGGAATTCCATAAAATGCAAGTCGTAAGCGAGTCAGCAAAGTAACGTTGCACTATGTAAATTAATGAAATAACAACATCGATTTGATTATCACGTGTTTTGAAGCAGTTAATAGAATTAAAAATAAGCTCCAATTGGAAAAAAGTAATTATCCAATCTCTATATACATGAAACTTACTGAGAAAATTCAAAACTGAGGTCCAGTAGTTTTGATTTGGTAGCATGATTGTCATCTTTTGAGCCAAGAAACCACAATCAACTTTTTATATGCGTTGGTTCTCGTGTTACTTGCATAAGAAATCAGCTATTTAATGGACTTATTAACTGCATGCACACAAAAATAGTCAATACTATCGAATCAAATATTTATTGAAATATAAAGCAAATAAATATAACCACTATCGTAATTATTTAATCTGTTTAAACATATTGTCATACATGAATAGGTGTTCGTTATAAATTAAGTGTGTTTAAAGATACATACATATTTCCATAAGCACTATAAATGACAAAGTAAACAAAATTTTAGTATAAGCCAAAGCAGATTTTATCCAGCAGTTATTTAACAATTCAGAAGGCCTTTGAGTCAAAGTCATGCCGTAGCATTCTGCTTCACATTTGATCGATGTTTAATCTCCCGTACACAGCGTAGAACTGGGCAGAATTTAAATTGTCCACGGTTTGCGCGACCTGAATGTTTATTTTAACATAATTCAACTAACTGGGTTTAGTTTCTACTTGCGTTTCTTTCTAATGGATTGCTGCTTTTAATCTACGACTTTTCTTAAATATCAGTTGTTACTTTAATTCTAAGGCTTCAATCTAAGCTTTAACGGTGCAACCACCACTTCCCAGGGATTTCATCAGTTGGTAACACTCTTTTAACTTGCGCTTGTCGCCGACCTTTTCCAGTGTCTTAGCGGCCTCCGCGAGCATGCCCGCACGTTCTCCGGGCGAGCTCAGTAACGCGGCTGGCAAATATTTACATGCCACATACATGGCTGCCGCACGTTCACGCTCACCACCCTCAAAGTTTGGATGTCGGCGATCTTTGCTGCCACAAAAGATCGAAGAATGTGCGTAACGGGAACGAAGGCTTCTGTCCAGCAGCTGTTGGGTGTGGCATGGGGAGGCGCCGGCCATTAGACGACAAACGGCTTCATACAGATAAATCCGCGAGTGTGCATTCTAAAGATAAATAAAACGGAACGTCAATTTCTAATCGCCATTTTCAATCCCAAGATAAAATTAACAGCTAAGCTACACTTTCAGGCATATCTGTTTGAAATTAAGTTTTCTTTAAATATATATTTTTTCTTAATCGAAAAAGCTATTTAAAATTGGAATAGTTTCAACATTCTTTGAAATCAACTACGTTTTTTAAACTATGTGCATTCAATATATTAAATCTTTTGCTTTTCAACGTACCGGTATGTTCTCGACAATACTGCGAAGAGAATTTAAATCGATTTGAAATTCTTCAAGCACATCGCCAGGCACTTGGTAGTAACCGTCATCCTCCACACTCATATGTTCAAGCTCCCATAGCGCTGTGCGCGTTTCCAGCAACCAATCGCAGGTGAGAAGCTGAAAAAGCTGCAAACGAAACGAGATTTACACTTAATCTAAAAATTAAATTATTCACAGCTCCTGCTACTATTATGGGTTTACGTTGATGCTTGTGAAATGCACATAGCTTGCTTTGCAGTTGTATTGCCTGAATCATATTGGGAGCACACAGACAATGCGACTACAATGCACCTGCGTGTCATCTCAGATAGAGTGGCTGGGAACAGGATTGAATAGTCTGAGTCCTGTGCTTACCAACTTGATGCCCTTGGCATTGGTTATGCGATTGATGGTTAAAGATTCCTGTAACTGTGTGCTAGATTCGGCACATATGCTGTTTATAGATTGTTTCAGACGTTTATCCAGAGTGTTGCCGTTATTCCTATGAAATAAAATATTAGATTATTAATTATTAGAAAGAGATAGTTGTAATCCAATTATCAGAGACCAATATGATATGCTTAAATTAAACTAAACGTTTAATATTTGGGTCGTCGAACGACTTACATCAACAAAATCATCTTGGCTCGCAGGACGGCATGTAATGCCTTTGGCATATTATCGCTACATTGCTGCAACTGTGGAGGAAGGTGCTTGATGTTGTCATATAACTGTTCGGCTAGAGTATCCTCGCCCAACAACCAGTGTACGGCAATCTCTAGGATACTGGCCCACCAGCCCACATTAGTATCGCGTTCATCGTTGTGAAGGGTGTCCCGGAGGAGCGATGTGTATTTAAGAACGTTGCTCACTATGGTGCCACTGTGTTGTGTCTGTTCGGACTCGCCACCGTTCCCGCCGTTAGTGGCACTGCTGCTACTCTTAGCGGAGCTGGGTTTGTGGCCAGCACCTACCAGACATTGTATAGCCCTGTACAAGAGATGCTCTCGATATTGCTACAGTGAATGGATATGAAAAATTAGTGGTTGAATTGAATTGCAAAAAGATTTTTTGCTACTCTAATCTACCTTCACTACATGGGACGTGGGGTCGCAGGGATTTTGTAGCTTCGTGAAAAAGTCTTCCTCGATGTTGCCCGGCGTCACATGTTCATAGGCAAAAATGTGAGTACTACAATAGCGATAGCCGTAAGAGCTAAAGGCCCAACAGAGGTCCTGGGTCTGCTCGCTTCCACGCGCCTTTGCGCACTCCTGACGCGCCCGACTCATGTAATAACGCGCACACAATTGCAGCCACTTGGGCGAGCTCTTTTTCATTCGCAGCGCTGCCGTCATGTAGATACTCATGATTTCGCGGGGCGTGAGCAAAGTGTGTGCCACTTCGGCCATATTGCAAGCATAAAGAGTCAACATGGTGCCTTGGCCGTCTTTCCGGTTGCCAGTTAAGTGGAGTTGATTGAGTCGATTAAATATTAGAGCCAGTTCTCGAGCCGATGCCAAAGCTCGCTTCCGTTGCATAGCGCTGCAGAAAAGACCACCTGCCTTGCGCGACAGTACACGTCCCACCCAAAGTCGATGAAAGAGAAAGCGTAGAAACTGCCAAGCAGTCAGCATAAAGTTCTCGAAACGCGTGCTCGGCAAGCTAATGCCGTAGAGCTGCAAGCAATTCAGATAGCTGGCATAGGCTTGCGTCGCCTGGCCCTGGGCAAAGTAGGTCTCAGCATTAGCATAGGAGCCGTGCGTTTCTGCTCCAAGTAATGGATCTCCATAGACAAGCAGCTTCACCATGCATCCCAGCATAAGGAATATATTCAAAAGCCATAGAAGTAAAGAGGATGAAGTCTGCTGCCAACCGCCTTCAGCTAATGGAAATGGGGGCTTTATTTGTCTGTTAAAAAGTTGACATATTCCACTTACCATCTGTCTCATAAGACAAAATACGTCGCTGACCACTAAGCTCGTCTACAGTTTCGTATTTATCATATGAGCTTCGCTGGAGCAGCGACTTGAAGGGATTCACTGCCAGTACGGCGAACATGAACATGCAGAGCGCAAGACGCGAATGTGTGGCCATGCCGCGCATAGAGCTGGGAACAGCGACCACTGTCTCGTCTTTGCTGCTGCAACTAGCTGTTGAGCCACCATATGGGGAGGGTGGCATCGAGATGTCCGAATGCACTGGCGATAGCGAAGGATCTGAAATATCGCTGCGAGGTGGCGTTAAGCCATAGACAGCACTGCCACCGCCATCCACATCGGAAGCCAGTGATTGCTGGCGACGTTTTTTCCCCGAAACATTTGAAGTACTGCTCAATTGCAATAGATCCTTAACCTTGGACCCATCGCGTGCCATCAGCTCGCCCTGTAGGCGCTGCAGTTCACCTTTGAGCTCATAGTTCTGACGTTGCAAGTCACGTATCTTGTCAATAGATTTGCGCAACACTGCTGATTTGTTAAGCTTGGCTGCCTCACCGACGACTAGATTCTTCAACTCTGTGATCTTGTCGTTGATCGAAGTGCGATAGCGACGCTCAATGGCGTTGTGAGCGGAGCGCTTGACCTCCTTGACCTTGGGTTGCACGCGATTGATGGGCACTTTGTTGGCATTGACATTAGCTGCGGGTGCGGCCGCTTCAATTGTCTTGCTGCTGCTTATGGGCGCTTTTCCAACTGGTGCTGCAGCTGCTGCGGTGTCCAGCACCACGGGTATGGGTGCAGCTGTCAAAATGGTCGCTCCATTCACGGTTGTTGCACTCGTGGTGTACATCAACGTCGTGGCAGGATTTGATTGTATGATGAAGGGCTGCGTCTGTGGCGGAGTGTATTGTAACGTCGCTGGTATGGTGTGAATCTTCTTTGGGTAGTGTGGGATCCGTTGGGCCTGATGTGTCTTTTGTACTGGCGTGGGTGGTGGCGTCGTTTGCGCTGGCTGCTCAGCCAACGGTGGAGATGGTGATGATGATGGCGAAGTCTGCGCGGCTGCGGTTCCAGTTACTTGATAGGCAAACGGGTTTGTTCCTGTCGGCGTATAGAGAATAGTGGCAGGCGCTGCGTTCGGGGTATGTTGCAATAAACGATTACCATCCATATGGTGGTGAATGGTGGTTGTGGGCTGAGGCTTAAGAAGTTGACCTTGTTGCTCTCCACTGTACAAATTAAAATTTGAAGCAATGAGGGGGTCCGTTTTAAAGATAGGCGAATGCATGCTGCCATGCATAGGACTGTTGTTGTTATGGAGCAATTGTAGGGGCTCCTCTTTAATTAACGGTTGCGATGCATGGTGAGCTGCCTGCTCGTTTTTTATGAGTGGATGCTTTTGTTGCACCTGTTGTTGCGGTGACATTGGTGGAGATTGCTGTTGATGCATGTCCATGGTGCACTCGAGAAGCGGCGGCGACTCATTCATTTGCAACATATCATCATTGTATTGCGCCTGATTCAAATCCATTTCATTTAAAAAGTTGTCTAGCATGTCTGTCAATGATTAGAATTGTACAAATTATTTATTGTCAAATAATATATTAAGTATAAGCATTTAATCTACCTGATGATACCATATCTTTAATAATATTGAGCGCGTCCTCCTCCTTAAACAAGTCCATGTCGTCGCCCATAGCGCTGGAGATTAAATCCATGTCTAGGGACGAAGGATCAATGTCCATGGTGCTGGCGTTGCTTACGTGGCACTAAAAAGCTCTATTCTTTCTCTAGTTGCTGTGATGACAAAAAGTTGGTGCAATTATTAGATTTGTTTATGAAATTTGTTGTACGTTATGCGGCGCAATAACATGGCAACAGTGCAAAAACAACGCACACGCACGCACACAAAGATACGCTAAACCGCTCGACCAATCAGAGCGCTTGTAGAAGATCATACGATGTGACGGACCGCCACCTTTGCCTCCTCAGTTGCGAGCAACATATAAATTTTCCTATCAAAATTACAGTTGCGCTATAACTTCGTAATTTTCCACTTTTGTTTCAAAAACATTAAAAGCACACTGTGTGTATACGCAATAAGCACCTTTTGTTTTTAAATAAGCTGTTTAAAGTTCAAATTGGCCATTGTTAATGCCATTGTTTTACTCGAGTTACAATTCTTAAGCATGAGCAAGAACACATTGTTTTCGCACGTTGTGTTGCAGTTTGTTATTATGGCTTTGCACTCTTACGTGTTTTTACTTTTAGCTTAATTAAACAAATGGAATAACAACTAACTGGAGCTTTGGACTATGATAATAAATACTTATGGTGTGACCGGAATGTTCAATTATCGAAAATACCAAATTGATTTTATTAAAAAATACCATTATAATTATGCTCTTAAGAGCGTTTTCCCCAGGGATCTGTGATAAATACTATTATCGAATGGTTTTTTTTATCGAAAGCTTATTTATAGCAGTGACTACTTTACTAGGCACTACCTTGCGAAGATACATTGCGGGATAATCATGAAGCGCTTATCGTTGAGATATTCGCGATATACAAGCATCGCACATCTCTAATGTAGCCTAGGTACTTGTTTTAGATTTGACAGCTGCCATGTTCCACTTCCGGTCGTCGAGAAAATAGAAAATATCTAAGAAGACCCTGCGAGTGATTTTACATCACGTCACTCGAAAACAACATCAAATAGAGTGCCACAACACCAACCGCAATCGCACTAAGCCCCGTCAAGAAACAGCAGCCAAAAGACGCAAGCAAAGATAAACACAGTTGCTGTCTAAAGCACTGAAAGAGCCGAAAAACTTTGCCGCAACAAGAGCAACTTCAATTTTCTTCTTTATTTTTGGAAGCGCGTGTGCTTTTGTGTGCGTGTGAACATCGAACACAGCAAAAAAAAAAATATTAAAAAAAATGGCAGATTCGGAAAAGCAGCAGCAGCAGCTGCCAATTGAACAGCAGCCGCTTGCCCAGGAAGAACAACAGGATGATGGGCAGCAAGCGCAGAAACCCGCGCCGCCACCAAAGGAAATAATTGGTGAGTGTAAAAGAAATTGAATTTCATTCATCCAAACACATGGTGCACGCTACCAAAATAGCAATGAAAGGAACGAAACAAGACCAGACCTATAGGAAAAATGTGTGAGCGTGTGTGTATATACATATAAATGTGTGTGTGTGCGGGTTTTGTGTCTTAAAATACACGCGCGACGCCATTTTGTATATGTATGTATGTATATACGTTCGCCGGCTCGCCGCATGAAAAACGACAGAGCACAAGAAATGAAATGAAAATTCTGCTTTTTGCCGGCGCTGCTCACCCTTGCGCCCTGCTCCACTCCTCTGTCACCGTCCTTGTCCACATCATGTTAACCCAATTGTTGGCTTCCACTCTTTGCTTGCCGCCAACTTGCGCGCGCACTCCATAAATAAATGCTCTGAGATTGTTAGTTGTTGGTGTGTTTGTATCTCAGTGTGTGTGATCATTGTTTTGGTAAATTTATTTTGTGTACACTCCACACGCAGCCACATGCACGTCAAATATACATACATACATGCATATGTACATGTTCACATACACATGCATAAACAATTACGTATGGGCAAACATGCGCTTTGCATTATGTTTGTATGACCGTTTGTTTTTTTAATTCAATTAATGTTATTTTGTGCGATTCTAACCTCAAAAATGTGCTTCTTCCTTTGCGCAGCCACCAAAGTTACCGGCACTGTGAAATGGTTCAATGTGAAAAGCGGCTACGGCTTTATCAATCGCAACGACACCAAAGAGGATGTCTTTGTGCACCAGAGCGCTATAGCCCGGAACAATCCAAAGAAGGCGGTGCGCTCGGTGGGCGATGGAGAGGTCGTTGAGTTTGATGTGGTCATTGGGGAGAAGGGCAACGAAGCGGCCAATGTGACCGGGCCATCGGGTGAACCGGTTCGGGGCAGTCAGTTTGCCGCTGACAAGCGTCGCAATTTCCGCCCATGGATGAAGAAGAATCGTCGCAAGGGGGGTGAGGGCGAAAATGATGATGGAGAATTGTCGACGTCTGGACAGCAGCAACAACAACAGCAACAACAACCTCACGATGGCCAGCAATTGCAGGGATCGCGTCAGCCACGACAAAGCTATCGTCGTGGACCGGGAGGCGGCGGTCCAGGGGGACCACCCGGAGGATCGCGTGGCCCACGTGGCGGCGGCCCACCAGGTGGACCACGTCGTTTCAACAACTACTATCCACGACAGCCACGTCGCGTGCTGGGCGGTGGTGATGGCAGCAGCGCCGAGGCCGGAGTCCATGATCAGAACGCTGACGGTGGACAGCGGGGCGGCGATGGTGGACCACCACGTCGTGGCGGCGGCGGTGGCGTTGGTGGGCCACAGCGACGATTCTTCCAACGCAACTACAATAATGGGCCGCCACGTCGCGATGGTGGAGAGTATAGTAAGTAGAGGCTCTGGAATGACAGACAGAAAGAACTCATTAATATTAATTTTGTTTTATTTATAGTTCAGGGCCAAGGACCGCCGCGTCAGCAGCGACGTCCACGTCGCCAGAACCGGAAGCCAAATGGACCCGGAGGTGGTCTGGAGCAGCAGCCACAGCAGGTAATGAACTAAGAGCCAACCACTAGCTCTGGCTTTCGACAACATTCAACAAAAAACAGAAACAGAAACAACAGCAACATCAATAACTAATAGCAGCTGCGCAACAAAGATTTGGCTAATATGTCTAATATGGTGACGGCAACTTAACCTAACTCAGAAAGCATTCAATCGCCCATTATTAACAAAATAACTATAAATGTTTTCTAACTAAACACATACACGTTTCACACACTAACACACACACACACATTTGCACATGCAGCCCCGAATAACAGTATGCAACTGAACGAGAAAAGAACAACATAAAATCACACAATACGCCAACACAACCATTTAACATAATGAGGGGGCTTTGCTGCAAACATAAATGCATGTACAATAGCACTGCACATGCTTTGACACAAAATAACATTCCAGGTAGTAACTAACAAAGCGTGTCGTAGTATAATGTAAAACATTCGCTTGCCCAAACAAAACAGGAAAATATGTATTACATGTATTTTTAGAATTTAATGTATTGGTGTGTTTTATTTGTTTTATTTTTAATTTAATTTTTAATAACCTACATTCCCATAGAACGGCGGTCAAGAGGTGCAGAATACAACAACAGAAAGCACTGCATAAACAGCAGCAGCCAACAACAACAGCAATTTCAGCTTCAACAACAATTATTTAACATCAATGCAATTTCGTAAATGGGGCGCAATATTTATAGGGCAGGCAACAGCAAAACGAAGCCTAAAACTGTTGAAAACAAAAAAAACAACAAATTTTAAATTCAATGGCAAGTAATTTTATAAAATGAATGAACAAATTTATGTACATGGCAACTTTGCATAAATTTTATTTGTATTATATGAAAATAATAATAAACTATTATTATGTCTTAACCGCGCGCAGATATATATTCATTTTAAGGCCGTAACAAATTTAGAAACCTTTATTTATATTTACTTACCTGACATTTGTTAACAACTTTCCTCTTATTCATTTTTGCCATTTCAAAGTAATATCAATATTTTGTTGTTAAATATGCCGCACTTGAGAGTTTTGTATTTTAGATGTGCCGTTAAGAGAATATCCGAATTTATGCCGCACATCTTAAATACAGAATTTCTCACATTATGATATCATTATTGTAAAACTAACAGCGGAGAAAGCAAAGCCCCCAAATGCGTGAGCAAAAAAGGTTAAAAGAAGTGTATGTAATTCAAACACAGCAAGCAACAAAATATACAAATGCAAAATGCAACAAAGAAAAATTACAAAAAAAAACTTTAAAAAAATATTGGAAAAAATAAAAAAATTGAAAAATAAAAAACGATTTTAAAATTTGGGTTGAAGAAGTTTGGTAAATCTTCGATTTCTTCTTAAATCAAAAGCTCTTTACTTTCGGGAAAACCAATAATTCCTATATCTCTTGGAATAGTTGTTAACGTTTCTCATCTTCTAACACAACTTATGATGAGTCTGAACTAATCAGATAACGTCCAATAATTCCTAATCTCTTGGAATAGTTGTTAACGTTTCTCATATTCGACCACGACTTATGATGAGTATGGGTTTGAACTAATCAGATAAATGCTTTTAGTGAACATTGTTCTTCGAACGGTCCTGTGAAGCTATGAATCCATTTTGCTATAAATTTCTCACAACAACACAACTCAGCTGATTTTTGGATTCTACGAATCGTCTGACAACATTTTCGGAGCTATATGCTTGCTGTTAATGAATAGCTATGCAAAAATGTTATTGTTAAAATTACAATTTATTAAAATTATTTAACTTAAATATGGATACAATGAAATTAAACAATTTGCAAACAATTTTTTTTTTTGGGTTTGTATACAAAGTATTTCTTATAAGTCGGGATTTTAAGATTTCAGTATTCGACTTGCATTTTTATTTTATTTCAAAATAAAGTTTTATGTTAAATATTAGACAAATTAAGATTTTTAAAAACCATTGAAATTCAATCGAAATGTCCAATCTATTTGCGCCGATTTGATGTAAAGCTCCAAAAGCTTTACAATTATAGCCTGTACTCGAAGGGTAAAGAGGTATTATAAAATACTGCTGGTAGAAGGAGCGATATCAGACCGAGCAAGGTAAAAATAATTTGGCAGGATGACTGGCCATGTCCCTCTGTTTGAATGAAGAAACTTGCTAAGCTTAAACCATAGTCATCGAACTTGCTATTGCGATTGTCTTCATTTCTTCTACTACTCCGACAATTGGGAAAGTATCAATTTCAAGAATGCATGAACTATCCTAATTAAGATATTGGTTATTGGCGTATCAACTCTTGATTTTATAAATTTGTTGTTAGCGATGTTACCGTAGAAAGGGAAAGTCTTTGCAAGCGACCCAGCACCAAAAGCTCGTCGATCGATCTTTTTGCATAGAATTTTTGGTCTTCGTTGAGTTTAAGGAAGGCATGGGCCCAAGCCTGAGCGTAGCTTTCAGCTTCCGCCAGAGCATTGGCATCAATTTCTACTGTCATAGAACTGGGTTTGATAGTTTCCTTTTTGAAACTAACTGGTGAAACTATTTCCGTGGGATTGTTATCCATTTCGATTGGCTGCTCTTCGGTTGCAACCGACCAGGATTCGTCGGAGAAAAACTTAAAGAGCGGCCGCGCATTTCCCGGCGTCTGCTCAGCTGTTTCCTCACTTTCATTAGGTACCTCGACCTACAGTGTGAGAAAAAATGTGTTGATTTTGGCACTTGAACTTTTGTGACGTCACACATGCTCACCACTGAGGTTGGATCTTCCGCTGATTGTATATCATCCTCGGGATCGACATCGCTTACTTGTTCCTCATTATCCCATTCACCATGGTAGTATTCTTCGTAAATTGTAGTATTGCGCCCTTTTACAGCGACATATTTTGGGCTGTTGTGTGTGCGTTGCGCCTGTGCCTTTTCCCGGGCGGCTGCGTTGTTCTCAATAATGGCGTTGTTCTTTAAGTATCGCATATGGCATTTGTGTATGCGGAGGTTCGAAGTTGTGCCACCAGTGGATTGCATTACGCGCTGTAAACAAGCGTTGCAAAATATTGTTAATCAAGTGTGAGAATTAGAAGTGTTTACATTTGTGATGGGATCCCCTTACTATCAAAATATTACATTTACTGATCCTATCGGATTCAACAGTGATAGTAGATACATCCCATATGCATATCCATATGTATTTACCTTACAACCAACACAAAAATATCTCCACTTCAGTAATGTGCCATCCCGCCTTTCTATTTCTCTGTAAACATGCCAAACTGTGCTGCGTTTATTTTTCTTCACAAGCCGGTATTCGCCAGAATTGATTTTCTTTAAAATTTCACTCGACGACTCCTTGTGTTTTTCGTTCTGCATGTTTGACCAACTAGTATTTATTATTATTGATGCCGAAGCTGCTGTTGTATATGTGAGTGCGATTTTGATACACTATCGATAAGTTTCCAACACAGTTATCGTTTTTTATATTTGTTAAATCCAGTCTGGCAGCACTGCCATTTCGCTGTGGTAAGTTATTGTTGAAATTAAAATAGCGCGCGAAACATAATTCAAAGCTTTTTACAAAAAAGGAGGAGAAATTGTTTTCTTCTAATTTAAACATACATATATGAAAACTTGTTATTAGGTAAATAATAAATAAAATGAGTAATTCAGTAAATCTATTATGGACAATTCTCCTACTCTGGCAAATGTCGTGTTGCTTTGATATACATATATATTGCCCTCAATCTAAAAAGAATTCGCACGCATTTTAGCTAAGGAACTAAATTGCAGACTTTATTTTAATTTGACTTAGAAGCTGAGACACATTTGCGAATTGGTGCAACTGCAAAGATGACGGCAATCAACGACAATTGCGGCTAATTGAAAGAATGAACGAAACGGCTTGAAAATTCTATTGTTGCAATTGCCGTAGGCTAAATCGTTTTCATACAATTTCAATCTGTCGCTAGAACCAGGTTCCCCAGGCCGAAGTGTACAGACACCCATCATCCAATTAAACTATGCGTTTCTCGTCGTTAACTGTGGGAGCATTCAAACCGGTTCCATCAGCGCCACTCCGCAAGCACTTAAAGCCGGCTGCAAAATTTTGGCTCGTGTTCAATGGCCTAAAATTTAAGAGGGGTTCCCGACCAAAGCAGATGTCTGTGGCCTTAGCATTTAAATCGTCACTTATCCGGGAATATGTTATTTTTTCCCGCAAACAAGAACCACTTAAAAGCTGTTGCAATATGCAATCAGCAACAAGCAACCACTTTTTTGATAAAGTGTGACTTGCAGATGTTTCTATATTTTTAAACGCTGTCACTTTCAAATGTTATTTACAGATGAGAATTTAGATAGCATCTTTTTTTTTCAAGAGATAATGTTGATGAAATTAAAAAAAAAAATAATAAAGTTTAAGTTTAATATTTAAAATTTCTTAATATTATGAGTTATTAATAGAAATATTGGTAGACAGAAATTAAAAATTTTTCAGTATGCTGCTTTAATTGTGACTCTATTTAAATTTAACCTTGATTTTGTTCAGTTATAAATTTAATGACAGTTTAAGGTAAAAATATATTTTGTAGGTAGTTACTAATTTCACGATCCACTTGATGGCTTTGTGCGGTTATCCAAATTGTGGCACAGGACAGAGGCATAAAGTAACATTTGTTGCATTCGGGTTTGGAGAGAGTGTCGTAACTGAACCTTACTTTGTCCAACTGGCGACATGTTGGGGCAACCTCATCATTATCATCATTATGAGAATTGCGCGACTTATTTGTTTGGCGCATAATTTAAGCTTAAGATCGAGCAAATGTCGCGCTATTGTTGTTTTTGTGGCGATTGCTGTTGAAGCCCACACAGCATCGGCGACTATTGTTGTTGTTTGTGCTGCTGTTGCATCGCCTCATGTTGCATGCAGTTTGCTGATGGTCCGACTGCTGTTGCTGCTGGCGTTTGATTACAGGTTGTCATGATGGCGCAGGTAGGCAGACACAGAGCCGACTTCGCTCAGACTGTCGCCCCTGACATGTTGCATATCCATATCCATACTCATGCCCATGCCCATGTCCATGTCCACATCTCTGAATTGCATTTATGTTTGTTATGTCCCTTTTGACGTGGGTCGGTTGTATATCTTGTGCTTCAGTTCAACATGTCTTTGGGGTGTGTCGTACTATACGAGTAAGGCAGCAGTTCGATGTGATGTTCTTTTCCTGTTTTGTTTTTGTTGGCACGGGTCACGCGTGATTCAAATAATAATTATAGGGGAATAATGATAACTAATGCTATAGTGCTGTAAGTAAGACGTGAAATTGAACAGGCTATAATTAAAAAGAAAGAAATAAAAAACCTAAATGGAACATGTTGACAAAGTTACCAAATTCCTTTCAGATAATGATGTGTGGAAAAACGGTTTTGTCATAACTTTCATATAAGAAATTATATTTGATTTGAAGACAACTTAAAACATATAGGGGACAAGCTTCGTAGCCTAAATACATACATACATATGTAACATTAAGGGCCGGTTAACTAGTGAGATAACAACATTAATTCTTCTTAGTTGTTAATAATAGTAATAATTAATATTGACACTTGTAAATCGTCTGAAAATTATATTTAACTGAACTGAAACTGAACTGAACTGCTATTGATTTTTACTTCATTTATTAGACATAACCAACCACTTTAAAACATTTAGCAAATCAAGTGCGCGTGGCTAAATAATTGAGCTCAAAATTCAACCTTTGCTTGATATCAAATCTTTAAATGATTAATTTTTGTTTGAGCTTTGAACTAAATTCGTTTAAAAGTAAACAAAAAGCCGCATTTCATCTGAATTCTTAGCCGCGATCCGTGAGCGGCGCAATACAGTTCTACTTGGGTATGTATGTATGTATGAATAAATCCGACATGATCCCTCAATACTATCAAATCTAGCATCTAACTGTAAAGAAGAACAATATGGGGGACACATGCAAGAATCGTTTGAGGAGCAACAGCAAAAGATAAGTAATAAAGATGCAGCTGCGACGACGTGGAAATGACCATCAAAATCAGCTGCCAATGCCCGTGGGCCCAGATTGAACCTAATTTGATTTGACGAAAGTAATTAAAGCGACCGACCGGCCGGCTAGGCTGGCGGTCTTATCTCAGCTTTTGTGTGTTTCAAGCATTAAATTAATTACGTATGTATGTACATTCATATATACATTCATACATATGTATGTATGCATGTATGTATGTGTGCTGGGCATAGAATAAATGGCGGGGCAAGACGTCGAGAGCTACAACAACGGTAGCTGTAAAAAGTTTAATGAGCTGCGCAGCACAAAACGTAAACGAAAAGCGACAACAGCAAGAACAACCAGAAGTCAAAACAAAAACAAAGAACAAGACCGAAGTTGAGGGCAGCAGGCGAAGACGGCGTCGCGATCAAAAAGCGCGTTTGTTTTGATTATGCGACAAAATAAAGGGGAAAAAAACACAGAAAACAAACAACAAATGGAGGAAAGACCGATGGCTTTTAATTTAAAAAGAAAAAAGAAAAACAACAAAAAAGCGGTTGCTGGCGGTGCAGAGAGCTAGAGACAGAAAGAGTTAAAGAGCGAATAAACATGCGCAACAAGCTCTGTATATGCACATTGCCACATGTGGCAAGCGGCCAAACAAACTGGTTTTGCGCACACCCACACACTCAAATACTAAGCAAATACACACACACAGCCACTCGCTGGCGAGAGAGCAGCTTCAGCAATTCGCTCATACTCCAAAGCTTTGCTTAACATTCAGTCGCCGTTTCAGGCTCGTTTGTTTTCGACGCGCTCATCGAGACTTTATCGTGCGTTTCCCCAAAGCTTAAACAAAAACACCCAACCACTTGTTTTAAAACAGGAAAAAACATATTTTAATAAATGCTGTGCTCTCTATCATCTGATCAAACAAACAAACACAATTATTTCAAAACAATTGTTACTCTCCAATTTCATGGTTTTGTGTATTAATGTGAAAGGTGGGCTAACTTACCTGATACCTGCAATATGTGCAAAATTTTTCCCAAAGCTTAAATATATTTTGTATTAAACAAATTGTTCAAGTGCTGGTGATAGACACTTTTATTTATAATTATTTAAATAGGTGTGTTTTTTTTGCTGTGTTCGGCACTGAGTGGAATTCCAGCAAGTGAGTACAGCACTTATTTCCTATATCACTATTAATATGTACATACATATATATTTATATATGTACATACAAAGCATGCGAAAGAGAGTCAACTGTTAACACTGTTAAACAAACATATGTTGGTATCAAAACAATTAAATAAAGGATAGCATCCTCACAATCTAAGCCGACAACAAAATTGCATGTAGTTTTAAATACGAAATTCACATTGTTAATGTGTGTGTCCTCTATCGATCGTTTTTATGACAGCCTTCTATTTTAGTGTCAAAATTTGTTAACATTTTAGCAAACTTTCTAATACCAGATTCGAATGTATGGTCGGAAGAAACAACAAAGTTGCTTACGAGCCTTCATTTCCAAAATAAAAGCAACGGAAATCTCAACTTGAACTAAAATATGTTTTTAACATACGAATCCATCGTTTAAAACCATGTCACTAAAGTAAAGGCTAAAATGTCTGTCCTTATTAATAGTATCTTAAAATTTTGAGGTAAAAGATTGAATTAATAGCTTGAATAACTTTAAATGCTTTCAAGAATGTCTATAAAATCTAGTCTAGGAGTTACGTATAGTACTCGTGCAAGTATATCAGAAATAATCCTCGATCTAGCGTGTGGTTCAGTATTTCGGTTACGCTTTTATAACGAACCATAGAGGTAGGCTTTTAATGCCTGCAAAAGGATGGTGACTGTTCTAGAAACAATACATTAAGTTTTATCATAATCAATACACTGTATAACTTATCAAAGTAAAATTCTGAAAAAAAAAAAAATTAAGAAAGATGCAATTTTTGCAGAATGTCTGTGAACAATTTATATTTCTATGACTTATTTGTGACTGAGAAATGTCAATTAAAATTGATAAACAAGCCATAAATGGAGTTTGTTAGATTGATAGTTTTCAGAACTAATAAAGTTGCTTTCAATAGAATATTTTTAATAACTTAAATGTCTATTTGAATGCCTGCCCCAATGAGCCCAATGGAGGATGTACAAATGAAAAAGTAGGTGATGTTAATAAGTAAGTTATGGAGTGAGATGGTTGGCGATTGCAACTATTTAGTTGGCTTGTTGTCGTAATTTGTAGGATTCCCAGCGAATGGCCAGCTGCTCCGTTTCTCGGTTGGGCCAGATTCGTGACTCGTTCTGGTTGCGTGCCACGCCGTGGCCAGAATGAGTGGAGAGAGTGGGTCATACTCGAACCTTTGTTGTCC